TTGCAGTTTAATAATGTGAATTAATTTCTAATTAGAAATGGTTAAATAGTAATTCTGAAGCATTGATAGCTTTTGCTACTGCTTTGAGAAATTGTGATCGCTTTGAAGAGGCTAAATAAAAATATGAATTATCATTATAATTGAATCCTCGTCATTCATAAGCATAAAATGGATTGGGAATAGTATATTCAAATATTGGTTAATATGAAGATGCTCTTAAATGCTATGATTAAGCTATTAATCTTAATAATAGATATCCAGAAGCTTTAAATAATAAGGGAGTTACACTCTATCTTATGGGAAGGTATGATGAATCAGTTTAAATGTTATAATAATCTCTAAAATTGGAAGTCAAAAATGCATAAACTTTAAATAATTTAGGTGCTTCATTATTTTATTTAAAAAGATATGATGAAGCCAATAAAATATTTGATTAAGCTATTTAATAGAATGATCAATTGATGGAAGCATAAGTTAATAAAGCTAATGTACTAATAGCATAAGAAAATTTAATTGAAGCGAATAAATTATTATAGAAAGCTAGTTAAATAAAAGACTCTCCTTATATTCATAATGCTTATGGAATCATAGCTTAAAAGTAGAAACAAACTTAAAAAGCCATCTCATCTTATTAAATGGCTCTTTAATTATTACCAACCTTCCCTCAATGTTAATCGAACTAAGCTACACTTCTTATTGAAACTGAGAATTATTCATAGGCACTCGATTTACTTAAATAAGCTTTAAGGGTTGATTAAAATAATGCTGAAGCTCATAATAATTTAGGTGTATTATATTATAAATAAAACAAACTTGAATTATCATAAAATGAATATATGGAAGCAATTAAATTGAAAGTTCATAATCCTGAAGCCCATTCAAATTAGGGAGTGATTTTTTGTGCCAAACAGGATTATTCCTAAGCATTATAATGTTTTGATGAAGCCATAAAATTGAAGAGTGATTTTGTTAAAGCTTATCATAATAAGGGAACAACTTTGTATGAGAGAGAAAACTTTAAGGAGGCAGTTGAGATTTATGATAAGGCTATTAAAGCTAAGACATAAGATCCAGAGACTTATTATAATAAAAGTATAGCTTTGTAAGGTTTAGAGTAGTTTGATGATGCTTTAAATGCTTTAGAATAAGCTTATAAATTAGCACCTGAAATGGCTCTATTGTATGTAGAAAAGGTATTTTTTGATATTTATCATAATAGGGCACTCTCATGTATAGGAAAGGTAAGGTTGATGAGGCAATTAAGAATTATGATTTAGCCATACAATTGCAACCTAATTGTGCAGAAGCTTACTATAATAAAGGATGTGCTTTGGAGAATCAAGGGAAGATTGATGAGTCTAATAAGAACTATGAAAAGGCTTTTCAAATAAAACCAACTTTAGTTGAGAAAAAGAAATGATATATATGGAATTATTATTATATTATTTACATTAAGATGTCAAATGATTTTGAGATCAAGCGTTCTGGACTTTCAATTTCAACTTCATCCTTTGATGCATTTTGTGAGGAATTAAAAAGAAATAATAGTAAAATAGAAGGTCATCCATTAAGAGGATGGATGAAAAAAAAGAGTCCAGCAATCTTAAAAGGATGGCAAAAGAGATATTTTATGTTGATTGAAAATCCTTAAGATAAAGGTTGGAAATTAGTGTATTTTGATAATGATGTAAAATAACAAATTGTGAATGTAGAAAACTGATACAAGACCCAATGGAGCTTTTGATGTTTCAACTATTACATCAATTCAATAAGTATCTAAAAAAGAATTTACCATTCATTTCCCTGGAAGGAAACTAGAATTGAAAGTTAAACCACAAGATGTTTATTAACAATGGATAAATACTTTGAATGAACTTCGATTAGCTACTAATGTAGAAAGAACTAAAAGATAATTGAGTGCCGAGTAAGTTGTTAAATTGTCAAATGACAGTCCAACCAAAGGTATAAATAAGTATTATTAATTTAGTGACTTCAAATCATAAGATAGTTGACAATCTTACTGTATAGTAAGCATAAGTGTAAAAGGAGAGACAACGTAATTCAATATTAATTGAACCAATAAAAGAAATTAAGAAAAAGAAGGAAAAGGAAAATCTAAGTCAATTATCAAATGAAAAGATGATAGAGTTAGTTGGATTGAAAGAATTTATAAAGAATATGAATGAATAATTCATATATTAAAGAATGATTTATGGATATTTAGGTAAGAGAAGTAAAGGTAAAGTCAAATATTTTTAGAAAAGATGGTTCATTTTGGTATCTGCTAAACTTTTGGTATATTTTGTTATTATTGTTCTAGTATTCTGAATACAATGATGAAAAGATCTTAACAGAAGCATAATTACCTCCTTGGTTGGAATTGGATACAATTACTTATTTTAAAGAGAAAGAAGAAGGCAAACCTCCAAAAGCTAAGGGTGATGTGCGTATGATTGATTGTTAAGAAATTATAATGAAAGATATGTCAAAATCTAAGGAGAGTGGATTTACATTCAAATTGAATATGGGAGATAGATTATATCATTTGATGGCTGATACAGAATAAGAACGTAAGAAATGGCAATAGGCTTTAAATTTATCTATTAGAACTACTAAAGAAATTCATAATCCTTTAAAAATAAAAATAAAAAAGAATATAGATCCTATTATATAATTATATGATGAAGAACCTTAATTAATTACAAGAAGAGAGAAAATGAAAATGAAATTAGAAAAAGATCTTTCTTAAATTTTGATTTAGGATGATTAAGATATAACAATATTAGTAAAGTAACTAAGTGAATTGAGATAAGATATGTTGGAATCTATGTAAGCATGTATTGTGAAAGATCCATAACGAAAGGATATCATAAAAGAATATACAGATATATATCATGAGAAGATTTGTGAGAGAATCTCAGCATTCTGGGATTTACATTATAAATAAATGCAAGTATTTTACACTAAAATGAATTTTAGTCACCTGAATTATTAATTTTAGCATAATGGTTAAATGATTATTTAAATTAGATGAAAGATTTCTTTAATGATGATAGAATAATTTTTGGAGTCAGAGTTCTACTTAATATATATGTAAATAGATCCCTAGAAAATTTAGAATCTGTAATAAATTCTATTATAGAACAAGAGAAAACATAAGAACCTATTTTTAATGATTAATAATTATTGATTACATAAACACCAATAGATTTATTCAAAATAATTAATGAATCATTTGATATGGCATATAAATTATGTCCTTGTAAAGAAACTAGTTTGAAATTTGGTGGATTTGGTAAAACAATCTTATAATAATATTAATATGGAATATAAGAGATGATAGATGAAATATAATTATCAACACCTAAATTAATAGCTATTTGTAATAATACATTAGCATTACATGATAATACTAAGAATTATTCTAAAGTACTTTAATAAGTTGGTAATTTGAATGAAGAAGAAACTGAAAAAGTATTTGATTGTCAAAAAATAACCAAAAATTTTGTATAAATAGCTAACAGTTGTAGAGATAAGATATTTTTCTTTTATTTCAATCGTGTTGGTTAATATTTTAAAAAGTCATTTCTCGAACTATAAATTATTGATATTCTCAAAAGTATCATTGAACCAGCAACTGAAACACTGTCTTAATTACATGATAGTTTTAGTAGAAAATTATGGAAATAATTATTAGATTCAATTGTTCTTTATTATTTTAATTAATTCATTATATCTTGTGGAAAAGCTAAAAAAGAAAATCAAAAAGATTTTAATAATAAATTAGAAAATGATAAAGATATTTTAGTTTAAGAATTAGAAACATTCATTTTTGAAAAATAATTACTTGCTTCATTAAAACCATTTGATGATATGATCAATTTTATAAATGAGGATTCTCTTAGTATTTTAGATCCATGTAAAAATCTAAGAATGTATTTTGGAATCCCATTTTCAGAAAAAACAATTAAAACTATAATGTGTATTAGATTTGATTTGGATAAAGAAAAAAAGAAAGAAACTATTGAAATCTGTAAGAATTTAATTGATGACATTAATAAAAATGAACCTGTTGAACATCAAAATAGAATTATGGATGTATTAGGTTAAGAAGAAGAAGAAAATACAGATCAAATTTTAAATCAACAATTATAATAGATTTAATAATAAGAAAATAGAAGAGCAGATATATTTCTTGATTTTCGTAATGATGATTAATTATAAGTAATATATATTTATATAAATTAGATACCTTTATAATAAGAAGTAAGAAATTCAATAGAAAAAAAAGAATTCATTGATGAAGGTTATTTAAATAAGAAAAAACCTAAATAAAAAGGATGGGATTATAGATATGTTAGAATAAGAAAAGGATATATGTATTGGTATATTAATGCCAATTCTAGAGAAGCTTAAAATAAAATTAATTTATAAAGTGTAGATGAAGTTATTCCTAATATAAAAAAACCAGCTAATTTCAAAATTTAATTGGAAGATTCAAAAATTTATAAATTTAAAACTTAGAGCAAAGAAGAATGTGAATTATGGATTAAAACAATATTGAAAGAATAAAATTAATTAGATTCAACTGTAATAACAATAGAAGCAATAGTAAATTTATTTAATATTTAGAAAATTGGTAATGGAAAAAAGGCAATTATATAAGATTATGATGAAATAGCTAGAAAAGAAAGATAATTATAAAAACAAGAAGAAAGAAAGAGAAAGAGAATTGAAAGAGAAAATGAGTAATAATCTTTATTAATTATAATAGAATAAAAAGAAAATAACAAGAACAAAAAATGTTATAACAATAATAGTTAAAGGAATTGGGAGATAAAACTAAACCTCATTAAGTAGAAGTATTTGAATAATAGAGTGAACCAGTAAATATATAGTAATATTATTAGAATTACAGTTAGAAGTAATCAACTTCTTGCTGGACTCAATTTTTGATAGCATTAGGAATAGAGAGACCTAAATGATATAATAGTAACTATTCAAATAAACTCATGTTGTCTTTATTCATATTACAATTACTATTATAGGAAATGTAATCTTTGCATTAATATTAATTCTTCTTAGATGAGTTCTTCTATTACAGGATCTTTCATTAAATTAAATTCTGGTTTCTATGTAGTTTCTTTTAATTCTGATTAGAGTATTGAATTACTTTAACTATAACTTAATTATGAATAAATTTCCATTTTCTTTATTGGTGTTACATATTCCATAGATGAATCTTCATTTATGAATTATGGGAATTATGAAGTTGTAATTAGTTCTTATTTAGGTTCTTCAAATTCTTAATCTATAGGTTTTTCAATCTTCTATGATTTAGGTGGTTTAAAAGTATCTCTTATTCTCTTGACTTCATCTTTAATTGAAGATTCTTTTTTAGGAGATGGCTCTTTTGATTGAATAATTATATTTTCTTCAGGTTCTGTTATTTATGTTTCTTATTTTTAATTTTAAATTAATATTTCTTCTTTTTACTTTTTTGACTAATTTTATGGAATCTTCATTTTAATCTATTATATAATATCTTATTATTTAGGTTATTCTATTTTCACAGGAGATTATTTCTTTTCAGGAGTTTACTTTTAAGGATTATATGTTTTCATTTGAATTTTTTCTAAAATGCTATCAATTTCTTATATAATTGGAGTAGTGTCAACTAATTTAGGAGATTATAAAGGTGTAATTGATGTAGGAGATTATTATGTTTGTAAACTTTATTTTGAATTAACAATTCTAATAACTTGATCAGTCATTTGTGATGTAACAATTGATTGTTGAGGAGAGACTATAGTTTCAACATTAATTTGATGATTTTTCATAAATTGACTCAAGAAATCTAAATTTTCTTTCCGCTTATTTTTAGTGTAATCTAAAAACTCTGAAGACATAAATAATAATTATTTATAAATAATATAATATTAAATTATATTGCTGAAATATACTTTATATTTAAAGAGATTATTTTTATATTAAAAAGAAATTTATTTTATGTATTTACAATTGTTCTTATTTTGAAATTTATGAATTGATCTCATTCTCAAACAATTAAATTATATTATATATATGTAAATTTAAAATCTCTTTCTAATTAGATTAATAAGTATTAAATGTTAAATAATATTTAGAACTATTAAGAATTCTATAGTTATGAACATAAACTTCTTAATTTTTTTAATGTAAAATTAATAAAATTAATGTTTAGTTTTATATGTTATTTTTATGTATAATTATTGTATATATAGAGATTTTATTCATTAATTAATATTTTATAAATGGAATAGAAATGGGATATGTACTATATTCAAATAAAACTGATAGACTAAGAACTTTGAGTGGCAAAATAAAAAAAATACTCAACAAAGCTTAAGATTAATTTCAAGAGAGACATTCAAATATTTAACAAGGTTACATTACAGATTTAAGATAATATTGTAGGATTGTGACTGCTTGTGAAGAGCAATTGATACTAAATTTGAGTGATTATAACTTAGAGTTTATTGGTGAACTTATAAAAGTAAACAATTTTTCTATATTAAAATAGACCTTATCAGGATTTCATCTTTTATTGATCTCAAATCTCCTGAATTGGATTTAATAATTTGAATTATTATTGACTCCTCATTCAGGTAATCTACCTTTCGAACATCTCCTTGAATAAAGTCGAAAACATAAAAATAGATTCAACAACATTAATGAAAGTGATGCAGCCAAACATATGAATGAACTACATGAATCTATTCAATCTCTAGCCTAAAATAACAAGTAAATAATTGACAGTCATAATACTGATATATAAAATCCAAATTCTGTTGAAATCATTGATTCAGTTACACAATAACTTCGAGATAATATTAGAAGTAATTCTAAATCCAATTCCAGAATAATATTATAAAAATTATTGTCAAACTAGAAGAATAAAAATAGCATTAATGATTAAGAATAACAAACCATATTAAATTATATGGATGTCGATTATATAGAACAACAAAATTAAGAATTAAGAGTATTTATTGATAATACTATCAAATAATATGAGGATAAATTAAAATAATCTATAATCTAATACTAAGAAGCTAAATTGATTCTCAAAGCATAAAAGATTGAACTTGAACATTAATCCACTTTATTAGAAGCATAAAATGAATTATTTAAATAATATCAAGAAAAAAAACCACAATAAACTCTCACTCATTTTATATAAGTACCAACTATTGCTGATAAAAATAAAAGATTGTCAATTGATAAACAATAGAAATTTCTATTTACAAACATGAAATTAAGATCATCATCTCTTCCCAGAATTGATGGAAGAGATGAATCCATTATGAGAAATTCATTTACAAAAATTGGTGTTTAATTATCTAAGAATTTAATTCCAACTTAAGATGTGATTGAGAATTTTAAAAAATATTAATAATCTCATGAATTTAAAGAAAAGGTTGCTAAAGTTTGTTCATTAGTACAAGTTAAAGTACCAGTTGATGAATTATAAAATGAATCAATTTCTCATGAAAATAGAATAATGATATTCTCAAAACTTTGTTAAGTTCTCAAAGAAAAACATTAATCATGTTTCCCTTAATGTGATCATCTTAATTTTTTATATTGAAAAAACATTCATTTCTTACATTATTTGTTAAAGTTCAATAAATAAGATTAAAATTATAAAATTATAAAAAGTTATAAAAATAATATTCATTTAAATTTTTATCATAATATATATTTAAGAGTTTTATTCAAAGATATTTTTTTTTAAAGGTTCAAAATTATGAAAAATTTATACAATTTTAAAAGCAAAGATTACTACATAAGACTTTAATTATTAGTTATTACCTTTATAATATTAAAAATTTTTGAAAATTATTTATAAATTTTTGTATAAAAAAAGAATGTTTCAAAAAGATAGTCTATAAGATCGTTTAAAATGCAAGATAGAATTTACTTAAGATGAAGAAAAAGTAGAAATAATTAGTCTGAAAAGTAGTATTGATGATACCATAAGATTTGAGGATAAATATGAATAATAAGAATTTTTGGGTATTGAATATGAAAATGTTCAGGATAGGGAGCACATGCAATAGTTAAACTGGCTAAAAGAAAGGGAACGAATGATATATTTGCAGTCAAAATTATGAGAATGAACAATGAAGAAGTTTATAATAATGTAAAAAGAACATTTTTTAATTCACGTTGTTTAAGACATTAAAATATAATATAAGAATACGAACTTTATATTAATGAAAAATATTATACTGCCAATGTGGTAATGGAATATTGTCCATATCCATCATTAGAGTAAATCTTAAAAGATAGAGGCATCTTAAAAGAAGAAGAGGTGAGAAAAATTATTAAACAATTACTCATGGCAGTAGGACATATACATAGCAAAGGGATATGTCATAGAGATATCAAACCAGATAATATTTTAGTAAACATAATAGGGAATTGTGAATTAAAATTGCTAGATTTTGGAGTGTCTAGTAGATTTATTTGGAAGAATCAAACTTATTAGATGATGACTAAAACAGGAAATATTTATTATTGTGCTCCAGAAATATATCATTAAAGCAACTATTCCAAAGAGATTGATCTATGGAGTATTGGAGTTATAATGTTCTAATGTTTAACAGGAGAACTACCTTTATAGAATGAAAATATGAGTGATCATATAGAATTATTAGGTAAACCTGAAATGTGGAATTTTAAGAATAAAATAAAAGGATTATCTTTAAATGCTTAAAACATGATATCACGTCTACTTTTAAATGACCCAAACAAAAGGATTGGATATTTGGATGCTTTAAATCATCCATTCATAGAAAAAAATAGGACTTATACTACTTTATCTATGTTATAATCAATATAAATGATTGATGATGAAGAAGAAGATCATGATAGTCGTGATGAAATATTTTTGAAAAAATGCCAATCTCTCTAAACAAGTTGTTCTGTAAATTAACAGAGTAATATTCATCGAGCATTAAAGACACTTCCTTTAGGTTAAGAATATTAATAGATTGTTCTTGAAGATTTAATGTTAGAACTTGAAAATGTTCATATAATTTAGAAGAGTAATAGTGATAAATTTACAGGATTTATTTAATTTGTAAATTCACTTGGAAACAGTTAAGGAGTTACAATTAGTAAATATATTGAAGTAAACACAATTAATTAATGCAGTCTTGGAATTGGTTCTACTTAAAGTATAGGTATTATTCAAATTTATATATTTTATAGAATCCTCTGATCATAATATCTAAGATTATTTTGAAGAGTTAGATGACATACAATAAAGTGATGTTTTTTAGAATGATATCAAAGAAAATAATTTTTAATAAAATTTTTACACTTAAAACTCATTTATAAATTAAGTAAGAACAAATATTGAAAAAAGTCTAGAGGTTGACTATTAATAAGATACTGGATTAAATAATAAAATTAATTCTATTATTTCCACTCTTGATGCTTTGGGCATGAATTAATTTGATGAAACTATCGAAGATTAAGATTGAATTTTACTTTATTTATCTTTATATTTTCGATAATATTATCATTTATAAATTATGGATTATACACTAAAATTTATTTATGATATCTTCAATTCTATTTAAATAATAATTATGATGAGAAAACCTATTTATAAAATTATTCATTTGTGCATTAGTAATTTATCTAATTAAATTGATTTAATAATCTATCAAATATCATTCTTTTTTTATATTATATCTTATGCTCTTATATCTAGAAATTGAAATAAATTAGAACACAAATTCATTAATAGCTAATAAAAATTAGATCTTTTACAAGAAAGATTATATATATATATTTTATTATAATTAATTTTAATAATAATTTATATCACAAATATAATTTATGTTAAGAAGATTGATTCGATTCCAATTTTGCTCTCTACAAGATTAAATTAGGAAATAATAGAATTCTTATAGTAATATAACTGATAAAATGATATCATATGTTGGTAGAGATCTACATAAAATACCTTCACATCCTTTAGGTATAATAAAGAATAGAATTGAAACATTTTTTCAAAATGAAGCTATAACAGAGAAGCAAAGTAAATATCCTATGAAGTACAAAATTATTGATAATCTTTCTCCAATTGTATCAGTAAAGTAGGTAATTTATGTAAATAATTATAAAGAATTTTGATTCATTATTAGTGCCTCCTGATCATCCAAGCAGAAAAAAAAGTGACACTTATTATATTAATGAGAATACTTTATTAAGATGTCATACTTCAGCTCATTAAGTTGAATTAATAGAAAATAATGTTGATGCATTTGTAGTAGTTGGAGATGTTTATAGAAGAGATGAAATTGATGCAACACATTATCCAGTCTTTCATTAAGTAGAGATAGTCAGAATCTTTTAATAAGATTAATTCTCATCTAAATATTTACAACATTAAATATAAGAATCTATGGATGATTTAAAAGAAACTCTAGAAAGATTGACAAGACATTTATTTGGTGATGTATAAATGAGATGGGTTGAAACTACATTCCCATTTACTAATCCATCAATGGAATTAGAGATTTATTTTTAAGATAAATGGTTAGAGGTACTTGGATGTGGAGTTATTCATTAAGATTTAATGAAGAATTGTTAAGTATATATTTATATCAATCCAGAGACTCACTGAAGTTGGATGGGCAGCAGGTTTGGGATTAGAAAGATTAGCTCTCCTCTTATTCTAAATCCCAGATATTAGATTATTTTGGTCATAAGATCCTAGATTTCTCGATTAATTTAGAGCTGGTTAAATAAATAAATTTTAACCATTTAGCAAATATCCAAGTTGTTATAAAGATGTTTCTTTTTATGTTGATCATAAAACATGGGAAGAAAATGATTTGCATTCAATTATTAGAGATATAGGAGGAGATTTAATAGAAAAAGTAGAATGTGTAGATACATTTTACAATAAAAAGAAAGACCTTACAAGCAAATGTTATCGAATTCATTATAGAAGTTTAGAAAGAACACTTTAAAATGAAGAAATTGATGTCTTGTAATTTAAAATAAGAGATTAAATTAAAGGTATTTTAAAATTAGAGTTAAGATGAAATTATTATTCATAAATATATATTCAAAGTAATCTTCATATCTAATTAATTAATTATATATATATACATAATATTATATCAAGTTAAAAAAATAAATTAATTAATTTTATGCTTATTTTATCATTTTTAAAAAATAATTGTTAGATAGAATTTTTTGAAACTAGTAATTTAATAATGAATTAAAGATAAATTATAAAAAAAATTGCAATTTTATTTGAATTCAAAATTTATAATATTAATATGATGATGATTTCTTTTTATAATATAATAATTTAAGGACATATCAACTTTGTTTACAAATATTTTACTTTTTATTTAAATTATAAGATAAATTTACTATATATGAGGATATTCTGATATATATTAAAATCTATCATTCAGATTTCAAATTAGAGACTAATTTGATACTATATTTTATTTTTAATTACTAATTATAATGTAATAATAAAAGAAATCTCAGCCTCCATCTGTTTTAAATAGAACAAGATCTCTAGGAAAATAATAATAATAAAAGCCATAATAATAATAATAACCTTAACAAATTTAATAATAACCTAAATAGGGATTCACTTAATTGCCAAGTTAAAAGTTGACTAATATTAAGACAGTTGATCCTTTCTCAGATAAATCAAAATAAAAAACGTAAATATATATTAATACTAAAGAAATTCATTTGCTTATGTTTACAATGCAGGTGGAATACCTTGTAGAGTTAATCATGGTTGTAATACAATGAAATTATAATGGAATTAAGGAGTAGAAATTGGTCATTTGCCATATGATCCTTTAATGGCTACATGCTTTGAAGGTTTGATTGAAGAAGCACATCCATATTGTTTCATAGCTACAAATGCAATAAAAGATATGCTCAATGAATAAGTTTTAAATTTAAATTTTAAAATGTTTTAGAATGCCCAAGAAAAAGTCATACCTATTTTGGCAAAATTAGTTTGGCCATTAAGAACTGCCTTATCTAGTTAAAACGACAAAGTTTTTATGTCTTCTTTAGAAATTCTAAAGTAACTCCTATAATAATTCATTTAAGATTACTCTCCAATACAATAGGTTCACATCTCAATGGCCACCTTAAAAATCTCTTGGTTCCATTAAGTAAAAGGATGGATAAAAAGAATCAAAAGGAAATAATATAAGATGTTTTAAGATAGATACAAGATAATGGGGTAATGATATTGTATCAATATTTAAAGGGACCTGAAACATTGAAATTAATCAAAGCAGCAATTCCTACTTATACGAATATGTGAGAATTTTATTAAATATAAAATATATAATTTTTATTCAGTTATGAAAACAGATGATGGTCTTATATTAATTTAGAAATATACATCAGAAGATGATTGTTTGTTTTGTTAGAAATATGGGAGATTGCCAATTATAAAGATAAATTTTGCTCCACTATTGAATAGAGTATATAAAATTGTAAAATCATTTTACAGGCACTTTATACAAAATATTCATAATCTTAATGGAAAGGTAAAAAATTTGAAGATTTCTTCTCAACAAAGTCAATTTAATGGATAATATAATTTAAAGATAAATTAACATATGGTGACCAAGATGAGTTTTTAAAGAGGTAAATTATAAAAATATCAATTTTATAGATATTATCCTAAGAGTGATCAATAAAATAAATTAGATTAACTATTGGAATATTATAAATATCATAAAGATATTCCTCGAATGTTTTTACCAAAACTCTCAGATTTGGCTATTTATTTTTATGAGAAAAAGAAGTATCTTTATATTTGTATCTAATTTAGATAATTGGAGTATAGAAAAATTAAAATAATGCTAGGTATTCCTATAGATGATGCTAGTAATTATACAGGTATCTATTCTATAAATTATTAGAATGTGAGAAATTAAAAGAAGAGATTAAAGTACTTAACAGTATTACATAATAAACTCAAGTATCCAGTCTTTCTCTATTAAGAGATATGTTGAAATAAAAGGGAAGTGAAGAGATTGTAGTAAGTGATTCTTTAAATATTAGAATATCGATGCCACTTGGATAACTATGGCAAATCATTAATAGACTAAATCTTCATAGTCATCAAATTTAAAATTACTAAAGTAATTGATATCTAAAAATACTTAATTCTATAAACATAAATTAAATACTAATTATACTGGATTAAGTAAAAGAAATACATAGAATTCACCTTAATAAAACATTCATCTCAAAACTCTCTCTAAAGATACTTCTTAAAAATCTTTACTATCCTCTCATAAATTAATAAATAATAGCAATGGAGATAGTGAATTTCAAAAGTTTTTAAAATAGTAGATGGTAGGAATCAACCATTCAAATCCTTGTAATCAAAATAATGTTAAATCAATAGCAAAACCTATATAGATATCTAATTATCAATCTAAATAAAATAGTATTCATCATCTTATTAGTACAAGAAGCATCTCATCTGAACAGCTAAAATTAATTTAATCCCAATAAATACTAAAACCTAACCACACTAATAAAATCAATTAATAATCATAACATAAAAAAAGCTAAACTTAAACTCATTATACTGAAATCAATTCTCCAAATAAACATAAAAAACAAGCTTCAAATAAATTATATACTAATATAGGAATAGATTTTAAATAAGCCTTAACTCATACAAAATCTACAGATAAGTATTTTAAAGTTTATACTTCGTAATCATCAATTCCTTTATCAACTAATATCAATATTAACATAAATTAGTTAAACATGAATAATCTAAATATTAAATCTTCATTTTAACAATATAAGGCTATGCTCGAAAGTCCAAAAGTTAACCCCAAAAAGAAGACTTAATCTAATGTTGAAACCTAAAGAATTCATAATGCTAGTACTTAAAAAAGTACTACTTCTTTTAAAAAATCATAAATCTCAGTTTAATAAATATATGCTTAAAAAATCAAATAAAAACATAAGATTTAACATAAATGAAGACTCTTATTTAATTATTATATATAAATTTAATTGGGTCATTTAAGTATTCATCATATCATGACACTACCAAATTATAACAGTTCAATATCATTTATTTAATATAAAGTAACTGGGTAGATGTGAGTATAATGAGTTTGACTTATAAATTACAATCGATAACTTCTATATGCATTTCCACATAATGAAATTTTACAAACTATATATACCTTTAGATATTTTCTACTATTTGAACTTTTAAAGTAAATATCTCTATCATTTCTTTTGAATATCTACTTGTTGAGTAATAAGAATTCCTAGTTTTTGTAAATACCAAATATTTTTATTTTTTTCACTTATAATTCATCAATTTCACTATTATAAAAATTTTAGTAATCAAATTAGCTCACTTTGATATGGATTAGAAACAAATTAATAATCTGAGGTTCAATAAACTTTATTTTAAGACTCTCTGTTTCATGAAGCTAATAAAAATCTCCATTCATGGTAATTGAAAATTGAGCTTCATCAATCAGAATTTTAGGATTAATATGAAAACTCTATATAAAAGATTAGTGATACTGATGGTTGATGTATTTCGACACTAACATTTTCAGGGTATGATAGCTTTTAAATCATTAACTATTTATCATAGAATTTTGTCATCTTCTTACAATTAGTGTTATTTTCTTTTGCGGTAGAATTATGAAATAATTCTGGGGTATTAGAAGGTTTTGTTTGATTTGTTTAAGAATGTCTTATCATCTAAACAATTATGAAAATGCTTAGTAATATATGAAGAATAATCCTTATTTTCATTTTAAATATTAGATCACTTCAAATTTAGTATTGATAAAATTTACAAATATTATAAATATTTAAAACTGATTAAAGAGAAAAAATCTAAACATTAAATTTCTATTTTATTTTATTACTTCATATTTTTTCATTATTTATCTTTTTTGATTATTTCGAACTCAAATTTAAAACTTAAATGTTATTTGGGAATCAGTTATAAAATAAAATAAAAATATCAGCAATATTATTTTGAATTGAATAATCAAGATTAATAGAATATAGTGCTAATATTAGATAGCTGAAGAATTCATTAAAAGAACTATTTCTTATTCTTTAAAATACTCTATAATAAAGGTTTTCTTCAATCTATATGTATGGCTCAAAGATATATGTGTTCTAATGAAAGATTTTTATTTGATTTGGAATTTTAGATATATACAAAATAATAAATATATTTTTTAAATCTTAGAATATGAAATTTATTAGAAAAATTAGAGAAGAGTTTTGTCATTATTTATTTTATGAAAAAAAATTAAAAATTACTTTAAATATAGAAGATAATTACTTTAATTCAAAATTATAGTTCTATAATAAATCAATCTTATTTAAAATAATATAAATTTAATTATATTTTTACATTTGAATTGTAATTTTAATATATTTGATATAAAAGTTAATTATAATACAAAAAAAGCATAATTATTGATGTAGTAAATTGCAAAAATTAATGATATTCATTTCCAAACTGGTTTACCATTAATTATAGATTAAATAATGCTTTCATCGTTTTTAATTTATCCAGGAGATGGATATCGCCATCCTTTATTTTTACTAGTAGCAATAAGTTAATTTGCTTTTGGGATGGCATTAGCTGTAATTAATAATAAATCTTAAATACCTTTGACCAATGGTGAATATTATCTATAGGCAAGTCCAGTAGTAGGTTTTGGCAAATTAGGCATAGGTTAAATTTCAGGCTAACTAGAATTATTTCCATATTTTACGCATAAGCAGATCTTGGTCTTTCACTTGGATCTTTTTTCTATTGTTTCACAGATTATGATTTTCCTTATAACTTTTATTTTAATTCTTAATGTTTTTTCAAACTATCATTCTATTATCTCTTAATTGTTCCACTGATTGGTTTGATTAAAGACATTTAGGCAGATTCTCTTGAATTTAAACTAGTGTTACATTTTTCTTATTCTTCTTTTAAAGTTACATAATTATTAACTGTTACATGATAAACATTTCCGTTTATATTATTCTAATTATTTAATTTAACAGTAGGTTTAGCAGTATTCTATTTCATTTTCTTTTAAGACTTTTTAACTAGAGTTTCATCTGCCCATGTAATGGTTCTTGGTCTATTTTCATTTAAATATTAATTAAATAATCTTTTATCTAACCAACAAGAGTCAGGAGCACTTGATTTTGAATTCTAAAATGTATTTCGTAGTAATTTTTCATCTTCTTCAAGTGGTAGATCAAGTTCTTCATGAGGTTACCAAGAACTTGATAATCCTCCTTCACCTTTCTTACTTAATTTTGATTCTAATTGTGTTAATTGATGATAAAAACTAGCCCTTATCTCTAAATCAGGTCTTCTAGTATTCAAGAACTCAAGAGTTTTGTATAATTTCCACTTATATTTTCTCATAAAATATGCTGCTAATGCACAACATGATCTTGACTAACCTCTAACTGAATGTACTAAGACTGACTCACCATTGGCATGTGCTTATTCTATAAAATGATATATTTCATTCACAATATCATTCTAGAATAAAACTTGCTTTTTAATTTAGTATAGATATATACCTGTTCATTTTCTTACCAATTGAATTTTAGATATGAAACTCCATAGTTTTCGAATACACAGGGTAATTATTTTGCAGCACAATTTATAATATGACTTACCTTATTTTATATCACAAATTCAAGATCCTTGTATATAAATTAGATACAGTACTTTAGATGCAAATTCATCCCCAATAAAAAGACCATCCTTAATTTTAATTGCTCCAATTATCATTTAATTAATTATAAATTATTTGAAATTTGAATGATGGAATAAATGCCTAAATTAAGTGAAATCCATAAAGAATTGTAATTCTACACTAGATATTTCTCAGAAAACAAACTCTATTAATCTAGTAAATGGACAGGAGAATTACTTTTAGGTCTAACCTAAGAGGAAGATTTATAATCATCTCAATTTGCCATGTAATTCATTCAAAACAACACAGATTATCAATATTAATTTTTAAGAGAGTTTGTACCAGAAAATAATGATATTATTTGTGTAGCAAGAAACTTATTCGATTTAAGAGAGTTTAAAAAATGTGCTTCATTATTATAAGGTTTGATTCATAAAAATGAATCAGCAATGTTCTTATATTATTATTCATAATATATGTATGGAGAATTACGTAAAGAAGAAGAAATGTTTGAGAATGAGAATTCTAAGACAGCCACTAATCCAGAATTAAAGTTATTAGATAGAGAATTATCCAAATTATATGAACAAAAATAATTATCTTAAGTATAATTATATTCTATAAGTCTAGTTAAATCTTTATCTTTATGGATTGATACTTAAAGATACATTAAGACTTCGTGAAGCTAGAGAAGTTTTTATATAAGTTTTGAATTAATTACCATGTTTTTGGAGTGCCTGGTTAGAATTATGCAGATTATTGACTGAAGAAGATTCTATAAGTGAATTACCAAATCATTGGATGAAGTTCTTTTGGATATCCAATTTTAATTTAGAAAAGTTTAAAAATTCTAATTGTGTGGAATCCTTTTAACTTTTATTATATTACTTTAGAAACTCTAATTTCATTATTAATTAGATTGCTAATGCTTATTATAATAATTAAGAATTTGAATTATCATTAGAATGGTTTGAAAGATTATTGAGCATAGATCCTTATCGATATGAAAATTTAGACACATATTCTAATATCTTGTATATTAAAGAAAATTAAGGAGAATTAGCAAATCTAGCATTACAATCTTTTACTAATAATAAATATGTACCTGAAACTTGTTGTGTAGTAGGCAATTATTATTCATTAATGAATGAGCATGCAAAAGCTATAAATTATTTTTAAAGAGCTTTAAAATTAGATAAAGATTGTCTAGCTGCTTGGACTCTTATGGGTCATGAGTATTTAGAAATGAAAAATGTTGCTTCAGCTATTTAATCATATAGAAATGCTGTTGAAATTGATCCAAAAGATTTCAGAGCTTGGTATGGATTAGGCTAAACTTATGCTTTATAAGGAATGAATTAATATGCACTATATTATTTTAGTAGAGCAGTAATCAGTAGACCTAAAGATGCTAGAATGTGGAATGCTATGGCAGAATGTTATGATAAAATGGATAAAAAGAATGAATCTATGAAATGTTATGAACGAGCTAATTCATGTAAAGATAAAGAAGGAATAGCTATACATCAATTAGCTAAATTATATGATGCAGTTGTAATATAATGATATCTATATTTTTAGGGTAAGGAAGATAAAGCATAATAAGCATTTGAAGAGAGTTTGAAGAGAAAAGATGAAGAATAAACAGTAGATAAAGAAGTTTCTGAAGCTTTATTGTATTTGGCAAGAGTTTTCTTGAAGAAAGGTGACAGAGAGAGGGCTATGTAAATGGCAAAAAGACTCTATGATTTTAATGGACCTGAAAGAGATGAAGCTAATAAAATTATGAGTTTATTGAATAAATGAAAATTTTGTGTATTTTTGATATCCAAAATTTATTTTATATATATTTATCTAACAAACAAAATGGATGGTTCTTATATCATTATATTTGAATAAATTAATTTAATTTTTATATCAATACATTATTCTAACATCATGAATAAAATAAAAAATTTCATCTTATATTTTATAATAAATAGAATATAATAGTAATTAAATGAATGAGAAATATTTGATAAAATTAAAACTGATAGAGTTTTGATCTTTAAATTTAACAGAAATATAAAGTATGCTAATAGAAGTATTTTAAGATTTGATTTATCAAAATTCTCATATTTTTTAGAATTTCATTCATCATAACAAAATGAACACTACCAAGTTTTTTAATCACTTTCTTTAAGCTATTTAAATGGATCATGATAATCTAATTTATCATCTATATTTTCTGTATTCTATATATTATTTTATTGTGAATTAATTTTTTCTTCTTCACTTATTGGAGATATTGGTGACTTACAAGACAGGGTGATCACTTAAAGAAGAAACCATTAAAGAATTCAATATTATTTAAGTTTGTTTCAAAGCAAAAGATTTAGTCTTTAATTGACATAATTTTTAATTTTCATCATAGGCTAAGTAAATTAGATTTTATTTTACATGGAAGTTCTTCATCAGGTCTTTCATATTCATCCATTTCATAAAGTTCATATATATTGAAATCATTTAAAAAGAAAAATAATTCAATTTCTGCTTTTATGAAAGTTTTATTGAATTCTTCAATAACCATTTATAAAAATTCTTTGACAGTGATATCAGAGGTTACTTGAGCAGTTACAATAATTCTCCTTTGTAGATTGTCAATCCAAGTAACTCTGTATTTTATTGAATAATATCCTTTTTATTATGATTTTTCAACATAGTATATTGGTCTTTTATTTGCATTTTTCTATTTTAAGTATTTATGGAAACATTATCATCATAAACCATTTAAATATCTTATGTATAATAAAAACTCATCTAATATTAGATATAAATTATAATGATTATTTTGCTTATATTGTACATCTTAACTTATTTTATTAATATTAATCTACACACTCTTTAAAACTTTGAGCAATAATTTTAATAAAATTAAATAATTCTAATAAAAAGAAAGAATATTAGATTCGAAGATTGCTTGATTTATTTTTAAATGAGTATGTAATTTTTTATTTAATTTAATTTTTATGTATAATAATTCAAGAGATCCTCCTAATCAAATTCTTCTTCTTATTCTAAACTCATTGCCTTCTTCTTTTACATTGAATAATTAATTCATACACGAAAAATTCAATTAATTTGGAGATATTAACAAGATTCTTATTTTTGAAAAAGGAAAAACCACCAAAGCATTTGTTGAATTTCATGAATTGAAAAGTGCAATTGAAGCTAGAAGATAAATGAATGGTTGCAATATTTAAGGAGGAAAGTAATTTCTTACTTGTTATAGTATTAGAATGATTATTCATTTTTCTCGACTTAAAAATCTTAATCTCGAAATAGTGGATAATTCAAGAGGAACAGATTATACATAGGCTAGTAGTAATAGTTAGAATTCTGATTCTATGCTTAATTCAAGAACAGAGGAGATTATTTAGTTTGATTTAACTAATCATGTTAGTTCAACTTAATCACCTAGAGCAAATTCTAGTCCAATTAGAAATGAATAAATCAATCGTCTATTAGAATCATCAGATGGTGAAGATGATCTAAAGATCTGGAAATAAACAATACCTTTGGATATTGAAGAATTTCATCCAGATATATAAAAATTACTTCAATAGAGATAGTCAAGATTACTCAAAATCATTAATTTTGATTCAAAAATCACAGCAAAAATGATTTATAATGTCTTTTCTAAGTTTGGTAATTTAGAAGAAATCTTATATGAAAAATAATCTTCCAGAGCCTACATTAAATATTAATCAGTAAATTAGGCAATAATAGCTAAGGAATATCTCAATAATATTTAATTTTTCGATTCTTAAGTAAGATTAAATAATTAATAATTTAGATACGAATATATTTTGAACCTCTCTAATCCCTATAACCAACTTCTTTTTAGGATGAGTATATGATCTATTATCATGAGACTCAATAATATAATAATAGTCCACTCTCTCCAAATCTCTTGATTACAGATGTTTAAGATCCCTCTGAAATCTCTGAACAAATATAAATGTTTGTCAAAGCAAAAGGTATTATCTGTCATCTATAATTTAATAGAAATTAATTTAGGAGTAAATAGTATTCATTTAACATTATATTCTAATGCAGATGCACTCAAAATTATAGCTGTATTTTCAGATTATGAATTCTAAAATTAAAAAATGAATATCATTCTCAAACAATGATAGTTTTATGCAAAATTATTCAAAAATAAATAAATTAACAAATATAAAATTCAATCAATACTTTTATTATTTTCTTATTTTTTACCTTTAATAAGATAACATTGAATTTAAAAGATTTTTTTCTTTAACTGCTTATATGTCTTATATTTCTTATACTCTTTTACTCATTTAATTATTTATTTTAATAGGATAATTTTTTTCTTTCTAAAATGAAAATTCATTCTGCACTTAAGAACTTTTCCTTTCTCTAATATATTCAACTGAATAATTTTAATAATTCTATTGTTATTGCTATTAAAGAAGTTTCTTCTTTGTTACTTAAAGTGAATCTAAATGCTTTTCTATATTATGAGTAATATTCTATTTTTAGAATGATTGATCTAAATTTTATAGTAAGGCTTTTACTTTAACACCTTATTTTTCATTCAAAATTATTAATTATTAATTATTTTGATTTTATGATTTTGGTATCTAATCATAACTTAAATTAATTTTTGGTTAAATCTTATTGTAATCAGAAAATGATCTTTACTCTCTATCTATTTTCTAAATTATTTATGGTTAATACCGATTTACACTAACCTATTTACTATTTAATTAATATTCTTATAAAAATTAATCCTCTTCATCATCTACTAAATTTCTCACAAAATCTTAAGCTATTGGTAAATTATTCAAACTTTCCCAAGTTAAACCTGATTTCTTTTATTCTAAAACATGCTAAGATTTAATTTTTGATCTATTCATATAAGAACAGGTTGTAGGTTTAGAAGGATTTGGGAGTCTTTCAATAAGATGAATTAAATTTGGATATTTTTCAATTAACTGTGATTTTGTTGAATGCTTTAGTTCAAACTATAATTTATTAAATGCTTTTTTTTCTCTTTCTATCTATTTCTAATATTCATTTTATTCTTTTCTTTACAATAAAATTTATTTAATCTACTCATCATCTTTAACATCTGGATGAAATATCTTATATTCATACTTAACTTCTTTTATTCTCTCATCTTTATCTCTCATTTAAAAAGGTTTCTAAAAAGGTTTCATTTTTTATTAACACAGTTTCCAATTATCCAAACCTAAACTTACAATAAATTATTCTTAGTCTTAACCTTCCTCTATTGCTAACATATTTAAGAGTTATATAAATTAATCATAATTTAATTCCTTTTAGTTTTTAGCATATTTCTTAAATAGTTCTAATATTCTCTAATTTTTTGCTTTAATTTGAAAATCTTTACAAAAATGCATCCATTTTCCAACTGTAAATATTGAAGCTTCATATTATTGTCTTTCAAATGTAGCATGTTATCCTTGTACATATTGCTGTTTGCAATAAAAATCAAAAACCTTTACGATAACATCTTTATTAAGAATGTTCATTTTATTTATGAAATTATCCTTATAATTTATTCATATATTTTTTATAAATATAAGTTTTAAATGCATTTGATATATAAAATAATCTTCAATTAAATATAAACTTTTAGACTTCTTAGATATTACAATCTTTAACACTTTATTCTACTATTTTTATTGTAGGATACTCATTAATATCAAATTAATTCTCTTAAAACTAATATAATAATTTAATATATATTTTACTCTTATTCTATCATTGGTATTCTCTCTCTATTCTTGTACTGCTTTTCTTGATTTCTTTATTTTTTCTCTATTTTTAAATAAATTTATATTTTACATTTCTCTAGATAAAAACATCTCAAAATCAGGTGCCTTATATGCTTTCTCTTTATCTTATTTATTCAATACTATTAATAATGGGATTTTTGATTTTTAAAATGGAATCGAAATTAAAATGTTATATAAGATAGCAGCTGTGGCTCCTATTTAAGAAGTTTCAGATGAATCAGTAACTAATATTATCTTCTTAGCTTCTTGTATTTTATTCAAAAATTATTCTTTTTGATAATTATTTCCTGGCACATCTACTACAATCACACTTTAATTATTTGGCTTAGCTAATTCTGTTTAATTTGGCTCAATTGAATTTGTTGTTTAAATTGATGAATTTTAGTTTGAAAGCTATTCTTTTATATATTATATATACACAATATAACAAGGATGTTTTTCCTGCATTTTTATCTCCAACTATAAAAATTACCGAATTATTAGCATTAGCTGTTTAAACTCCAGATGTCCTTTTTGATTTAAAATAAAAAGCAATAGCTAAAACTAGTACAAGTATAGCAATTATGTAATACATTAAATAATTAATAAACACGTTTAATTAAGTTTTTATAATGTTTAATGAGAAAATTAACAATAAGTATTTATTTATTTTTCTTATTCAACTAATTGCAGGGAAATCGAACTAAAATGCCTATTAATATTTTATAAATAAGTGAGGATTTATTTTCAAAATATACAGACATTATTTGTTAGTTATATCAAACATTATGAAATTATCATGTCAAAACTTATAATCTTAGAAATATATATTTATAATGATTTTTTAAGGTTCTAAATATATAATAGGATAATTTTCATAGAAATCCTTTTAAAATTATAATCAAACAAATATATATATTATTTGATTTATATTAGAGAGATAGCATCTTCCTAATATTAATATAATAATGATGTATAATTGTTGATTATAATTGCTTCATTTTCCACGAATAATTATTTGTTTATTTAGTCAATATTTAATAAGTATTTCTTTAAATTGAAATACTTTGATTATTGTTTTATTGAGATTTCTAACTAGATCTCAATAAATTGACTAGGGATAGCTTTATAGAACTATCCCCAATCAATTCATAAAGATTAATTGTTATTCATTCATCTTGAATGATTTAAGCCTCAATAATTGAAGTTTGAACTTGATAGTTGGTCAAATTGAGTTATTTCTTTTTCTCTTTCTTTCTTTTCTCTTGCTCTGTTTTTTTTATATTTATTAATCCTTCCAAATAATTAGTTCATTTTTATGTATATTACTTTAATTAAGTTATGTAATCAGTACAAATAAATAGAATTTTTTACAAAAAAAATAGTTACAATATTATAAATTCATTTGAAGGCAAACTTCTCAAATAACTGAGTGATTTACATCACAGGATCTAGTTTGATAAGGTTTCATTTGATGTAAAAAATTTGTGTAATCTAACAGCTTTTCTTAAATCAATATATTTCTATAAAATAAATAATTAATAGATTAAATAAATATTAAAAAGAGATAAATCTTTGAGGATAGCAACTTTGATGCATAAAGACTTCTTATTATATCTATTTCCACTGAAATAAATATTAACTTTTAGTAATTAAATGAATGTTAATAAGCAATAGGATTATTAAATTCAATTTGATCATAAATTAATATATCAATATAAAAAAAATATTAGTATTTAATACTTTAGAAGAAAAAAATAGAAGCTTTTTTGGTTTATAAATGAAAAATTAGTTTGGGGATGTTTTTAACTTAATAAGTTAAAGAATCAATTAATTACCTATAAATGATGGGTTATTAATAATAAATGATTATAATGATGAAAAAGAAAATGACTCCTTACTTTTAGTTGATAGGTCAAATGATATGTTGATAAAATAGGAATATAATGAATTTATTGAATTCAATTCAGGTTTTTAATGTTTTATAATGATTATGATGATTAGATAGAATCTGACTTTATGGTTAAAACTGTTTAAAATAATAAAGTAGGTATTTAATAATGAAAATATTTATAACCATGCTTAATATGGCATTAATATGCAATACATTGAATAGAATTTTAATATTAAATGAAATTTAATCCAAAATACCTGTGATTTGAAAGTAAAGCAGAAAGATTAAATATTAACTTCTCTTAAACAAAATATTGTAAATTTATTCTAAAGTTTAAATTTGGTTAATAAGAGGGAATATTATTATTAAATATTAAATGTCTATTGCTAATAAAATGGAAACAATTACTTTTTAATTATATTAGATATTAGCATCGTAATCAGAAGTATAATTAGCGTAGAATTATTCATAAGAAACGAATAGATACTCAACAATTATAGTTTTCTAAAGATATACTTCAGATAATAAAACAATATTTTTTTTTGCTTATGATTCCAATTCATTAATTATTATTTAACAACAACACTATAAAGTAGAAGAGATGGTTAAAGACTTATATAAATATTTCATGAAAGTTTAAGACTTTTTATTGTAGATTCTAACTAAAAAATAAGAAACAATTATTCATTTTATAAATTATGCCTCGTTGAATGAATTTGATAACATTTTAATAAAATAGGAGGCATATAAATTACTTGAATTTCCTTTCCCCAAGAGCAAAATCATAATTTGGATGGAAAATAAAGAAACACTTCAATTTTCAAAAGATTATCTTGAAATTTAAATTTCATTTTAATAATTGGCATTACTAAAGATCGAGCGTAATTTTATTAGAAATCAAGAGATTTATGAAGAGTTTATAATTAAATAAATTACGCAAATATAAGAGATTCACTAATAGTTTAAATTAAATTTAGAATTATGTGAGTCACAAGTAAGATCTTTTAATTTTGTAAGTTTAATTACAGATATTACTTTTATATAAGATGTACCAGATTAAATAGAGTATTTAGCATAATTATTAATGAATTTATCTCGCTATACTTGTTTAGACTCAGTCTTAATGATAGCAAAACTTAAATTATATAGATAAAATGCACTTTTAAGGAGGACAATTAATTAATAAAAGTTAAAAATTAATGAATACTTGTAAATAGTTTAAACTGATTTAACTATATTTCAATAAGAAAAATATTGTCATTTCCCAAAAAAAGGAGAAAATAGTTAAAAGTAAATTATTTATTATAATTTATTTTAGATGTAAAGTATGTCAAAAAAATAATAAGAAGGTTAGAAAGTCAAGTTTTGTTTGTGAAGCTTGTCAAAAACATTATAAAATAAATATAACACTTTGCACAACAAAATGTTTTAAAGTATTTCATTTAAATCCTGAAAAATATTTACGTAGAAAAAATAGAACAAAATAAACAAAAGTAGAAGAATGATCAAAATTTCTATATTATATAATTATAATTATGATACTTCTTCTTTAAAATTAGTAGATTAAATATTTAATATATGTTCTTTTAATTTGGATAATTTTTAAAGAATATCAGTAACTAAAATAATTAGTAACAATTTTATTTATATAATTTATTTAAAAATTATTAATATATATTTATATATATAATATAAATTTTGAAATGAAAACTAAATGAATTAAAAAAAAGAATGATTAAATTTGACACTTTAATCTAATAATTAGATAAATATAAAAATTTTAGAATAAAAAAAAATATTCATTTATGTCACCATATAGAAAACATAAATTTAATAACTATCAAAATAAAAAGAGAAATTCCCGATTAGATTAAAGTTGACTTAATGGTTTAAAATTCTATTAATTTAAAAAATGATCTTAAGCTATACATAAATAGAATGCAATAACAAACTTTTATTAATATTTCGTAAGCATACATTCCAATAAGCATAGATATAAAAAATAGTATATAGAGTAACATCAAATAAGTTACCATTGAAGGCTTAGTGACTTTAATATATTAATAAGATTACTGAATAGCATCCAATCACTAAATAAAATAATATCTAATAGTGATGATAAAGCTATTATGAGTATTGCAATTGAAATTCGTTCTTAGACACCAACAAGATAGCCAAAGCAGGATTTTAGAATTGCGATTTCAGTTAAAAGTAGATATATTTTGGTAGTAATTTGATTATCAACTTTATTTTAGGTATTTTATGTATGTTATGTAAATGAAAAGTCTTTAATAGTTTGAGTTCTGGCAGGTTTAAATTAAGGAGATTCATTATTCTATTCAGAATCCTTTCCTAAATGTCTAGCTCTGGCTAATTATTTATTACTATATTCTGATTAAACAACTTAATTTTATCTACTATCTATAGTCTAAAATAAGATAATGAATTACAAACTATAATTTATTAATTAAATCTGATTAATCGAATTTACTATTACTATTACTATTTTTAACTTCTTCACTATTTTTAATTTAATCAAACTTATTTTAATTTCTATAATAACTTTCAATTCGTAATATTTCCTCATTTTTTTCAGGAACATATTCTGAGATAACTTTAGGTTATAAAATGGGAGGTGGAGGTAAATTATTACTTGAATTAAGTTAGTTTTTTTATGTGTCATCAAATTCTTTATCATATATTTCTTATAATTCTTTAGCAATGAATAGTAATGGAATCAAAAATAAAATTTTATATTGAATTGAAAATTCATTATTTAGATAAGCAGTAATGGATTCTCTTTATTCATTAGGTAATTGATCAATTTATCTAATAATTTTAGAATAATTATGATCTTTTAAGTATTTATGATGTTGTAATTCAACAGCATTAATGAAAAGCAAAGGAATAACTAATACAAAAGCAGAATAAAATAGAAATCTTTTTATAAAGGTAATAAAGGATTCTGTAAATCTTTCATATTTCATTATCCTTGCATTGTATACAAAATATGTAATCCAAGTAAATGCCAAACTTACAATTAAGTTTATAATATAAATCATTTTATATAATGAATATTCAAAATTACTCAAACAAAGATGACAAAAAGAAAACATTATTGAAACCAAGAATACGATCCTCTAGTAAAGAAGCTACATAATAGCTCACTTAACCTAGAATTGCAATTTAAAACCCTCCTGTTTATAGAAACACAACAGCTGATAAACATAGAAAACACTCTGTAGATAATAAAAAATAAGTAAAACCTAAAAAGAAGAAGAAGACTCAAAAGAATATATAATGTAAAGATATATCCTATTTTATAAAGAATTAGATAATTAAGAAGAGTAAAAATTACTAGAGGAAGAATAAAAGAGAATTAGAGATCTGGAAGAATTTCAAAGATAATAATGGGAAAAAATGACTTAAGAAGAAAGAGATAGATTAAAAAATGAAGAAAATGATAGAGTTTAAATAGAAATGATTTGGGATAAGGAAATACATGAATATAAAAAGAAATGTTTAGAATTTGATGAATGGAATAATTATATATCCTGTAATACATAAATAGATCCAAGAGCAGAAAAGGATTTAAATACAATTATTTATTAATTAAGTAGTAATAATGATGATATTTCATTAAATTATAAATAGATTGAATACATTTCTAAAATAATTTACATTATTCAAATAGCTCATTAAGAAGATTTAAGTTAATCAATATTTAATAAGTAGGACCATTATTTTAGATATATTGAAAAATTAAAATCAATTATAAGTACTAAAATATATGAAATCATAAAACACTTTTATATTCATTACGAGAATTACTTGGAAGAATTAAATCACATCTGTATTAATATATCCTCTATATATAAGTGAAACATTAATACTTTATGTTAGAATTTAATCAAGAAACGTAATAAAGGATTTTATAAAAAATTGCCTAAAAGCCAGAAGATAGAGTTAAATATGAAATCTTAAAATATTCAGAACTTACTAATTCATTTAAAGCAGCCTTTTGGTATTGTCCCTTATCAAAGATTGGATATAGAATAAAGCCCATTGATTTCTCTTAAATATCTAATCTTTAAATTGAAATACCAAGATAATTGGCAGGACAAAGTTTAATTTATTATATTACATGGACTAATCATGATCCTTATGTGTAATATAAATAATACACATAATACTTACCTATTGGTGGAATATTTTAAAATTGTTGTGTTAATTTACCAAAATTATCAAAAAAAACTAATGGCTGGATACTCAAGCCTACATTTACTGATTCATAATTATAACCTTTAAAATTGGCTTAAGGATTCTAGTCATATAGTTGTTTCTTTTAAATATCAAATTAATACTATTTACAAGATGCTAGCAAATTGTTTGTAGTAACATTTTAAAATGGTTAATGGACTCAAGAAGGAATTGAAGATTTAAAAGTCAATATTGACACTCGATCTGTTTCATTTTCATTAAAAAATCAATACCCTTTTATGTTGTCCACTTTAAGATTTGCTGATTTTCCATTTAAAACCTGGAAAATAACTTCTCTATCTCCTGATAAAGTCTATCTAAATATAACAAGTAATAATGTCAATATGATTAATTATAGCTTAAAGAGATATTAATATTGGAATTGAATTAGACAGTAAATTATCAAAATTAGTAAAACCTACTAGTCTTGCTTAATAACATTTTCAATAACCATTGCCTATAATAGAATTATTATTGAAATTAAGAAATATTGGAATAAATTTGATAGCCTAAGAAGAGGATGCAATTTGTTTATAAACAGTGTTTAAAAGATCAGAAGTTGAAAATCAAGTATTATTAAATTTAATGTAAACCTTAAGAGGTATATCTATTTATATAAATTATAGTTTATTCGTTCAAATAATCAAAATGGAATTAAAAATGTGGATCAGATTAAATTATAATTCAGTTTATTGAGAATCCTACTTTTAATTAAGATTTTGAAGGGGATGATGAATTTTAATGGAGAAATTTAGAATTCTAATTAAATAAAGTTGCTCTTTTGGAGTGTAATGATAAGAGCGATAAGTTATCAACTAAATGGTCTAAAAATACTGTTAGTCATGCTAATTTATTAATTTTAATTCAATAGCATTAAATAACTCCACCAGAATTATAATTTTATATCGAAGAAATTCAGAATGTAGAATTAAGATCAAACCTTAGAACCATGCTCAAAGTAATGAGATTATTAGCAATTAATTGATAATATATATAAAATAATATATAGTAAAAAATTGTTCTATGTTCAATTTAAATTATACTTAAATTTATGCTAATCCTTTTTTGTTTAATTATCTTTTGTTAGAAATTTAAAGCAGAATTAATATAAAAAAGATAATATTAAAATTTTTTTATTCAATTATTAATTTCAACTTTACTATCTATATTTATATAACAATTTTTTGTAGATAAAAGTGAATTAAATGATTATTCATATAATTAAATATTATAAAAAACATGGAAATAATATATAGTAATTACATTTATAAAATAACTACATAAAATAAATAAAACTTTATGTTTATTTTAAATTTTATAATCAATTATAGATGTGTTTTTAGAATAAAGAGTAGGTCTTATTGAATATGAAAAAAATAATATTTCAATTGAATTAAGCAATAGATAATAAGTGATCTATAATTATCATAAGCACACCCAATTATTTTGGGGAAAATAAAAAAATCACAATATAAAATCTTGATGATTAATAGACATCATTTTGAATATTTGTTTTTTTATTCTATATTAATTACTAAATTCTATTTATTATTTGATAAAATTTTCATGATGAATTTACTTATTATATTCCTTCCATTTTTTTTAAATATTCTTACAAAGTTTGACTAAATGTACTTGAATCATTTTTTCATTCATATCTCTTTTTTTTATTCTATAATTATAAGTGTGTAAATAACTTTCTCTATAATGATTTACTTCTGATACCAATTCTAAGGAGTATCTTTTATATTTTTGCTTTTATGTATAATTTTATAAATAATTATTTCAATTTCTTCTTATTTAAATACTTTTCTGTATCGTTATACTTCTAAATCAAATTTTTAGTATCTCTAAGAGTTTATATGACTAATTTCAACAGATTATCTTTTCTTATTGCCTGTAAATATCGTTTACTTTATTATAGTCCCTTATATTATATCATATGCTTTTCAGTTTTATTTTTAAGATAGTAAGTATTTTACACAAAAGTATTAGATTTCTCTTTTTAATAAATTCGTTAACTAATTTTCTTTAATTAATCTTATATTAGACATATTGGAACCAAAATTAAAAAACAACTAAGAGCCTTTGTTTCTTTTTATTTATTTCGTATTTTTCTAAGTAATGTTCTGCTTAATATATTTAAACTTCATGATTGAATTGTACTTTTAATACAATTTCAGTTTTTATCTTTGAATCAATTCTTCATTTGCTATTATATATTATTTCATTTATGTTCTTTAAATAAACCAACCCTAGTAATGAAAATAAGTATTTTTTGTGTTTTTAGTATATTGACTTCTATTGTAAATTAAAACAACAGAATTCCAGGCTTTTATTAATTAACTTTTAATTCTTTTTTCTCTTTTAGTCTTAAATCTGAATAGCATTACTTATCTTATATGGATTTATTCAATATATCCATGCCATTGAATAAATAGAAATTTTTACAATTTAATTCACTTATTTTCTATTAAATTGGCCACTTGATAAACATCATATGATTTAACAGTTTAAAGTTTTCATGCTTAAAATAGTTTTTGTAACCATTCTCTTTATTGTTCAACATATTAAACAACCTCAAATGTTTTATGATAGTCTATTAATTCATTGAGTTTTGATTTCAGTTGGGCTATCTATTGGGTTTTCCTTCAATATACATACCTATAAATAGAGATCCTTTTTAATCGAATAAGAAAGAGATTTTGAATTCGCTTTCATTTAATCGATTAATATTATTAAGAAAAGTATGGGAAGCAATTGTGCAACCTGTTAAAATTGTTAGAAAAAGGAGGAGATCCTGATCAGTGAGGTATAACAATAATCGAACCCACAAATGAATTAATACTCTTAATAACCAAATGAAGAGGAAGAGGAAGATCGTATATTGATCTAACAATATTTTAGATCTTGAGGAGAAGAACCATGAAGGTTCAAGTTAGATCGTATAGCAATATTTAAATTTGGATGCTCCTTAAAAGAATGATGCTATTGTATATGCAGAACCTATAAGGGCCTAACAAGTAGAAACTCCATAAGTTCAAGTGATTATGACTAATGGTATTTATGAAAAAGATTGTTAAATAAGAGTCAAATGCAGATAGTAAGAAGAGAAAAAATGAGATGATGTTAAGAAATTTGGAAGATCTGAATGATACTTAAATTAATAAATCTGAAAATACTGTTAGAGAAAAGAGACCTCGTCATTTATTCAAAGTATGTAATGTTAAAAAATATTAATTTTATAGAGTGGGGCATTTTATGATGGAGAATGGGTTGGTTAGAATAGAGATGGATATGGAGTTCAAATTTGGAGTGATGGTGCAAAATATGAGGGAGAATGGAAAAACAATAGAGCTAATGGAAGAGGGAAATTTTGGCATATAGATGGAGATTATTTTGAAGGAGAGTGGAAAGATGATAAAGCATGTGGGAAAGGTGTTTATTTTCATACAAATGGAGCAAAGTATGAAGGAGATTGGATGGATGATTTATAGCATGGTTTTGGAGTTGAAACTTGGGCTGATCAAGCAAGATTTGAGGGAATATATTAACATGGTAAAAAAGAAGGATTTGGGAAGTATTATTGGGGAGATGGATCAATATATATTGGAAATTGGAGTGAAAATAAATTGTCTGGTTATGGTGTGTATACTTGGCCTGATGGGAGAGTAATGAAATTTATTTAATTTAGAGATACGAAGGATAATGGGCTAATAATTAAATGAGTGGACGTGGAATATATTATTGGAAAGATGGAAGAAAATATGAAGGGTAATATGTAAATGATAAGAAACATGGTTATGGTATATACACATGGCCAGATGGAAGGGTATTTATTTTAATGGAGTTTTATTAGAAATATGAAGGATATTGGTCTAATGGGAAATAATAAGGAAAAGGTAGATACATTTTACCTAATGGAAAGAGTTAGTTAGGAATGTGGGATAATGGAAAAAGGATAAAATGGTTGGATTAAGGTGAATAGAGTGTTGATTTGAAACCTAAAGATTGGAATTCTTATGTTTAACCATCTTTAGGAGAAACATAATTATGATTATTTTTACTAATTAAGTAATTTAAAAAAAAATGTATTTAAATTCATTTTAAAGTTTCTTCTAATCTCGAAAATCCTAATTGTTCTTGAAATTAGGAAGCATAAATTATGATTTATTCTACACATAAATGATTTGAATGTTTTGATTTATCAAAGACATCTTAGCATTCTGAAAGTTAAGTGATAAATTAAGCAATTTAGTATTAATCTAATTTAAGTAGATGAGATTGAAAGTGTTTTAGTAAAGCAAGAGATAGTGATATAATTGCTAAAATATTGTTAGCAATCATAAAATCAAAGAAATAGAGTACCACTTCAAAAGGGAATGTTTGAAGAAATAGTGAAAATATCCATTTCCATATATAACAATATTGAGTTATATCTTAAGCTTCAAAATGTTGATACAATTATGGCATTTGATTTTTGAAATGCTTATGGAATATGTTTAATAATTTTTCAACAAATTCAAATTGATTTCTTTAATCTAATAACTAAATTACTTTATACTCTATGAATCACTCGTTTGATATAATTAATGAAATTTGAATTACGGATTGATATTCAAATAATTTAGCATCCAAAAGGCTTCCTCTTCCTCCATTCCACATACTAATAATAAGAATCCAGCCACTTAATTCATGCCTGTCACATAATCATTATTATAAACAGCAATAGCTTTGAGTACATTTTATAATGCTTAAGATTTTTTATGAAATTCTTGATGACCTGGTAGAGTTCTTGGTAGGTCTTTTTCAATATCACTATCAAATTAATTTTATGAACTTTTTAACAAGGCTTCATAACACCCTGATTCAAATATGTTATCAACAAATAAGGATACTTTCCATAAAGGCCATCTATTAGAAGAGAGTGCTCCATTCATAAGATACTTTCTAAATCTAGTTGGATCACTTTATTTAAATTTAAGTGCAGCAGTAAAGTCTTTGATTTCAAATTGATTCCATTTATTTTACAAATATTTTAATTAAGGGTTGCTACTTTCAATAGCTTCTTAAAATTTGATTCCTACAAGATTGTTATACTTAGATCTAATTTAAATTTGATTGGTCTTTCCAATTTAGCATCCCATAAATGAATATCAATTATAAAAATAATTAATAATAATATTCAATAAATCACAATTGGTCGTCCATTATGGAGGTATGTTTTAGATTCAATATTATGTGTATTTTACATATCTATTTTTACAATATTTTTATGTTATATTTTGATTGTTTAAGGATTGGTAAGGTTTTACAATTCTTGAGATAATTAAAATAAGTTTAGTATTAGATACAACTAAAGTTTAAATTCATAATTACTCTCACAATTAAACTTATTATTACTAAAATGGAGATCATTTTTTGAATGGAGATTTCATAAGGTATGAAAATTTCATGAGAATCATTACCAAGCCATTTCACACCAATACAAAAGATCCATACAACATCCAAAAAACAACTCATTCCAAACAAAATACCTAAAGTCTTAATACGATTCTCATTTAAAGCATTAAATTCCCAGAGTATATAAAAGTCTATAATAAGAAGCAACTAATAATAGCAACACACTCATTACATCAAAAAATTAAGCTTTGTAAAATAATATTAGTAAAGTAAGACATGCTATGAAACCAACTAATATAGTAATTAATTTAAATTTGCTATTTTTATCCAAAAGAGGATCAGAAAAAGGTTTTATTATTTTAGTAGGATCTGCTTATTAATATGAAATTGGAATCATGGATGCAGGTTCTTAAGTAATAGGTTTTTAATATCCTTTAGTATTGAGTTATCTCCATTTAACAAATGGTTCATAAAGTATAAAGAGATCTCTCTCATATTATAGTAATTCTTATTCTTATTAATTCACTTATTATTAGTAAGAGTTAAGTACATCTCTAAGATATTTGACCTTAGAATAGACCCATTATATTTGAATATTCAATTGAGATCCACTTCTATTCCCATTGATATCATATAAATCTAACCATATATCATGTAATTGCTGATTCTTCAAATTGAAACCATTGTTAGATAAATTTAAATCAACCCTTGCAATCACTATATTAGGAGTATATTTATCAAAATCACAAACTGTTAATTTTAAGTCTTCTTTCCCAGTTTAAACAGGAAAATAAAACTTTTAAGTCTCTTTCCAAATAGGATTAGGACCTTTATTAATAGTTGTTTGCTTTTCAAATTTATCAAATTGTAAAGTGATAAATGGATCTAATTATTTACCATCTGCTTTAAGATTTGCAGCTTGAATCACAATAACACATAATTAACTGCCTTCCATTACACCAAAATTATTCAATTTTTCATTTTATTAACAATAATCTAAATTAGTTTCTGTTTCTCTTTTCTGTTAATAGTTTAATTCTAAAGTAGTTCTGCAATTGTTTATTTTACTTTTCAAACTGTCTTCTGCTTTCAAAAGTATTTGAATAAATTCATTTACTGTTACTTTCCCATCATGATTCATATCTAAATTAGACCATAATTCTTCAGCAATCTCTCGATCAAATTATTTACCAATCTAATCAACACAGAAATTAAACAAATTATACCTTAGAATCTAAAACTTAGAACATCTCATTTTTATCTAATCTACCATCATCATTGATATCTAGTTCATTAAATTCTTATTTCAATGATTCATACTTTTATTAAAAAGTTGCCATTATTTTTTTAATTTATACAATAATTTATATTTCATAATAAAAGTTTAATATCATTTCTTCCATTAAGAGATTGTTGTTGTTCTCTTTTTAGGTGTCTACTTTTTAGAAATTGGAGTTGTGCTTGTTTATGGAACTTATGGTTATAATCTAACATTTTAAGGTGAAGCTGGTACACTAGATTACATAGAAGATGAAGTCTTTCTTAAATATTATCCCATAAGAGATTTTAATTCTTCTTTTAATTTCATATTCTCTTCATTTAATTCTTCTATTTTGACACTTTATGAAAATTTCTATTTCTAACTCTCAAATTCAACATCTTCCAATTATTAAGAGAATTCTTATGTTTATTTACTTTACAACTATAATTATCCAGTCAATGTTTTAACAGATGATTCTAATGCTCCTATCTATTTAAGCAATTATGAATCATGTTCTTATAATTAAGTAATTCTTTGATTTTATTCATTCTTAGAAATAAGTGCTTCTTGTAATTGAGTCTATAAATTCTTAATTTAAGTTTCATAAGACTCAATTCTCTTTTGATATTACATCAATTTCATATTGAATTAATCCTACTATTTTAAAATCTCAGTGGATGGTCTATTATTTTATACATTCAAATCATTTAAAACATGCATAATAGTTCCATTCATTTTTTGTATATTGCAATTTCTCTCATCTGTCTCTTTTAACTTTAATTCTAATAATTGATTTTTTTGCATCAAATGAGCATTTTCAGTTAAGGCCTTAGTCAATTACCTAAACTTATATATTAATTAATTTACTTTTTTAGTTCGCCTATTTCAGCAACGTTCAATTTAATAATAATTTAATATTATGGAATTGGCTAAAATTCAATCCAAAAAAGAATAAGATAAAATACTATCCATCTAAGTGTTCTTAACTTAATATATATATATAAATAAAGTTTTGAAGTGAGTGTCATCATTATTTCTGAGAATTCCCTTATTAATCATTTTTTCTTAATATAGATATAAAAGCAAAGAATTTTTTTGAGTTTAATGATCGAATGAATTAAGAAATCAAAATATCTTTGAATTTTATTTATATAATGAATTTTTTAGCTTTTTGACATTTATATAAAAATTAATCCATGAATTAAATATATTATCCATTATTGATTTAATTATTTATTTCTAAAACATTTTAATAAATTTAATTTCAAATAATTTTTATTTTTTATCAAATATACAAAGAATGATTTTATATTTATCACCTCTAATGATATAGTAATAACAATATATATATTATTAATGAATGTTAAAGATTAAAATATTAATTTTATCTAATTAATTTAAGTTTAGAATGTTGATTATAATTAAGAATTGTAATTATAAATAGTAGTATAAAACAATTTATATATATTTTTCAATAGTTATAATATTTTTATTTGTTGTATTTTCAGAATCCTTTGGCACTCATAGCTCTTCTAATATTCTATTTGAAACATGTTATAGATGGGGTTGGTCTTGTTAATGAACCTAAATTGTTAGGCTTAAATTATTCTTTTCCTTTAGGCCACTCTTTTCTTTTTGATGGTTTTAGTGGATCAGGTTTATAAGTAATTTATTCAAATTCTCCTTCAAAACCTTATTTACCTGGATTAGCAGGTTTAAAGTTTTATTCATGTTTCATTATATGCATATCATGAGGCTTTTCTTTGTTTGGAGGAGGTGCTTTTCCATCAAATCCAAAAACTTATTTGTCTTTATTAAAATTCTCTCCTCCTGCTGTAGTTGTTTTAAAAGCTGCTTCCTTTTCCCTTCTTTTAGCTTCCATTTATAATTTCTATAATAGAAACAATATATATACCAATTAATATTAATGAAATCTGTCATATTCATCTTTTAAATGTGGGTATCCCTTGGATAAATCCTTGTTTGCAGGATTTGTTGTAATATTACGAGGAGCTGACCATACTCTACCATCAGCAGTTTTATAGTTTCTAGTCCTTTTCATATCAAACTCTTTTATGTGAGGCCAAGGTCCTCCAAGTAACTCTTTATACCCAGATGCAGGCTTGAATGGTTAATCTTTAAATAAAATCTTTTTTGTCTTTTCTAATTCATATTATAAATCTTTTCTTTATGGATCAGTATAAGGATCACCAATAGAAGTGAAAGAAACTTAACTAAAATAAGAACTCTTAATTCTTCCACTTTTAGGTGCTCCAATTTTAACATTAGTTAATTGAGTGATGGGTTTCCCATTCTCACCTCTAGGAGCTATAAAATAATTAATATAAAATATACGTCTCTTTTTAAAATCATAACTGTCATCTCCTAATCCAAGTGGGACTGGAGAAGAAAATAATGCAAATCTTTATTTCTTAGCTTACAATTCAGTGTCTTGTAGGATTTCTTTTTTTAGCTTAACTAACTCATCACTCATTTTAAAATAAAATATAAATAAAAAAGAAATCTCAAAAATAGATGTCTAACATAATCAATAATATATGAATTAAATTAAGATAAAAGTTTATATTATAGATATTCAAAGAAACTTAAACAAAAAAATCTTTAGTCATTCTTTATTTTTATAAAAAATTGTAATGTCTAAGTATTTATTTATTGATCAAGAATATAAATATTATAAATATGATTGTCTTGATTAATAATTATGATTTGATTCCTCCTGTAAAATTATAAAATTAAAGTAAGAAACTCTAAAATCAGATTAACAAACAAGAGGTAATAGAAGATTTTGTTATTTTCAAGCTTAATTCATAAATTTAAGACTGAAATTATTATGCATATCTTATTTATTTATGTAATTGTTCTCATAATTATGTTACAGTATTTGGGACTGTCCTTTGGTACAATAACACTTGCTTTGAATAAAAATCAGGCACTGCTGAATATTCCACTTTTTACTAATTACTCATCTCTTATATTGTACTTTTTTATATAGATATGGGAATGTGATGCCATTGAAAGTGTTTAAGTAAATCAAAAGACTTCCTCCTACAAGCAAACCTAAATAAGCTTAGATTCCCACTCTAGCCCCATAATATACAGGATTCAATCTGAATTTTAATTGAGATGGGAAATTTTTGCTCATTTATTCAAACTTGCTATTATCCATTGCCATTTTTATAAATAAATAATAAATATTTAATTTAGTATAGTTTATTTCTTATTTATTTCATCATTTCAAATACTTTAAACCATTATTAATTCCTAAAATAGCATGTATCTCTTAAAATAGTCTATTTTCTTAATTAAAAAAAACAGGAATTATTATAGACTCCATTCAACCTTATTATATAGAAAGAGATAATATGTATATAGCCTTAAAATGATTTATAAAATGTATAACTGAATTTATTTGAATGAGTTAGATCAACGAGTCTCTAATTGAAGCACCCTTAAAATCCTTACTTGAAGATGTAATATATCGTAATAATAGAAGATATTATTCTACTTGGAAGGTTATTTGGAAGGCTAGAGTGACTTAAAGATAATTGAAAATCAATTAAAAGATTATGATACATTGCCTGGACTAGTTTAAATTATTGGTACTGTATTCAAGACTTTGATGAGGAAGGTTGAGAAAAAGATGTCCTTTCTGAAATTTAATCTAAATGATAATAGTTTTAATCAAAGTTATCATGCAGGAGAGGAGTATGAAAAATTGGAGCAAATTATACAAAAATATGAAGCAGAGATAAGAGGACATATTAGTGTAACAAAAGTATGTTTAATCCTTATAGATTGAATAATAGCTTAAGCTTTTTAATGATAGTTTGCTATAAGAGATAGAAGATCTAGATAAGTCCCATAAAGAAACAATTGAATAATTAAATAAAAAAATTGATGTATATGGTTTTAATTTGAAATTTAGACATTAAAAAAAGATCTAGGAAAGTCTACTGAGAGTTATCGATAATTGATTAAGGAGAAAGAATAATTAAGAGAGTCAGTAGATTATCAACATATACTACATACAGATAGTGAAGTAAATGGAAGAATTAAAGATAAAAAGTAATTTAAATTAAATTTATTAGCTTTGTTATTCAGATCACAGATTTAAAAGAGTTGACTATAGTAGTGAATATCCAGCATCGATTGCTAATCTACATCTTTAAAATTCTATCAGACAATCTCCACCTTTGAAATCATAATCTCAACATCAAAAATGTGGTAAATTTAATAACTAAATTCAACGTCGTAGTAGTATCCAAGAATAGGATTTATATGCAAAATATAACCAAAAACTCAAATAACATTCTTAATCTATCACTTAAAGATCTTAGATAATTTAAGCAAGTCAATATTTAATCAAGGGAGGGATTGCAAATAATTCATAGAACACAAAAAAAAACACAATAAATGCAATTTTTGATATTTGTAATGCCTAAAAATAAAAATCTTCCTAAAGAAATAAAAGTTAGGGTAACAATTCGAAGTAAGGAGGAAGTAATTCTTAAAACCCTATAAATTCAAATCATAAAACAGGACCACATAAAATGATTACAGATACTTCAAAAACTAATGAAGCCATTTAAAGATTATTAAAACTTAAGTGATTTTTATTTATATAAATTATCTTAGTTATAAAAATATAATAAAAATCAATTATTGTCTTCAGATGAATAATCATCAAATTGAATGATATCATTGAATTCTGATGGTATGAGACTATCTACTAACTTATTTATGTATAACTATCTTGTATCACTATCAATGATTTTATATGAGATCCATATACTTTATCGTTTATCATCATTAGTCAAAGCCTAATATGAAAAATGAATGTTATACTTATTCTAATTTTTTTATGATACTTTGGAAATATTCAATTTCATCTTCTGCAGCATATTAAATTCTATTAATCAATCTTGCTTTAACATAATTCCAATTATTATGCAAATCTTCAATAGCTTTGATTGGATCTTCTTCAATAACATTGTTTGCAAAATTCTATATGAATTTGAATACAATATAATTACTGTGAATTTCTCTTCTGAAAATAGATTATGCTCAATTGAAAATGTAATGAATCTATCAAAAGACATTGCTCTTTCTCCTTCATTATTGGATATCAAATCACATCTGGAAATAAATTATCTTTCCATAATGCTCTCAGGGATTGAATTACCTTAACAAGATTCAAAATAATAATATAATTTCTTAAATTCTTAGTATTCCATCATATTATCTAAATCCATATCAGCAGAATTGAATACTTCCTAATAATGAGTCATGTGCATTTTCTTAACAATCTAATAACCTAATATAATATAAGTACTATTTACCAGTTAAAATTCTACTGATATAATAATCATAATCAATGTAAGGTTTCATATTTCTCTCAATATAATTCATTTTAATATCTGAGATTATATTATTTCGATATTCTTATGGTATTTAAGAATGTATTTGATCAAGAATTTGAATTGCTTTTTCAACCAAAATAAATTATCCTTTATCTGTGTCTAATGTTTGATTCTCTTCATCCAATTACTTTAAAGTTTTAATATAAATTTCAAGATCATCAACTGATAATGAACTATAAAGTTGTAAGAATCTACCAAATAAATTAATTCTTATATTGTCTCTGTGTACAAAAATAGATTCATAAAAGCTAATTAATTTTTGTTCTGCTATATTTTTAAATCCATAAGTATTAAAAAAATATTCATAACAAATAATATGTAATGATGTTTTATTTTAAGTTTATTTTAACTTTTCTCCATAAAATTAAGATATAAATTTTAAGATTGTACTCTTTTTCATTTTTGAAGTTATTTCCTTTTAATTTGTTGCAAATTTAGTAGCTAATTATTTAACTATATTATTTTTTAACATATTGAGTCCAGGACTATCAATAGATTATTTATTTTAGAATTCTTATAAAATATAAAATAGATATTACTTGGTGCTTATGAAAAATATGATTTCTTAGTTTATCCTAACTTTCTTTTCCTTTATTTAATCTCTTCTAATCTTATGTTATACTCTGAATCATCACTATCAGAGTCACTAGAAGTGAAATTTTAATTGATAAAATTTGTTATGGTTTCTTAAAAGAATTAGACTTAATCATTTTATTAAGGCATAACAGAACCTTTCTTTTGTATTTTGGATCCTTTCTTGGCACCTTGATTTGATGGCATTTACTATTTAGTAATATTATAAAATATGTACAATTTTATAGGTAGGTCTTGGTTTTGACTAATTAGATGCTTTACTTCTGGGTGTCAATTACATATCTGAGGCTTCCTATTATTATATTCAATTTGAAATACTTCTTCACTTTACTATTGACTAGGTTATTATGATGAAAATCTCTATGATGCAAATTAATTATCATCAGGTTCAATTACAGATATATTATATTGAGAAGTGAATGATTTATCTTATTATAATGTAGGTAATTCTAAAGTATTTTAAGATTAAGTTTATCGATATTACATTGTTTATTATTATTATTATTATTATGGTTATTAAATTAAATTCTTTTTACTTGATTATTTCTTTAAAGTTGTTTTCTCTGGTATAGGCAATAATTCCTCTTTCTTTTCCAATTAAATTAATTGTTCACTTTGTATAGGTTGAATTGCAATTAAAGGTTAACTAGTTGATTATGGAATTAATGCTCCTAAAGGTGATATGTTTGATAATCTTGATTTTTAATTACTTTAAATAGGACCTAATGTACTTTATCTTTTATCTTAAATTCTTTTTTTCATGATTTCAGCAAATTTATGAGTTTATGTAAGTTAGACAACAAGAGTTTATGATTTTTCAACCATATTTGTTTTAATAGACTTTAATTTTTAATATTTTTTTTCAATTTTCTCATTTATCTTTTATTAATATATTTAATACCTTTTCATAAATTTCTAATTGAGCTTCTAATTCACCCATTTCTTAATTAGCAAGTTCATTTGCTCTCTCTAATTCTGCTACTTTTTTTTACTTAATAAAATAAGATATAAGTACATATTATTATAATTACTCTTCCTTTCTATTATTTTCATCTTTAAATGTACTATTAACTAAAATTAAATTAGTTCTAGCTTCCTTTTATTTATTTAAGTTATCTTTCATTGTATTCTAAAATTCATCTAAATGATCATATAATTCTTTTAATTTAGGTTATTATCCTTTTTCTATTTAATTTAATATTTATTAATATTGTTATGTAGCTTATTAGATTGCTTCATGTAATTACTATAAATGTTCTTCCTCTAATTTGATAGATTCTAATAGTTCATCTGTAAATTCTGTTTGAGTTATCTTAGTTGATTTATTTAAATAAGATATTTCTGTCTAAATAATTTATTATCTTCTATCTCTTAATTCAAATCTACACACAATTATTCAATTAAATACTTAGGAATTTATATTGATAAACTTTTCTTTTCAATAGTTTAAATCTCTACTTCTTTTCTTAATTGTAATATTTAATTTAAATCATCTGTATCTGTTGCTCTCTCTTCTAATAATATTTCTATATTGCTAAATGAAGCACTATCATTTAATATTTTTTATAATTTCTCTTATTATGTAGGTTATTTTTCAATATTCTAGAAACTCTTCCTCTATATTGGTTTAATCTCAGGTAATTAATATTGTGGTATTTAATGAATCACTAATTATTTCTATGTACCAGCCCTCATAATCTTCTTCTTTGCTATTCCCTATTCATACTCTATTTTAGGTTAATATTAGTTAGACATTTAAAATTATTCATATTAAAGTTGTACATTCCTTTAATATTCATGTAAATCATCTGTAATCTTTTCTATCTAATCAGAATATTATTTATTTTCAGTTTTCAAATCTTAGATTTCTATCTTCAATGCTTTTATTTAAGAATTCAAATATCTATTATTTTTTTTCAAATATTTTGTATTTCCTTTTAATTTCATTAATCTTTCCATAATTTAATCCATATCAGACTTTTGATTCTTCAAAATCATCAAATATTTATCAATCTCACTTTAATAAGCCTAATGAGTCTTCATTACTGCCTATAAATGATCTTTCTCTAATGTATTATTTTATTCCAGAACTGATTAATATACTGATTAATTTATTTCAATATATTAATTCCAAATCTTCTCCAAAAGTACACTATTATTATATATCAATATATTTTACCTCTTCTCAATACAATCAAATGAAATTTGTCTAATCAATTCTTTCAAACAAAGTGTAAATATTTATTATAAATCCTCATACATATTTGCTGATTAACCTTAATTTTTCTCTACTGCCTATTCAAGCATTAAGTCAGTCCATTCTGCAAGCATTTGTACATCATGTCTAATTATTCATTATATCCAATACTTAAGAGGTATGCCTCTATGAATCTTATCTTTGACTACTCTTTTTGTAAGATTACTGGAAAATTTAGATAATGGAATGACCTTATCTATTTGTTCTGTTGGTAGAACAACCTTAGCTTAAGAGATCTCTATCTTTTCTATTAATATATTGTACTTTTTGATGGATTCCATGGTAATTCCTCTAATTTTTTAGGGTATCTGTATGGATCCTAACTATTCAGTTAACCAAAAAAATCATTTTTATCCATTCTCTTTAATTTGTCAATTTAATCTAGCTGTCCATCTCTCAATAGAGGTGACTAATAGTATGTCTTGAATAATCATTAAATTAGTACAGACTAAGAAATAGTTTTAGATTTTTCTAATCTTGAACTTAAAGATGGTTAATTGATTTCAGTTTTGACTCTCTAACTTTAAGATTGATATTGGGAATATTAAGTATTGATCTTAATAAGCCTTTCAGAATTTTAATTTGGATTCTTTTAAATGAATGTATTCTTGAATTAATGAAATTTAGTCTCTTCCATTTATAAATTAAAATAAATAAAATATTTGATCAAATATGAATAATAAACTATTTTTTACTTCAAAGTGATTATAAAACATTATAAAATTGTTTGATATCTACACATATCAAATTTTATATAAAAATTCTGATCAATATCTGAATATCCATTTATTATAATAATATTCAACATAAAAATTCAGTTAATCAATATTATAATTAATCTAAATAATTACTATAATTTATTTTAGAGATTATAATTATAAAACAAAAATTTATAATAAATTATCATTATTTATAATAAGATTTAACTATTATAATAATGGTGATATAATAGAAAACCTTAAGATTAACTATGGTTTAATTAAACTTATTACATGAAGGATATTCTTTATAAAAGGAAAGGATTTATCTTTTATTTGTATTTATATTTTAATTAATAATTTTGATTTTTGAATTAATTTATTAAATGATTAATAATTCTAATGATATTATTAGATTTTTATTTATAATTTAAGATCTTAATACTAATAATTATATATATTTTACATAAAGTTATAAATTTGATACTTATTATAATGATGTTACTTTTTAGTATTAAAAATCATAATAAATATTAATTAAGATAAAGGGTATAAATTCTTTTATATAAATAATAAGAAATTAGTATATAGAATTAATGTTTAATTGATAATTCTTATTAATAAGATGTTTGAAAAATAAATGAATAAAAATCAAATTTTGTTTTAATATAATTTAACATAAATAATTAATGTTATAATTGGTACCTCATTATCATGTTGAAATGATGAAAAATAACTTAAAAACAAATCAATACTAATTATATGATGCAATAGAGGGGTAAGAATATGAAATTGCTCTAAGTATTTTGAATGATCTACATTAAAGATCTACTTGGATTAGTGGAATTTACTTAATAATGAATGGATATGAATTGGATTAGAATATCATAAATAAGTTCTTGAAAATAATATAAGAATCAGATGAAATTGAGATGACAGAATATGAATAATTAGCATTGACATAAATTTGTCAATAAATAATGAATATTGAAATGATCATACTTTTACATAAATATAATTTAGATGGTTGGATTTAATTATCTCCTAAGATTCATCTATTTTTAAGGAAATCTATCCATCCATAAGTACCTCAAATATTCATTGACTATTACATTAAATAAAATATAGAATTATTAGAACAACATGAGTAATCTTTTAATGAAGATTTTGTATGGACATTATATGATTTCAAAACATTTTATAAATTGATGCCTACAAACATTATTCATCCCTATTATAAGCTTATTTAAATTTCTATTTATATAAGGATGCTTGATTTGGAAGAAGTGCCTTGTCCAATTTCTTATTAAAGTATTCCTATTCAATATTCAACAAAATTGGAAGATATTTTAAAGAAATTAATACTTACACCACATAAAGAGTGTTTAGAATTATACATTTTTAGTTTGATTGAAATTGGTTTATTAAAAATTGTAACAAGAAATATGAAAGATAAATTAACATAAGAATAATTAACATAAATAAGAAAATATTTTATATAAGAAGCATTTAAAACAGAATATATTGTAGATGTAGAAGTGTTTTAATTTTTAGATAAAATTTAATCATTTGATTAAGAATTCAAAATAGAAGTGTATAAAAAAAATCCATAATTTTATGAAAATATAGAGTGTTTAGATATATTTGATGATGTTTCAGTAATTAATGGACTTATGCATAATTTCAATATTATAGAGAATCAATAAGTATGAATCAATATCTTTAATTTAGAAAGTTATTTAATTGTTAGCTTAATATAATTCAATACATACACTAAAGGCTATATGGATATTATGTATAGATGGAGCAATTCCTCATTTAACTAATAATCATATTTAAGAATTCAAATTAAAAAATTTCAAATGTTTAAATATATTTGATTAAATTTAATATCAATATGATTTTGAACATTTAATGGAAGCCTTAAAAGTAACTGCTATATGTATTTGGACAGATAGAGAAATTAAATAAGAAGAATTAGAGAATAAATAATTATTATCTTATCTTAAAAGATGTATAACAAATGAGAATTGTTAATCATTATTTAAACTATTGTTTAGTATATCAAATGGAATTTTTGAAGATAATTATGATATTTAATAAATTTCAATTCAAGTACCATATTTCTTAGAATTATTGACTATTTTGCTATTTGAATAAAATATTGAAGTTAATTAGAAACAATTTTATTTATAATAATTATTATTATTAACATAAAATCTTGAAAATGTGTTAATTATTATGAAAAGTTAATTAGTTGAAAGACTCATATTTTTTTTAAGAATAGAAAGTGTTTATTAAGAATTAATCATACAAACATTAATAAATTGTATAAAAGTCAGATTTTCTTTATAATATTTATAAGCAATTGCATAATTTATGTCACCATATTAATCTTTAATTATGATACCACATATTGATGATAAATAAAAACTAATTTAATATAGAAAGATTGCTTCAATTTTAGGTGTCCCTCCATAATCTATAGAATGTGGTTCAAATTAATAATAAAATTATATTTAAGAATAAATTGCTAACAAAGATCTTTTCTTAAAAAATTCCACTCTCCTATTATATTGTTTAAATAAAGTAATATCAATTTAAAATGATTAATATTATTATTTTACTGGACATGAAAGTGGTATCATAGTAAAGGGTAAAATGCAATTTGAAACCTAAAATAATGTTTTCTCTATTATCATTCAATTTAAAGGATAATTAAAATAATCAACTCTCTTAAATTGGGGAAATTAAGAAATAAGTTTTTCAGTTGCCATTGAAGATCCTTAATTACTTAGTATTAGATATAAATAGTAGAATATATTGAAAACAGCAAAATATTCTTTAAAATATTAAGAAAATTTTATTGTGATTAATTTCAATTAAAATAAAGCTTTTTAAGTAAATATTAATGGGAATGATGTTTTGGCAAGATAAGCAGATTAATTTGATAATTTTTAAATACCAGTTTTAAATTTCTTTGCTGTTGGTGCAAAATTAAATGATTATGAATCTCTTAGTGATTCTTTTAGAGGTGAAATGAGACTGCTTTATATTTTAGATTAAAATATAAATGCTGAAGATATGTATATTTTAGAGAAGAAATCCTAAAATAATTCTGTTTTATTTTCATAATTACTTAAAATGTAAATTAAAGGTAGAATTTTATTATATTTAAATACTCAATCCTAAAAACAAGACTTATCATTTGATGGACTATTACATTAAAATAATTAAGTTTTTATTGAAAATTGTTAATATTTAATGTTAAGGGGAAGAAGATAAAAATAAACAACAATATCAAAATTAATGGGAAAATTATTTTAATAAAGAAAAAGCTTAAATTCATTAGATGTTTCCAATTAAAATTCTAAAAATGTATTATTCTTAGAAAATACAACTTTGCTTGATGTTATGAAATCTTATGGTAATTTAGATATTCTTTTTTTCCCATTACATATTTTGAATGATCCTTAATGTGTTATTAGTGTTTTGTAATTACTTAATACAATAATATAAAAATTTGGTGATGATAATTCAATCTAAAATTATTTGAGATCTGATTCTTAATATAAAGGCATTAAAGTCTTAGGATATTTATTAACAGTTCATATGAAAACATAAGGATGTTCAATTTAATTATTATAGTAAATACTTAATTTCTATAATTCTTTGTTATAATGTTAAATAATTTAAGTATTAAAATAAGATTGTATGTGTATATATCATGAATTTGAATTTTGGTAATATTGTTAATATGATATTCTCTTATATCTCTACTCTTATTTATTTGAATAATTATAAAATAATGAAGAATTATTCACTTATTTTAAAGATTAAGTACAGATTTTGTATTATATTTTATAAGTCTAATTAATATCTTATGAAGATAATAAAGGAGATCAATTAATCTATAATTAAACTAGAAAGATTTTAATTAAATGTATATTATACCTTATGTATAATCCTTTTTTTTAAATGTAATTTAGTAATGATCAAATCCTACCAATATAGATGATAATTAGAGATAAAAAGAATGCTTCAAGTGAAAAATTATAAATTTTAAAAAACGAAATTATTTTGATATTAAATCATCTAACTTTAAAAACAATAAATGATTTAGTAGTTATGTTAGGTTTTATAGTTAGAAAGCCATAAAATACATTAATTTTAGAGTTATTAACAGATATTAGATAAGGTAATCAAACAGCATAAAAGGAATCATTATTAGATGTTATGTAAAGTCAATTTGCTTTAAAGATGGAGAATGAAGATACTATTTTATAGGTTATTTTTAAAATAATTTATGGTGTAATTATTGAAATGATTAATTAAAACATTTTAGATGATTAATTATTAGGTCCATTAATGGATATTTTAGTAAAAGTACAAGTTCATTAAATTAATTATGAATATAAATTATTAGAACTTTAATAAGCTAAAAATTCATAATAATAATAAAAAACAAAAGAATATAGTGCTATAAAATCTTTATTTAATAAAATAAATTATATTTTATTTGAATTAAGTAATAATTTAATTTGTCGTTAATAAACATTTTAAGTATTAATTAATGTATAATATTTATATTTATTTAGATTAGTTATCAAGTTTGGTCTTAAAATAAGAGTTGAATTTAGAAAAAGAAGTATTAAATTTATTATTATCACACTTTTCATTCTATAATATTGAAACTAAATAATTGATAATTGAATTTTTTTTATAATCTTTAGAATTTAAAGTCTTTATGAATACATTATGTAATCATAAAGAAATTATGAACTTTATTAGAGAATTAATTAATATAGAGACTGGTTAAACTTTAATCAATTATATTGTAATACATCACATAGACAACATAGATTTTTCTGCCAAAAAAATATTAAAATTATTTAATATGGTACAATAACAAAATAATTAATTTATGAAAGTTATATTGACAATTTTATTACTTTAAAATAATAATAATAATAAATAAAATCCAAAAGCAGAAATTGCATTATTAGATTTATTTATGTTATTGCCTACTTCATTAGCATAAAATTAAGATATGATATTAAGTGATCCTGAATTATTTGTTAAAGTATTTTATGAATATGTCACTTATTTGGAAAAATAAGATAAATTATATTCATTTTATCTTGATACAGAATTTATAGGATATTATGAATATGATCCAAAATCCTTTTTTAGTTTTTAATAAAATGAAGCATCTAAAAAATATATTTATCCAAATGGAGGTGTAATGGGAGTAGTACTCTTTATTTTATTTTATTCTTTGGAACTATTGATTACAAGTAAGGAAGCTAAATAATTATTGATGATTTGGAAGAAATTATTAACAGATAAATCAAAATCTGAATTTCAACATAATTCTTAAACTTTAATAAATAATGATCAGATACCTAATTTATAAATGAAAATTAAGAAAATTAAGATAAAATCATAAAAATCATCATTGGTGTAAAAATTTAAATAATCTGTATTAGGTGAATATTAATTAACTCAATATGATAAATATTTTTAGGATATACATTTATATCATGTATTAAAATTCTAATTGTTATCTTAATAATATTCATATTCTGAAGAACTTTATGATATTTTTACATTAATTAAATTTAAATTTGATAACTTTTTGAATTTTTAATCTCTTTGGTCAATTATTGAATCAAACAATATACAAAATTATATAGATTAATTATCAACAAAGATTAATATAGAATAATTATCAATCTATACACCTATTGAAGAAATAAATAATAGAGCTTATTAGATAATTACTTAATTTAATTAATAAAGTTAATAAATATAATCTGCAATTTAATAAAATGATAAATTGAGTAATGATGCTAAGAAATTCTTAGATCTTATTAGTAAAGTGAATTCACTATTCAAATATTTAGAATTTTTTAAAGAATAAAAAGATATAATTAATAAAACTTGTGTTTATATTAAATTATATTCATTTAGATAAATCTAATTTGTTTAAGAATTAAGCATATTATTAAATATTTATTCATTACAGAATTAAAATGTTGATCAAATGGATATTTCTTCAATTAATTTAAATAATTAATAATCAACATTATCAATATCTTAGAATCAATAATAATTATCTGATTTTCCAAAAATATCATCTAATTTATTTAATTAATATAGATAAGAGTTTTTATAAATTATATAAAAGTTTGAAAATGAATTAATTATAAAATAACTTATAATTCAATTTAAAGTTAAATAACATTATAAATAAAACACTCATAAAAGAGGATTGTGGTATTTTATGAATTATGGAGATGCACATTTATATGAATAATTGAATCATGAAAATTTAGAATCATTTTTATAATTATTAGGAAAAGAAAGATATTCAATTAATAGTTATGAAGATAGTATGAGAAGGAAAATGTTTTTGAAAGTATTTGCTAAATAAAAAAAGACATATGAACATATATAACTAAATAAAACAGCATAAAGTATTTTTAGTGATTTATATGGTGCATAATAAATTATATAATAGAAGGATAAATTTATAAATAATGAAAATTAAAGATTTATGGCAGAATTAATAACATAAAGAGGTTTTTATAGAGGAAAAATAAGAATAACAAATGAATATTTTATGTTTGAGAATTTTGGTTTAGATATTCAATTTTAAGATGTTTAATATAAATTTTAAAAAGATAGTCTATTAAAGACAGAAAAATAAAAATTGATTCCTTTATCTTAAATAAAAGAAGTATTTCCAAGAAGTTATTTGGCCTAACCAGTAGCCATTGAATTATTTACCAATAATAATAAAACATATTTATTTAATCTTTTTGGATAAAGACAAACAGTTATGAAAGTTTTATCATAGTAATGTAATGTAATAATGAATCCAATTGAATAATTTAAAAAGAGTGGTATAATTGAAAAATGGAGAAGAGGAGATATTACAAATTTCTAATATTTGATTGAAGTTAATAAATATGGAGGGAGAACATATAATGATTTAAATTAATATCCAATATTTCCATGGGTTATATCAAATTATGTAGATTTCGATATTTAAAATAAAGAACATTTTAGAAAACTTGATATTCCAATAGGAGCAATAAATTAAAAGAGATTGGAAAACTTTTTAGAAAGATTTAAGTAAGCAAATCCAGAAGATATGAATATGTATTTTATTTATGGAACCCATTATTCACATAGTGCAATTGTAATGAGTTTTTTAATGAGAATGGAACCATTTGCATCACTTCATTAAGAATTATAATCTGGAAGATTTGATAAAGCAGATAGATTATTTCATTCTTTAGAATAATAATGGCATTCTGTTACAAATTCAAGCAGTGATGTTAAAGAATTAATTCCAGAGTTTTTCTACTTTAGTGAGTTTTTAAAAAATAAAAATAAATTTGATTTAGGATAACTTTAATCTGGAACAGTAGTTAGTGATGTAACATTACCTTAATTTATTCATACTAATAGTCCAGAAGAGATGATATTTGTAAATAGATTAGTTTTAGAAAGTGATTATGTAAGTTTTAATTTACATAATTGGATTGATTTAATATTTGGATATAAAAGTGGAATGAATGCTTAAAAATACAATAATTTATATCATAGATTAACTTATAGTAATTACGTATAGTCATTATTAGAGAAAACTGATGATGAAGTTTTAAAAGAATAATATATTACTTAAGTTTATTATTATGGATAAACACCTTAATAATTATTTAAGAAAGATCATCCAATAAAATAATATTCAAAATTGAATGATTAAAATCCATTATTGTAACTTAAATAAATTACTTTAATGATAAATAAATAAAATATAGATATTGATCAATTATTTTGTAATGATAAATATTTGGTATTAATAACAAATGAATAAGAAATTCATGTTTTTAATGTAGAACATAGAATAACAAGTCATAAAATACCAAAAGATTTTGGAAATTAAGAAATTAAACAATTAAAATTTAATCAAGATAACATATTCTTATTATTTGATGATTCTTTAGTAGTAGGTGGATATACTGATAATTCTGTTAAAGTATATTCTCTAAAAGATCTTAAATTAACATGTTCTGTTTTATTTCATACTAAAGTTGTTACTTGTTTAGGCAAAAGTTCAACATAATTATTATGTGGAAGTAGAGATACAAGAATATCAGTTTGGGAATGGACATTATCACATTAACCAGAATTTATATTATATGGACATCAAAACGAAGTGTCAATTATATAAGTTAATTAGATTTTACAAATTATTTTAAGTTATGATCTTAAAGGAGATATCCTTATACATACAATTAAAGGAGCATTCTTAAAATTAATTGAAACTTCTATTAATGATTGTCTTTAAATTAAAATTCATCCATCTGGATTTATTTTAATTTCTTAATCCAAATAGTTGATTATATACACTTTATAAGGGGAACTATTCCTATCCAGAGAATTATTAGATCATATTATATCTATTAATGTTCTTAATGAGTATTCACCTGAAATTGTAATAATTATATCTTATAATTAGTTAATCCTTACATATGATGGTACAATATTTATTACTTCAATTATCTAATTAAAAAAGACAGATGATTTTAATTAGTATTGTCTCAAGAAATACAAATTAGAGGATATGGAAATTAAAATGGAGACTAATTAATTGAGAAAAGTCAAAGAATTAATTAATACCAAAAATTTAGAATTTTTAACTTCCCAAATTTCATGTGGTTAATTTATACAATGTATTATCATTCATTATTATAATTATAGTGAATACTCATAGAGTTCTTATTATTGGTTATTAAAATGGATAAATAATATCATTATACGAATAACCAAGAACAACTAGTTTATTATGATTTATATATAAAACATATGTATTTTTAATATCATAGTTTTACTTTAGATTTTAGATGTTATGTAATCTTTTCTACGAATTATTCATCCTCTACTTGTAAATGCTCCTTTTTTAATTCCTGAAAAGGTAATTATTCAGCAACTTCAAATTGGGCAAGTTAATTTAGAAAATTCTGTTTAGCTAATGGATTGACTAACTATTCTAATATTTCTTTTTTCTTTTCCCTTAAAAAGTCTTTAACTTAAGACATCATAAGTTATTTTGAGTATTAATCAAGCTTCTATTAAGTTTCAGCTAGGGTCTAACCATTATGTGATATTTCAGATGATTATTAATTTATTTTGATCATAGGATGAATAAACTAAAGATTCTCTATAGCATGATCACTGTTTCTTTTAAATAACATATAAAAATATTTTACTTTGTTTTGTCAATCAAAGCAATTACTGTGGTGTTTAACAATTTCACCTTTCTATCTCGAGTTGATTTCTTGCCAATTCTACCTTCCTTTAAATAGACTTACAATATAGCTTTAACAGTAGAAGGTTTCAATTAAGTTTCTTCAGAAACCTATTTTATAAAATATGTTTATTTACTTCCTTCAAAGTCTTTCCATTCTTTGTTAATTCATTTACTATTTAAGTCCTTTATTCTTGTGAAATCTTCTTATACCTAAAGGTGAAATATTATTCATACTTCATGTTACGAGATCCCTTTCTAATTTTTTAGCTGCTATTCATTTATTATTTAATTAATAGTTAAATTTAGCGATTTCTATACGATTAAGAATGGTTACAATAATATCTAATCCTATTTATTTTTCAACATTTTAAACAGTTTCATTTATAATAAGTCCAAGAAGTATTTCTATCCCCTAATTTATCCTCAAATTCATTCTTTATATGAAATTTCTAAAATAATGAATCAAAGGATGAAATTTGAATTTATATTTTAGCGACAAATTTATTTTAGAATGAGATAATGAAATAGAGGAAGAATAAAGAAAAAGCAAATAAAAGAAGTATATATCAATATTTTAAGAATTAAATTCTTATGGAAAAATTAGTGATTATAAAAATTTAATTATTAAATGCATACATAAATATTTCTAATTTTTATTATGAATACGGATTAATATATAATTAGCTTGTTGATTTTGTTGATTTTAATTTTCAATTCAAAAATAAACCCTATGCATTCTTCTAATCATTATCAATTATTATCATATTTGAATGAGCAAAACTATTTTACAAGAACAATATGTATTAATATTAATCAAAATGATAACCAATATTAATAATAATTTTATTATCTAGAACAAAAAATTTAATATTTTAAATAAGAATTATTATTCTAGTAATTAGCTAGAAAATTTCAAAATCTGAAATACAGAGATATTTCACATAATCAACAAAAAAACTTTGTGTTGTTAGGTTTTTATTTTCTTTAAAAAATGAATATAATTATTTTTATAAAGCTCTTATAATTATTTAATATTATCCTAAATGTATAAATTATTCATAAGCAAGAATATTAACATATCAAATAATTGAATTATTCTATATTATAAATATGGATGTTTTTCCTAATTGAACATAACTTATTGATAACATACAATAAATGATTTATATTTAAGTTATAAATATAATAATATCATGAAATATTTTCTTTGTCTATTAAATTGATATACTAACTTCCATATAAGTTGATGGTGGTTATTTGTGGATCATTTATAAGTCTAGACTTTTTTATTGAGGAAATCTGTGAGATTTCTGATTACTCTACTTTCGATATAGAAGCTTAGATAAATAATTTTCTTACTTATATTTCGAATTGATGGTTTCTTTCTAAGAGGGGATCTTATTGGAGATTATCTAAATATTGAGTTTACTGGAGAACGCTCTCTTGAAGCTAATATTTATTTAATATGAGATAAATTTGAAAATCTTGGACGATCAATCATGTCAAATAATTAAGACTATTAAGATAAAGTGTTTTGAGTATTTAAATGAGTTAACGATGATTTCTTTTTGATTTACGAAGTACTTGTAGATGAGGCAAATGATGAAGGATATGAACAATCAGAGTCATTATTAGTTGTATACAATGATGGATTTTTTGTCTTTATTTAATCTAAAAATAACTATTACTACTAAATTTGAGAATCTTTTGATTGTATATCATCATTCTATAGGATATATATATAATAATAATACTTTAGATTACAGAACTTATTTTAATTCTTATATTTCTTTTTATGATTCCTCATATTTTAATTTCCAATAATCAATATATTATTATTATTCTTCAGTTATTTAAAGCAATAAGGATTTCTAAAGTTGTTTTTATTTTAAATTAACTTTTAATGCATTTTGTAATTATTATTCTAATTCTTAGTTTTATTTTTAGGCTATCATAAGATTATGATACATTTAATCATCATTAATTGAATTTTAATTGTTTTACAAACTCATTGAATAAATTTCCTCTATTTGATATTGATTTTAAAGAATATTATTTTGTATTTCAATAAGTGAATTATTAATTTCATGATATTCTTCAATATTACTATAAATGTCATTATAGATTTTGGTTAAATACAGTTGTTTAGTACTCATTTCAGAATCACTAATATTAGGTAGAATAAGGATCTTTTCTTCACTTATTTATTAATGCAAAGACTTTTAAACTTACTTTTTTATTTGAGTAGCTCTACTACTATATTAGAGTGTGTTTAATATTTCATCATATTGACATTTATTTTATTATATGCAAGAAATCATTATTGTTCTAGTATTGCCACCTAAAGAATCTTGTAATAATCTAGTTAATTTTGAATTTCTATATGGAATATGTTAATTTTTCTTGGATTTATCTGATAAAATAGTCAAACAATTGCTCAAAGCCAAAAGAGATCTATTGATATTGGAACCCTCCTATTAATTCTTACTCTTTTAATCTTAATAAACCCTCTCTGATCCTGCAAGATCAACAATAAAAAGTTTTGGTGTTATGGTTTACCTAAATGATAAGAAATATATGACAATACCCTTCAAAACAATAAGATAAATTAAATTGTATTAATGCATGTGATCTTGATGAATAAACATTGTATATAGTTTAAGCCAAACTTCGATTTTAATTTGCAATATTTATGCCTTCTTTCACCTAATTGTTTATATATTACTAAACAATACATCATTTATGCTGTTAATTTTAATTGCTTATAAACCTTAAATATAAGATCCCTTTTAATTGTCTTACATAATCATAAGAGGTTTTGGTTAGTCTGACATGAGATCTCTTATGGTTTCATTGTAAACTTCTATAAAACTCATCTCCATTTAGACATTAGCTTCAGGACTAATCAATAATATCGAGTTTATTAACCTCATGTATTTCATTCTGTTCACCAGATAATTAATGCATTTAAATGACAATCCTTCATCTTTCTCGTTTCCAAAAATTGTATGAGTTTTACCTGAACCAGTTATACCATATGCTAATATTGTTGTGTTATAACCTTCAACAAAGTGATCCAGATTATGCTGTTATTTTTAATATATATATACTCTTAATGATTGATCAAAAATATCCTCATTATTTTGAACACCACTGAATATTTTATCAAAAACAAAGGATTTACTATTTTTACCATCTTTTCTAATTACAATTTTATTGTCATTCAAATCTTCAATTAAAGTTTCTATACTAAACTAATAAGTATTCACATTTTACCTGCTTTCCAACAAAGGTTTGATTCTCAAATATACTTGAAATGGTTAATTAGACATTTTTATTAGCAGTTAAATTAAATTATTTATTCTTAAAAATTGATTTTTTTTTCAAACTAATTCCACATATTATGTATTTCAAACAATTTACTAAATTATTCTTATTATATCCAATATTGATAATAAACATTTTGCTTTAAATATTCTAATTTTCATAATTATTTTTTATTTATTTAATATGAATTAAGCATAATAATAAACATAAGAAGAAAATCCATTTCAATTTGAGTTAGATTCTAAAAAGTTTCTATAAAAGTTGGAAAAAGAACGTAATTCTGGATATAATGATGATGATGAAGAACAAAAACAAGTTCCACATACTTAAAAATTATATTAAACAAGTGCTAAATCAACAAGATTTGGACTGTTATAAAAATTAGAAGATCAAAGTATAAATTTACTTATATTTAAAATAGCAAATAAATTAGCATAAGAAAGAGATGAGATGTTTGCCAATGAAGCTAAAATGAGAGATCCTAATTAACCATAAAAAATAGATGAAATAGCTTAACACATCAAACATTTTAATCCAAAATTAATGGAATATAGAGATGATGAAGCTAGAAAAACTATATATGGAAAAGAAGATAAAAAGAAAGATTTTGAATTATAAGAAATGAAAAAGAAGAAATATCGAATTAAATCAATATTAAGAGAAAAAAGAGAAACAATTACAGATTTTATTGAAAAAAAAAGAGAAATATGTTTAGCTAATTTAAATATTATGACCAAGAAAGAAGAAACTGAAAGATTAGAAGATTTTATAAAGAATGAATAAGAATCATTAAGAGCAAGAAGATTATATTTTAAAAATGATTGTGAATTAGTGAAAAAGTTTATGAATGAAGTGAAATATTAAGCTGATTAAGCTGCTTATTAAGCTGATAGAGAATCTAAAAAAAAAGATGAAGTTAAAACTGAAGTAGCTAAAATATTAGCTTAAATAGATAGATTAAAGTTATAAAAGACAAAATATGGAGAAGAATTTGAAAAATTAGATAAATATAGATAATTTTTAGAAAAAATTAAAGTAATTCTAAATTTTATAATGAATTTTAGGATACATACAAAACAAAATTTTCAGAATTTGAAAAAAAAGATATTAACTTATTTTCTAATCAATAAAATGAATAAAAGAATTAATTTTTTGTTACAGGAGTAGATTAGAGAGAAGAATAAAAATAAACTTAGGAATAAATTGAGGCAGAAAGATAATAAGAAAGAATGGCTGATTTGGTTATAGAGATCCTTAACAATATTGAAGAGGGTAATTTGAGAAATATCTAAAATTAAAGAGATGCAGAGGAAGATATTGAATAAAAGAAGAGGGAATTAGAGAAATTAGAATAAAAATTAAAAAATGAATAAGATGAACATTTAGAAATGTTGAAAGCAGAAGAAAGAAAATTGAAAGCATAATTAAAGATATAAAATTAATTGAAAGATTAAGAAAAGGTAGATTAAACAAAATTATAATTTGCAGAAGGTGAAGATTTAGATATGGATAAAATTGGAAAGAAAATAATAGAAATTTAATAAGAAGCAACAAAAAATTAAGATATAATGGGAAAGAGATTATAAATAGACTCAAAAGTTATAAAATAAGTTATTAATGTAATAAAAATTAGAATATATAGTAATTAGAAAAAATAGTTATTGATTTATCTGAATCTAAATTGTAATTTTTGTTAAGATCAAAAACTGATTTCATTGAAGCAGAGAAAAAAATTAAGAAGGAAAAATAATAATAAAGATTAAATAATTAGAAGGATGAGGAAAAGAAAAAGTAAATTATGGAGAGGAGAAACAAAAAGGAAGAACATTTATAGAAATTTTATAAAGGAAGACATGATATGAAAAGGAACTATAAATAAGAAAAGCCTGTAGTGGAAACAGAAGAAACAGAAACAGATCAAAATGATGATGAAAAATATTTAAGAGAATCTTATGAATTGGTATATGTGCCTCCTTAGTAAAAATCTCACAATTAATAATAATCAAATGAATTAAACATAAAATAGAATGAGAGATAATAATGAATTAATATTTATATAAATAAATTTACAAATAATGGCATAGCCAAGTAAGAGAAAATAATCAAGATCTTTTGAAGATAGCGAAGTAGCAATTTTAACATAAGTGATAGTATAGGAGGAAGTCGTTTAGGGAAGGTGGACAAAAGATGAACATTAAAGATTTGTAGAAGCGTTGAGTATTAATGGGAAAAATTGGAAAAAAGTTGAAGAATATGTTGGTACTAGAAGTGGTGCCTAAATTAGGTATTAACATATTTGTGAATTAAGATCTCATGCATAAAAGTTTTTCAATAGATTAGAAAAAGAATTTAATAAATAATTTAATGGTCTTAAGAGTTCAGAGATTAAACAGATTTTTGAAAATAATATACATCATTATTCAGAAGGGGATTAGACATAAAAAAGATAAAGATTTGGTTCTGTTAATGGTAATACAAATATATTATATTTAGATATTTCTGAAGATGATATATAAGGAAACTTAGATTCAATGTAAATTGAGTCAAATTAGATATAACTGCAATAATAATAATAATAAGTTAAAATGCAATTACAACAGGGTATTTTAGATTTAAATCTACCTGATTCGTGTTATCACTAAAATGCAAAGGATCAAGTCACCAAATATCAATAATAAAAAAATAAACTGCAAAAGAAAATACAAGATATTGTTGATCGAAATTACCCTGAAGAATTAATTAAAGAAATTTTTGAATTGCATAAAGAAAAAGATCAGATTATAGCTATTCAATAAATTTAAAATGCTTATTAATCCATTGCTGAAGTTAATCAATTTGAATAACAGCAATCCTTAAAATAATAGTAGTCTTAATAAACTCAACCAGAACAATAATAATTATAGAAGATTAATTATTAATTAAATGAAGAATCTAGACCTGGAAATGATGAATCATTTTTTCACTTTATAATGTATATATTCTCTTTTTAGGACTAGGGCAAGAAATTAAAAGTATATAAATAATAGGAAATTGAGCTTATCTGATTTGATAGATGTACCAAAGAAAGATGAAAAAGCATAAGAATCAGAAATGTTGGAGTAAAAATAACAATAATAATAAGAGAATGAAGGATAAAGGAGTAGAAAATAATCATTTACTTTTTACAACGATTAGGTTGAAGATAATGAACTAAGATATTAGACACTCAAGAAAAACAAGAAAGATTAATGAATAACTATTTTATATAGTTAATTAAATATTTTTTTTAAACAAATGTCATAAATCTCTAACGTCTCTAATCATCAATTTTATACTCCTGATACATCAAAACATTAAGATTAATTCAAAACTGCTGAAGATAGGAAGACCATTCCTTTTGATGAAAAGAGTATTACACCTAAAAGCAATGCATATTCAAATGCTTTTAAATAATTCTATATTGAAAATCAAAATGATTCTAAAGATAAAGGTCCAATTGAAGATTTTTTTCCTTAATTGGGATAAACATAATAACAAGAAACATCTTAATAAAATTCTAAAATATGTGATTTTGATGACTTTCCTGAATAAGGCGATAGTTAAACTCCTAATAGTGAAGAAGCTGGATTAGATTCATACAGAGAATAGCAAAAATATTTTGGGTATGTTGAATAACCTGTTAGAAAGTAATCAAGAGATATGAATGATTTTGATGATCTAATGGATGTTAAAAATTCTTAAAACGCTTCTTCATCAAGTCAATAATTTTAAAATATCAACCCAGCTGAAAAATATGATCATATAACTCCTGAATAATTGCCTACTGATCCTTTGGAAAGATAAATGATATTAAAAGCTCCAGAAATTTAACCAGATAATTAGAACTATCCCTTTTTAAATGGTATTTCTCCCTCTATTCCAATAAGTTCAGATATGGCTTTCTCATTTAATCAATTTTAAACTCAAGGAATTTAAAACAATTAAAATTAAACTACTTCACTCCCAATGTATTAACAAATTGCCTTTAAAGTTCAAGATCCTAATACAACTCTATTATAACCAACAACAACATAAAATAATTAAATAAGTCAATTACATCAAAATCCTACTTTTTAAGATATAAACCATTTAAATACTCAAACTTAACCATATTTAATAGACAACAGTTATAATTTAAATTTCCATAAAATTAATGATGATCAAATTCAAAAAAATATTTTTGAATAACCGGAAGCTACAAATTCTGATAAATTTTTTAGTGTTGATATCCCTATACCCTCCATTTCCTCTTAAATTATAAATAAACAAACGTTTTAACCAGAACTATTAGACAATCCTGTTATTGTTAAACAATAATAAGAATAAGTTTAATAAAAACTAAGTTATTCTCCTATTCAATTTGAAGAAGTTATTTAAAAAAAACAAGAATTTAATTTTGATTTTGATTTAAATAAATAAATTCAATAAGATAATAATATAATAAATTCTAAAGTTGAAATTCATGGAGATGATTCAGAATTACCTTGGGAACAAGATAACAATTTTAAAATGATTAATTAGGAAGTAATATTTCCTAATCAAATTATAGGAGATATGTCTAAAGAAATATAATAAGTCAATAAATAAGAAACTTTCAACCCAGCTGTTATTGAATTCTTTAAAGATTTTGAGCCCCAATAAAATCTAAAATAATCAAATTAATTCAATAAAAAAGAAATTCCTATAGAAAGCTTTTAAGAAAATCCTAAAGAAAGTCCTAAAAACTAATAATTTCCATTTTAAAAATAAACATAACCTTCATAAATTAACTTTTATTAATCAACCTCCTAATAATAATCATAAACATCATTACATTAAGATAATTTCTTCTCATAATTTCGAGAAGATCAACCAAATTTTCCAGTACAACAGGATATTTCAATAGTCAATAAAAGCTAATCATCTGATGGATAAACTCCTAAAAATTAGCCTGCCCAAATCTAGGTGTAAAACTTAAACAATTCGATTTCATCTCATAAATCTAATTCAATGTAGGGTAAAAATTATGTCATTTAACCACCATAAGTATAAAGTTAAAAAGAATAATTTGGTCTTTGGTTTGAAAAAGAAGATAGTAGTGAAAGAATGAGCTAAAATTCAAAAAGATCTGCTAAATAATCTTAAAATCATATTGAAGAGGAACTATTTTAGGAGAAAGATAATACTTCTTGGATTAAAAATTTAGAAAATTAATAAATAACTAAAATTTAACCAATTTAATAATAGCAATAAAATTTAGAATAATAATAATAAATACAACAATAAGAATACTAATACTAATAATAACAGCAACAATAACAATAAAAATAACAATAATATGAATAAGAATAATTACAATAATATCTAAAATTGTAATAACAATAATAATATTAATAATAGTAACAATAATAATAATAATAATAATAATAATAATAATAATAATAATAATAATAATAATAATAATCATAATCATAATAGTAATAATAATAATAACAATAATAATAATCATAATAGTAATAATAATAACAATAATAATCATAATAGTAATAATAATAATAATAATAACAATAGTAATAATTATCACTATTACAATAGTAATAATAGTAATAATAGTAAGAATAGTAATAATAATAACAAAAAGAAAAAGAAAAGTATGAATATGAATAACAATAACAATACTTATAATAATAATTATTATTATAAAAATAATAATAACAATAATAATAGTAATAATAAATATTATTCTAATAATAGTAATAAAAATAACAACAATAATAATAAATATTATTCTAATAATAATAATAATATGAATAATAACAGCAATAATAATAATAATAATAGTAATAACAGCAATAATAATAATAATAATAATAATAGTAACAATAATAATAATAGTAATAACAGCAATAATAATAATAAATATTATTATAATAGTTTTCTTCAAACCAAAGTAAATAATAAGATCAATAATAAGAAGTAAAAATAACCCCAAGAAATCAGGGTATCAATTAAAATTAAACATTAATTGAAAATTCATCATAAAATGTAACTCCTAATTAATCTCCTTAATTTTTTTCAATCAATAATTCTTCAAATTCTATTAATGAGAAAAAGAAAAATAATCCTTTTACTAAAGAGGAAACAGAAATTGTTATAGATCCAAAATGGGAAAAGGAATTGCCTTAATTTGATTCTGAATAATTTGAAGTAAAGATTGAATAAAAAAAAAATTTGGATCCAATATAAGAAATGCCAGATGAATCTCTTACTTAGAGTTATGCAGTACAAAATAGAAACTCAGAGTTCTAAGAGAAATCGATAGAAGAATCAAAAGTAATTTAACCATTCTTAAAAATTTAATCTTAAGAGATCTTATCTGCTTAAAAAGGTATTAGTAGTGTTAGAGAAAGCAAAGAGAGTAATAAAGAGGCAATTAATCCTTAATAATTAGTGGAGTAATTAATTCCAGGTTTACATGAGGTCATTAGAAAATCTTTTTAATAAAATATTGAAACCCAGTTATATTAATTAGCATCATAATTTTAACAAAAATTATAGGAAGATGAATAAGAAAACTTTGATATTGATAAAATTAGTTCAAAAGTATTTATGATAGAGAATTTGGTTTAAGGATATGGAAAGAAGCTAGATTAAATAACAGATATGCTGAATAAAGAGAAAGAAAATTAAGATTAATAAAAGATATAAGAATAAAATACTTAAAGCAAAGCTTTAGTTGGTTAAGATAATTAACAAACTTTTTAAAAATAATAAAAATAAATTTGTTCGCCATTTGAATTAAATTTAGAAGATTAAATTGAGGAATCACCTAAATAGAATTATTAACATTTGAATTAGTCTAATTCAAAAGTAAGAGTTGCTTAATCAAGTGTACTATACAATACTCATTAGAAAGGGTTTATTCCTTATTAGACTTTACAATAAACATAATCAAAGTACGTAAATGAAAGTTAAATAAAAGAAGATTGGGAGGATCATTTACAAAAATTTTAAACAAATTATTAATTTTAAAGGTCTTTACTCAAAGGGTTACAAGAATTTGAGATATAAAATTTTAGGAAACAGTGTTTAAGTGAGTAGACAACACTTTTAGACACATATGAATTGATAGTTACATTAACATCAGAAAAATATGAAAGTGATGGTGCTGAAGGATATAAAATAATTATCTCTTTAAAAAATAAAGCTCAATATGATATATAAAATTTAATAGTCTTGTTTAATTCGAATAAAAGTATAAATTACTTAATATATTTTAGTAAAGGATGAATATTAAATAAAGCCAGAAAAAATTAGTTAATCTTATTTAAATCCTGGAGATATTATTAGATAGGAGATTAAATTTCTATATTATGATCTTTAAAGCGTTTATTTAAATTGTTTCATAAAATACACAATTAATAATTTTAAGATGGGATAAAATTTTAATAAAATATCTTAAAGTCAAGGATTATAAGGTACATAAGATTATTCAAATTTGTACCTTTCTTAAATGAACAGTAGAAATATGATTTAAGAGTATATTTAAAATATTATAATTAGAGTTGGATAATTTAAGAGGAACTTTCAATTTTGCATAGCCAGACCTGCAAATAAGTTCTTTTTTTATGAATTTATTACATGTGAAGAAATAAATGAATATGAAATGAAATGTAGAAGTGAATAGTTTTATTTGAGATCACTGGATGAACTTATAATATTTCATCCATGGCTCATATAGATTGACTAATTTACTTTGGGGGGGAAAGTATCTATTAAATTAAAAAACATTGAGCATAAATTTGTTATAAAAGTAGTTAACAAAAACCAGAAGGGAATTATATTTATGAATGGAATAGATATGGATTAGAAATTAACTGAACATTTTCTTACTTTCTTTGCCTTCTTGTTTAGCAAATTATATTGATAATAATTTATAATAATTATAATATTATTTTATATATATATATTATCATAATATTTTGCCAACATGTATTTTATATCCAAATTTATTTAATTCTCTATTAATAATTTTGGCTGCATAAGGTAATCTATAGAAGGGAATCTATGGGAATAGATGATGTTCTGTTTAAAATTACATTCCTCCCATCAACAAATTAGATAACCAATCTAAGATTTAGTTTAATTTAATAATACCTGTCCAATCATAATTTCTAGATGTTATAATTTAATGTTCAATGAATGGTTTGTCAATTTTATTGAAGAACTTATATTCTCTTTCGTGATTCCCTATCAATATACAGGCACTAAAGAATCCTGCAATGTATTAGGCAACAACATATATCCATATTTTTTGTTAGAATACAATTAATTGATGAATTAGAATATAGATGATGTCAATCTTATTGTATGATGTCAGAAAAGAATCAAATTTCCATCTAAAAGATTATTAATTACTTATATACTTCAAATAGAGGAATCCATATTACCACTTTTAATATGTGTGATTGATATCATCATCTTTTCCGATTCTATTTGTAAAGATATGATGGTTATTATGTTTGAATTACCACCAATCAGCAGAAAAACCATGAATAATTCCATAAGGAATAGATAATTTGTACAACAAAGGATTTCGGTTGTGGTTAGTTGAATGTCCTTACCATCTAAAGATATATATTAAATCTTACCCAGCAACTATTTATGTCAAAGCAATAGTAGGTATTGCTATATACCATTCACTAGTAACTCCTAAATATAAACCTAAACTCAATCCAAGAAAAAGAAGCAGTTCTATTGTCCAATCCGGTTCAAAAAGATTTTTTACTTATTTTTTAATGTGTGTATATTGTTTGCTTTCTTCTGATTCCTTAATATTAGATCTCACAACTTTTTAGGATTTTAATATTTTCAAAGCTTTTTTGGAGTGTAGACACCTAAATAATCAATAAATCTTATTAAATACCTAAAATATTCTGTAAAGTCTTCTTTCTCATCCTTCATCTTATCAAAAAAAGATTTACCAGCAGGATGTTTTGGAACATATTCAGTCACATCATATTCTTTGTTCTTGTAAATGAATCTAAAAACCTTTTGGTTAATTGAATAGTGTATACTTCATTATTTTGTTCAGATTAAACATTTTGATTATTTGGTTCTGGTAATGGTGCCATTTAATATTCTAACAAATTAATAATATCTTTGTTAAATATGATATATAATTCACAATAATTTTAGTATATATATTATTAATTAAAAATATTATTAAAATTATCAATACTTAATAGAAAATTGTTTTGAATTAAATTCATAAAATTTTTTAACATATGGATCACCATTTAAATCTATTTATTCTAAAATAAGGTTATCAGAAAAAGTTGATGATTATCTCTTATTAATCATCATTATAATTTTATAAATAAATATGATTTTTTCTAATTCAGGATTATAAAAAAAATTTGCTTATAAAATATTTCATGATTAAAAATTTTCAATAATTCTATCGATTTACTATTAATTAACATTAATATTTTTTATGAATTATTTTGATCAGAAGGAAAGTCAAAAAAAAACTAATAAAATCGATCTAAATTTTGCTGTAATAGATTATGAGACATAAAATGATGCAAATATAGAACCTAATAAAGACCCCTTGTAAATAATCAAAAGATTACATAATTAAATGTTTGAAGATTAAAATTAAGAAGTTGTTGTTGGATATTTGAACATATTTAATAAGAATAACTTAATAAGAGAATTACCTTATTTATTATAATAGATGGAATATAAGAAAATATATAATTAAATCAGATAATAAATTTTAGTCATCTTTCACTATATTGGAGGTGCTGCAGAAACTGAACCAATTACATTAATAAAAAAAGCCAGAAATAAGTATGGATCTAATCCAATAGAAGCAAATTAATCAAAAGATTATACTGTTTCTACTAATTTAGATTTACAATAAGTTAAAAAGAACTATAAAGAAGCAGTTTAATCAGAAGCAGAACCTTTTAAGATAAAGGATGATATTATTAATGAGGAAGTCAATAAATTATAGTATTTAATTATATAATTTAGTTTCTTATGTCTGAAAGAGTGTGAAGCAAAAAAATTAAATTGCATATTAATTTAAATCAATAAAGTGAATTAAAAACTATTTACAGACGCAAGAATAGCATCTAGAATATTTAAAATTTTGATTAGTTGGTCAAATATTTAGAATAATTAGAGTGTAGAAAATCAAAAAACTGAGAACTAATGAAAATTTAGTTTTAGATAATGAAATATAATAATTATAAATTTGCAATAAATAGTAATGAAATAGTAACCTATTTCTTCTAATATGCCTCTAAATTCTTAATCTTTTAAGGTTTACTTTAAAATTCATTATCACACTATATCTGGCAAAGCAATATACATAGTTGGAGATAATAAATAGTTTGGAAATTGGAATCCAATTAAAGGAATTCGCTTATAATGGAATGAAGTAAAAAATACCTAGATATAAATTATAAGAATGATGAATGGACTGTGTGCATTAGAATTGATAAATCTCAATATTAGAAGATTGAATATAAATTTATAGTGAATAATTTTGATAATCCTACATTATAGGATACAATTTGGGAACCAGGAGAAAATAGAGTAATAACTACTCATATGATTTAAAATGAGACTAAATCTGAATATTTCAATTGTATTTCGAATAATCAATTATAAAAGGTGAATATTGGGGCTATAGAACAATCAAATTAAAATTAAATTACAATTTAGTTTTAAAATAAAGGATGATGGTAATTGGCTCTATAGAATAATTAGGCCAATGGAGTCATCCTGTATTAATGAATTGTTAATAAAAAATAGATATATGTATTTTTAATTCTTATTTTAGTGAATGATGAACCAGTTTAATAATGGTCTATTTCCTTTATTGTTGATCCTATGAATTTTTCTTTTAGATATTTTTATGTAATTAGAAATGATGAGAATGGATCTATGATATGGGAAAGAGGAAATGGTAGATATCTAAAATCAAGTGATTTAAGATCATTTAGATAAGTTCAAACTGCATTTGCTAAATCTCCTATCAAAATTAAAACTTAGTTATTAACAGCATGCTAAAATTATAGATAATAAAAATTAAAAAATGGATCCTTTTGTTCTGATAAGCAATTAAAAATAAATAAAGAAACTAGTATAGGTTATTCCTTCTCAGATAAGGAACCTTCTTTTTTTTATTATGAATCTTTTGGAAGACTTAATAAATTAGATTGGAATTTTGTAGTCTAATTTGCTATTACTTAGATCAATGAAAATATTATTATAGGACCTTATCCTCAAAATGAGTAAGATATTCTTGTATTGAAATCTCATGGAATTAAAGCTGTATTAAATCTACAGACAAGATTAGATATTTATCATAGAGGAGTCGATTGGGATGAGATACAAAACAGTTATAAAAAAAATGATATTATTATGAAGAATTTTGAAATTTTTGATATGGATCCAATAGATTTTGAAAGAAAAGCTTTCAAAGCAGTTTAAATATTGAAAAAATTAATCAATAATTATGAATTTGTTTATGTACATTGTACTTCAGGTATTGGAAGAGCTCCATCACTTGTAGTATTATATTTATCAACAGTATTATAAATTCCATTGAATGAAGCAATTACATTTGTAAAAAGTAAAAGAGAGCACTTCTATATCAACCAAAGTAATAAATATAAAATGTATAATAGATATGTTGAAAAAATCATTATAAAAAACAACCATTTTTAATAATGGTGAGGGATATGAAGAAATCACAATATTAAATTAATTTTAAATTGGAAGTCAAACCAAAATTTATGAATAGAAATTTGATTATAATTTACTTTATTGAAAGAGTTATTAAAAAAGTAATACTTTCTTCAATAGTTTTTAATAACAATAAACAATTTAAAATTACAAATTAATATTTTATCTTCCTATATTTCATCATTCATAATCATAAATTAAGCATCTTGGATTTTATTATATTAACTCTAAGAATTAAATATTTCTTTCAAAACATAATATTTGTATTTATTAAAAATTAAACGAATAATTCATTAAAATATTATCTATAAACTAAGTTTAAATTGAGTATTGTATCTAATTTAAAATCCTATTCTGTCCTATTCAGAGATTCTTATTGTTTCTACTTCTAAAATTTATGAAATATCAATTAAACCTCTTTTTATTATTCAACCTTCTAATCAAATTAATTTTTAGATACTTATTTTGGCTTTAATATGAAGATAATTAACTGTTTTATCTAATCTCAAATGCAATTTCAAATTCTTGATATTCCTTTATAAATAAGAAATTAATTTTTAGCTTACGTCATTCTAAACTAAAATAATAGCTGAAGTATTGTTTATCTTTATTTTTTATAGGCAAGTATATTAAAAATTATGATTGTTTGTTGAATTAAATAAAAGTTTTATATAATAATATCATCATTAATTTTTTATAAAGTTTAATTTAATTAAATTAATAAATTAGGTTTTGATTTCAACATAAATCAAAAATACTATTCACATTGAATTTATATCTATTTTTATATATATACTAATAATATTAATTAAAATGCTAATTTACAATAAAATTTTATAATTTTGCTTCTAATTATTCTTTCTTATATTAAATTAATTTGATAATTTATTATTCTAAATTAAATTTTTAAAATAGAGTTCAGGCTTATTGTTCAGTCTCTTTCTAAACTATTTAGAATTTCTAATAATACTTTGTTGTAGTGATTTTAAATAAATTAAATGTCTTATAACAAAAATGTGCTATCAGATTACAATAGAGATTAAAATGGATATTTTTATTTTATTGATATTTTAATGAATCACCGTAGAAATCATGTTAATTCTACAACTTCCAAAGTCTTCCCTATTATTAAACTTATAATTCTAAGAAAAAAATTGAATTTTTATCAGAATTTCTTTGAATATTGAATTATTCAGAAGTGAATACTTCAACTTTAAACTCTTTAAAAAAAAACAGAACCATAAATTTTGATATGATATTAATATTTATTTTTGGTTTTTTAGAATATCTGATTAGTTTTGTTGTGGTTCTACTTTCTGAATTTAAAATATTTATAAGACTATGTTTATTTACGTTTATCTTATATGAATAATTATGATTATTTTCAATCAAGAGTTAAAGAGCCAAAGAGGAAATATTATATCTGATTTAAAACTTTATCATTTCGCTGGATAGTAACAATAATTAATTATTAAAATATGTTAAACGCAAAGTAATTTCCATGTAAAATAGGAGATCAAAATTATACTATAGAATTATCAACAACTTCTTTAGATCTAATTAATTAGGAATAAAGAATAACCTTTAAACTTTCTTTAAAGCTTATAATAACTTGGATTTTTTATGGCGATAAAATAATTGGGTTAAAAGTTGAAAATCTCGAAGTTGAAGGCGCATCAGAAGATATGGCAAAGTTAAAAATGAGTTTGGGTTGTCTTGCTACATTTAAAGGAATTTTAAAATTTTATACTTTTCAATAAACTATTTACCTAAACTAAAACAACACCACTAAAGTATAATGTTTTATTAGATTTTAGGTCTGTTAACTTATAAGTAATCGAAATTATAGAATTTATGCCTGCAAATGCTATAAGAAATGTAATCGATCAATCGAGTCTATTCATGATGAAATAAATTTAATTCTAAAACTTTAAGGACATAAATTTATTCCTATGATATATGAAGTTTACGAATCAAATTCATGTGTTTATTTGATAATGGAACATTTATATAGAAATTTCGATAATGATTTTAATGATGAAGAAATAAAAATCATAGTTTATGTATATTTCATTATTTACAAAGAATTTACTATAATCAATTAAAAGATTAGAAAAACTATCAATAGCCCATAAAAGCATTTCAAGGTCTCATATTATGTTTGATGAAGACAATTAATTAAAAATTATTGGATTTAGTAATGCAGTTATACAAAAAACAACAAATCATGAATTTGAGCTGGACATTTTTAAAGTAGGCACCCTAATGTATAAATTGTATTCATTATTAAATAAATTAAGCTACAAAAGAAATATGTAAGGTGATGAAGACCAATTTCCAAAAATTCCAGATTCTGGTAGTGATCTAATGAAAAATCTCCTTGAAAATCAATCCTTTTATAGATTTAATATCGATGTAGCCTTATAACATCCATATTTTAATTCTTTAAATGGGGATGGAATTGAAAAAGGTATTTATTAAATAAAATAATTAAGAAATTTATTCAATGAATCCTAAATTTAAAGATAAAATTGAAGAGACATAATCTTTTCAAACAAAAAATTTTGAAAACACTCTATTATCTTTAACAAAGCAATAATATTTTTAAGTAGATTTGTCAACAGAATTATAGAACTGATTTTATATATTTTAAGTTTATTTAATTATAAAAGTTAAAATGTATTTTCCAATAAAAAACCATCGATTGTAAATACATATTTTTTTCTTAATTTCATATAACTAATAAAATTATGAATTAAAAAATATTATGTCATTTATTATCAATCATAAAATTCAATTTTTATCATTTACCATAGAATAAAAATTGCATCAAGCATATACTTAATCAATTTTTCTATTAAAATAAATGTAATATATATTTTATTGATAAAGTTTCTTTTATTGAGAAATTGTATTTAATAATATTATTATATTAGTAGTTAGCTAATATTAATTATATGGAGCATATTTAGACTTTCCTAAGATGTTATTTTCAAAAAAGTGTAAATAAAGTAAAACATATAATTATTTAGGATATCTCTTGATATTTATTTAGAGTATAAAAATTATAAATATTTAATTAATTTTTGATTGAAAAAAAATTTAAGTAAAATGATAAAAATATAATTTTTGATAATAAATTTGAGTAAATATTTGTGGTTTTAAACGGTAAGATCATCAATTAAAAAATATTTTTTTAGCAAATTTTAATTTTTTTTTCACTTTTTAATATAATAAATTGAATTAATTAATATTTAGATAAAATTTATTAATATCATAATCTAAATCCAGATTAATAACTTCCATTTGGTTATGATTGTTTAATATATTGTGTATCTCCCTATTTTAATAATAGTCCTTTTGGTATAAATTCTCCAACTTACTATAAATGTTCTTGTAGAATTCGATTTTTCTCTTCCTCTATTACTTATTATTTATAAAGTTATTCTCTTCTTTATCTTTCTAATTATTCCATTTCTTTCTATTACTCCATTTAAAATAATTATAATCTTTATTGCCATAATCTCTCTACTTCTTTTTTATGCTCCATTTCTTTCATTCTTCTTTTCTATTATCCTAATTATTCAATCTTATCATCTTCAGCAAATTTTCTCATCATTTAATCTCTAAAATCTCTTTCTAATTATTATTCTTCTTCTCTTTATCTTTACTTTCTCACTCTAGCTTCCTATTCAGCTTATTGCATTTCTCTTTTCTAAAATTCTCTTTTATTTGCTTCATCTATATCCTTTTATCTCTATTAAGCATCATATTATTCTTAATAAAGTTAAAATCTTAATTCTGTTAACAATTCTGCCTCTTATCTTCTTCTTTCCTCCTCTTCTTTCAATTTTTAGAAGATTTTATCTCTACACTATATCCAAATCAATACTTAGCTGCATTTTCTTCTTACTTCTTTACTTTTATTTAATGAGCTTGTCTGTCCTTTTCTTTAATAAAATCTAAGTATTTTTAATTTTCATCTCTTTCTTTTTGTTTCATTCTCTGAATAAGTTCAGCTTTTTCTCTTAAAGCTACTTGCATATCAGAAAAAGCTATTTTCTTTTTTTTTGCTGAATCTTCCAAAAATTTTCTATCTTCTTCCATTAATAAATTTATAACTCTATTCACTTGATCTTTTTCATATAAATATTATTCTTTTGCTTCATCTCTTAATTATTCATGTTCTTTCATCTATTATTATAAAGTCTGAAGTTTATATAATATTATATTATACATATTTTCCCTCTAACCTTTAATGCAAACGATATTTTTCTTTAGCTCTTTCTTCATCTTATTCTCTTTTTAGTTTTTCAAGTATGGCTGCTTCTATTTCACTCTCTTATTTCTATGTAATAAAATATAACTGTCTGAATATACCAAGTCTTAAATTCTCCTTAATTGTTATTCTGCTAATTATTAAGTTCTCTCTTTAGTAACATATGCTGTTTGTACTTTTTATTTTAACAATTTGATTTCCTCACTTTCAGCACAAATCCTTTCTATTTCTCTCCTTCTTTTTTCTTCTTCTACTTTTCTCTTTTACAATTCTCTTGCAAGTTAATCTTCAAGAGCATATGGATCAGAGATAGGATTTCTATTCTGATTATGAATCATGATAAAATAATTAATTATAATAATTCATTTTAATACACCAGCTTATATTAATGGGAGTAAATTTGCATTAGGTAAACTTTAGTTTCTATTTTTATTAGGTCTTACCTTTCTCTTATTAGGAGATACTTCTTCAAGTATTGGCAATCTATTGTTTTCCAAAGATATTTTCGATTAATGTTGAGTTATAACTTCCAAAACACTCACTTCTTCTTAACTTTAATGTCTATTCGGTCTTACTTTCATAATGGGTTTCCTTATTTACTTATTGTATATCAAATAAAATACTATACCTTATTGTATTATTCCAATATTAATAATACTTCTGGTTAACCTTTCCGATTATTATGAATATGATCTTTTTTATCAATAGACTTTTAACTAGTTACATCTTCATAACTCCCATTTACACTCATTAATGATCTTGGATTTGGACTAGCTTATTGAGAATGTAATGATTTTATTTGTTTTCTATTGACACACTCATAACAAGGTTTTGGAAGCATCGATGTAAAATAATGGTAATTTTTAGGGAACTTAATTGTTGACAACAATGTATTAGGTTCATTATCAGTTTATTCTTGTTTTGGTAATTCATCCTATCTTTTCAAAAGAGATGGAAATTATAATAATTTATCACAATTTGGTCTCAAATGTGGTTGCACTTACAACATAGACCTTATTGAGTTGCTGAGATCTTGAGAATAATTTTATGAAATTCTAGGGTAATATCCTCTAATAACTTTCTTATATAATCCTTCCATATCCTCTGCCTGAAATGGAGGTTTAAGAGCTGCCATCTCATACACAACACAACCAAGACTCCAGATATCTGATTTCTGATCGTAAGGTTAGTCTTTCCACACTTCAGGACTTGCATAAAATGGTGTTCCTGTTTGAGTGTACAACAATCCTTTTTTTGCAACTTTAGAAACATTCATATCCCCTAATTTTACATCTCCATTCTAATATAAAAATACATTTGCGCTCTTTATAATATTGTAGGTTTTACTTTTAGATCTCTATGTAAAATTTTTAATTCATGTAATGCTTTCAATCCCCTAACTATCTAAATAAAAATGTTCCAAATTATTTGTTCTTCTATCAATTTCCCATTTTTTTTTGAATTAACAATTTTCTAGTACAAATCACTACCATCTGCTAATTCCATTACAATACTAACCGCAAAATTTTATAGTTTTTACCATAATGAATTGCTTTGAATATCAATAAATGCTTCTTTATAACTGATTATATTTGGATGCTTTACAGAGGCTAATATACGAACCTCATTCATAGCATTTTATTTTTCTTTATCATTCAAGTTCTATAATTTCACTTTCTTTAAAGCATATTCTTATGAATCCTCCAATCTTTTCACCTTATATACATATGAATAAGCTCCCTCACCTAATTATATCCATCATATTAGTCTTACCTAATTTAGATAGCAGTTAAAAATCTTTCAAAGACATAGCTATTTATATATGTTATAATTATTGTTAAATATTAATATATATTGATATTTAAGAAATATTTAAACCTTAATTTATCATCCTCCAATCCATCTTACTTTAACTTAAAGGGTCTAATTGTCTTTCGTTAATTGCAATTACTCCAAACTATTATCAAGTTTTGGCCCTCCAAATGCTTAATTACCTATATAAAGGTCAACTGAAGCTACATCTCTATCTGTAATAATAAATTATTACTTTGAAACTCCTAAATATTGATAAACTGCATCCAATAGTTCCGATAGGCTGATACTAGTATTAGCAATTGTTGAAAATTGTCGCTTAAGGCTTCCATCCAAAATTTCAAAGTTAATATTTATTTACTTTCCTGTCTTTTAAACTTATTATGATGAAGTTTATTACTAATTTCCCAACTATTAACCAATTTAGCCTTATTTTTATTAATTTCCAAGATTTTATTATTATACATATTATTATTATTACTATTGCTATTACTATTATTATTAGTATAATAATTATTATTGTTATTATAATAATAATAATTATTATTATTATTATTATTATTATTATTATTATTAGAATTATAATTATTAGTATTGTTATGATTATTAATGTTATAATTATCCAGCGTTAGTTTATTAAGTAATGTTTTATGGATTATATTGTGTTTGTCCTGCAAAATTTTATCCTAAAGGAATATTTTAATTAACCATATTAGGAGGCCTTAAATAAAACTATAGATATACAATGATACTCTTTAATTAATTTAGCTTATAAGTTTCCATTCCAATTAACTTGTATTCGACATTCCCAATTATTTAAGGGTCATATTTTAGTTCTGCAATGATAAATTAACTTGACCATAAAATAGATGGTATTGTCTTTGTATTAAATTATAAAATATACTTTAAATCTATGTGCATATGTTCTTAAAAGTGCTAAATAACATCTATGATTGTAACATTATCATCCAATTAAACTTATATTTATTGCACTCCATTTTTAACAATCACTTGACTAATAATTTATATATAATAATACATGGTTCGTCCAATTGGGCTATTTTATTATTATTAAGTCTAATTAATGTAGGTTTAAGCTTAAGGAACTTAAGGAGTATTTCTTGTTTGATTGGCAAACTAATCTGTAGGTTATTGTTGATTAAATTATCTTTGGCTCATAGATTGTTAGAATTGAACACTCGGACTTGACATCTGACCTTTTTGAAGAAAGAGTTTGGCTTTTTTTTATTCTCTGAGTACATCTCGAAGAGATCTTGAAGTTGGTTGTATTATCTCATTTGTGCCTCCAATCCTTATCGAGATAGTTTTAGTATCCACTCCTTAGAATTTACTTAAACATATATTAGTCTATACTCTTAAAATGTTTATTGAATATAATCTATTAGTTCTAATATATTCACTGTTTCATCTATGACTAGAGTAGTATTACAACTTGGATCAAATATCTCAATATCCAGATTAACATCCATCATATTTCTATTATATTTAAAAATTAAAAATATATTAAAATCTTGATTTAATATGCACTAGACTTATCTAATAAAAAAATTCTTTTATTTTGATGATTCAAATATCAAGCATATATTCTTTAAATGTAATAATATATAATTTATTGAGCAAAATAACTATCAGAATTTATATATTAATGATTTCTATAACTTTGTCAAATTTTTGATCTCAATATTTTCAATAAGCATTTTCAAAATAATTCTACTTATTCTAATTTTTTGTAATTTACAAAAGGTCATCAATAAGTATTTTTTTTTCTATTGGAAAGTTTCAAAAATATAATAAACTTAATCAACTTATTTCTCCTTTCCTCCTAATGCTTTACTATTTACTCTTTTTTTTTTTTGTTAAGGATTAACATTGTTATGCAATCTTGTTTTATAATATCAAAATGTTGCTATTGATTTTCAGCTATCAAATAATCACTTTACTAATTAAATATTTCTTATAATAGATTTTTTTTTAAATGGTATTATTCACTATTAATATATTTAAGATAGATTAATGAGATTATTAGTCATTCATTAATGGGTATTTCAAATTTATACTATTCAATTCTATTACTAAAAGTAAAATTATTATATACAATACAATAGCAATGCAAACCAATTTTGGCAAAAAGATTCCCAAAAATATATAAATTCCTCCTCATATATTAGTCAAAATTCTTACTACCATCCATCTTTAATTAATTGTGTTTTTTCATTCCTTATTGTCATAAGGCTTATATATTTCTACTCCCTTTCCTTTTTATTTTTATCTAAATGTCTTTAATGCAATACTATATTTAACATGTCTATAGATTATTGGTTAATATAATAGGATATTTTTGATCAATAAGGTAGTTATAACTTAAATAAAATGACAAAAAAATCTTTATCTTTTATCATTATAAAAGTAATTTGTAACAAATGACTAAATATTTCTTTAATCAAATAATTAAGGTCTCATATATTTGTGTTTAGAATATCTCTGGAGGATACTTTAAAAACTTTAAAATAAAAAAAATTATTATCTGAATATTAGATACACCAAAAATTTTGCAATTACATTTTGTGATTTTTAAGTCGCAATCTTTTACAATATATTAGTCAATTTATTTTTAATTCCTAACATCTAAATAATCGAAAACCAACACAATCATCATAAGAAATTAATGTTACAATAATTATTCCTTTATTAATTTTTATATTGTATGATTAGAATTTCTTGGATATATTTAAAAATATAGGTTGTCTGCAAATAATATATTCAATTAAAATTGATACCATATGATATAAAAGTTTCTCTGATTAATAACATAATATTATTTGAAAGAATCTTCTACTTAATAAAACTGATTAAACAAAATAAGTGACCAATAATGTATAAACTATAATCTATTATAAAGATTGAGAAATAGAATAAAAAATAAAATGACCATAGTTATGTCTTAATCTTCTGATTTTTCTTTAAGCATAAAACATGTATTAAGATCAAAGTAAAAATACAAATTTGATACAAATTACAAACTAGAAAGCTAATATTTTTAATCATATTTTATACATACAAATCATATTAATTAATTATTATTAATGAACTTTCTATGTAAATATTCTACTTAATATTAATGTAATAAATTAACTTATTTAATTATCTCTACTATTAATTTTCCACACCATTCTTATTTATAATATGTTGAAATGTATTATTTTTCTTCATCTCCTTTTATTATCTTCAAATAACTCAAACTTGATTATGCAATAAATCTCAATTAATAAAAATAGAATTTTCTTACATTCTTTATAATTCTCTTAATAATAAATTAATAAAGATAAAGTTTGATTACAAAAAATAAACTCATTAGATTTCTTAAAAATCAAACATTATCTGAAGTAAGTGTTACTATCTAAAATATTTACCCAAATCAACTTTAGGATTGATTCACACTATAAGTGATTTTGAATTAAATTAAATTTTAAATTCATCTTAATCCACATAAATTTTGCTATCAAAGATGTAAAAAAAACTTTAATTGACTTCATATGATATGAGCTTACTCAACTAAAATGTACTTGTAAAATATATTGTTTAATTTAAATAATTAGATGATTTTTTATTCACAAAAGTAACATAACCATAAAAGTATGAGTTAAAGAAAGTGTTGGTTGCGATTAACCATAATAAATTAATGTGTTATAGTGATAAATACAAAGATTGTTGATTTTATGTGATATTAAGAATAGTTTATCAAATAAATAAGTTATTATTGTAAGATATCAATTTTAATAAAGAAGGCTCCAAAAAAAATTTAATTGAAAAAATAGATCAGTGATTAGTTTATAATGGATTTATATAAAATAAATACAATAAGAAATAATTACTTTCCAAACAAAAAAAATTATTCTTTTTATAAAATACTTGGTTTTGTATCAATAGAATAATCAAATTCACATGTAGATTGGATATCATATTAAGGGGAAATGAGTTTGAAGAAATGATGGCATTATAATCATATAAAGATTTGGTGTTAGAAGTATATTATTAAATAATGGATTTTTAGTTAGAAAAAGAATTTGAACGATAAATAAAGTAATTAATGAATTTAAATAGGAATATATAATGATGTATTTTAGTTTGACAATTACATGGTAATTATATTTTTGTTAAAATATGATCTTTTTTATTTGAAAAGAACCAAACTGAAAAAGACGATAGGCCATCAACAATATCTCAAAAGGATGATATATTGAAGAGTAAAAATTAAGCTACCATAAAAGATTAAAAACTACAAAAGATTTAAAAACTAATAGAATTATTGTATTCCCATCATATTAAAGAGTAAACGTATGCTAAATAAAACTAAGACAGTGGATCAGCTTTTTGATGCCTATTTGGAAAGATAGAATTGATTTAAGATTTTATACTAAAAAATATGTCATATAATTAGCTTTATAAGTTTAAAGAGTAGGAGTAAGGATGAATATATTAAATTCTTTAGAATATTATATTTTATAAAAAATGGACGGAGGTGGTTCTACATTTGATTTAACAGCGCCTGTCCAGTTTTTATAACCCAAAATTAATGTTAGTAAGCAGCCAGAATAACCTATAAATAAGCCTTAAAAGGATGTAAGAAATGTATATAAAGCAGTTGCAACAAAAAACATAAACCTCAAATTCAAAACTACCTCAATTAAATAACAATTAGAATGCAGTGAAAAGTTCAAACTTAAAGTAGACTTTATAAATACAATAATAATCTCCAAAGGCAATTCAGAAAGCAAAAAAAATAGATTTGTTTCGAGATGCATTACAATAAGCAACAACAAAATATTTACGTATCTTGTATTTTGACCTTAGCTCTTGGTAAAAAGGAGAAAGATAAGATTCAAAAACCTAAACCAATATAAGAATTATAATAACAATAGATAGAGGAGATCAAAAAGGAATATGAGGATATTGTACAAAATCATTATAAAGACTTATATGTTCATGTGGCAAATGAATAATAAAAAAGTTTACAGGATTTACATAATAAAAGAATTGTTACTGCATTGCATGACTTAGAATCCAGACCAAAAATTTAAAATGAACTGGAAAAAAAGGAAGAACAGATAAATAAATAAAGATTATATAAAGATAGATTATTGTATGAAATTAAGTAGATGATTATAAAGAGTAGAAGACTTGATGAATTATTAAATGATTTAGTATTGTAAAATGAGGATACTGTTAAGGAGACAATAGAGTAATTATTGGAGAAAGAATAAATCTAAGAAGAAAAAATGGCTAAATAATCATATGAAATAGCTAAATTGAGAGACATGTACTTAAAAAGAAGTATTTTATATTTGATAATGAAGGGAAATTATTATTGGAAGTGTAAAAATAATGTTAAATTACCTATGATGGTTTAAAAATCAAATATTAATAATATGAAGCCTCTTCTTAAAGTATGATGAGTAGAAAGAAGCAATTAGAATCTTTATCAAAAATAGTTGCAAAGTATAGAAATGAGTTTTAGAGTTAACAGAATTTTTTTGGAGCTAGTCTAAGAGGGAGATTTGATCCTATGTTAGAGGAGATTTTGGAGGATGAACTTTCTAAATGTGGAGATGAATAAGCATTAGAAATTGTATAGTAAGGTGAAAAGAAAATAATAGCAATTAAGGAAGATAATGAAAAGAGGAAGAGGGGTGAATAAAAAGATAAAGCTAAATTGGCATTAGAAAATGCGACTTAAAATATTAATAAACAAAAATAGGATATAAAATATGAGAGAAAAAAGTACTTTTTTTTGTTATTTTCTAATTAGAAATAAATGTTCCAAAAATTAAGAGTTGTTACAAGTATTTCCAATTAAGAAATAATGAAGAAATTTAAATTAAATATGGATTTAGATTAATAAGAATTAAAAAATATTCAAGAATAAGTAGGAAAAGAAATTGAAAAATATGAAAGATAAAATGATGAATTAATAGCAGATATTAAAAAATTGAAATATGAATAAGAGAATTCAATTTTAGATACACAGATAAATTTGGATGTATTAGAAAGAGATGTTACTAAATAATAAGATTTGTTATCAGAAAAAGAGAAATAAGTCAAAAAAGTTGAAAAATCAATAAACGAAGTTACAATGTCTTTATCCAGAATCATGTATCAATTAACTGGTAAAGGAACCAAACCTAAAAATATTGAAATTAAAAGAACTTCTTTAGTAGCAACAGCTTCAACTATTTAATTACGTTTGGAAAGAATGCTTACAGTGTTGTCAAAAACATAAGAATTTTTAAATGAAGAATCTATTAACACAAATCCTAGATATAATAAGGTTGAAGATTTTATATGTTTGAATCCAAAGGTTTAAAAATTTAATAATTTAGAGTTATATATCTCAGGAAATAACTGAGTAAGTAGAAGGCAACATAAAGTTTGTATATAAGGAAGAGGATAGCTCTGATGAAGATTGTAAAGATATGGATGAAGTAAGATAATAAGTAAAGTCAAGAACTTAAGAAGATAAACCTTAAATAATTGTATTAAAAAAAAGAGATATAAAACTTAAGTGATTTTATTTTTCTTTTGATTATATATATTTTTAGATAGATTAAAACAGTTATCTAATAGATTCTAAGGACAAATTAGATATTCATTAAAATAAGAAGGAAAATTCAATTTATCCAAATTAGTATAAATTGATTTAAAGTATAATGATCATTTATTAGACATGATTAAAATATTTACTTAATTGTTTATTCAAGATTTAAATTAGAACTTCTTTAATAATATAGTTATTTAATGATTAATATAATGAACTAAGTTAATGTACATCACCTAATTGTTTATATATAATAATAGTATCAAAAATGATATAAAAAGTAGGATTCATTTTAATCTAAATGTTCTTCCCATCTTGAAATTGAATTTTTAGTATTTCTTTATTTTTCTTCATTTTATTTAGAAATTGTTCCATTAATTAGGTGATGTTTTTCATTTCCAATTATTTTTCTACTTCGTTATGTTTTATATGGAGTTGTTTTATTAAAACTGAGATTCAATTTTGTAGCTTAAATTCTTAATGGAGTACAACATTGAAAAGGGCCTTTTCTTTTCATTTTTTATGTTTTCTATTTTTCTAAGTAGGAATTGAAAAATGATATTTATTCATCTAATCGAGATATATCTTTCAAAAAGGTCTCTGATTTTGCAATAGGGAGTGGACTAAAGTTTAGTAGTCTTTTTTATGATCGACTTGTAATCATATAAAAATTAATTTAATATTTTTGAATAAAATCAATCTGATTCTCTTTATTGTCCATATTTTATATGATATATTCATAAATAATATAAATTCATCTAATCTTTTATTATTGAATAATAATTATAATGTAATTTAAGTATATTTGATCGATCATCAATATATTAATAATAAATAATAACTTAATTTATGTCAACCAAGAGATAAAACTAAAAAGAGAAATAAAAGATTATGCCACCAATCTAAGAGCATAATGATCGTACAATTATTTAAATTGATAGTGGTAGCTGAACCTAAAATACTTTCTTATGAAGGTACTTTTCATAGTCATTTTAGTTGGAGAGACTCAGAAACAATTTCAAAATGATAACTTGAGGGATTCAAATAAGTATTTAAATTAAGAAGTAAATATTGATTAATAATGAAAGAAAGAACTCAATTTAGATTAATTAGAGCAATTTTCATAAAATTACAATAACAACATTTAAAAGTAGAATGTTTCAAATAAACAAACTAATGATTTTCAATAATTACAAGAAATCTAAAATCCAAACTAATTGGATAGAAAAAGTTTATAAAAGTAATCTAAAGAGACAAAAACATAAAGTACATTAAATGAGGAAATCAAAATATTTGAAGAAAGAATTGTGAAATATACATCAGAAGTCAATTAAGAAATAAAATTGAGTCCTAGACTTTCAGATGAATGGAAAAAGAAATTTACCTAAATAAAAAAAAAGAAATGAATTCAATATAAGTGAATAGATTTTAAAATTCACACTCTCTCTAAATCCTATTATAAGCAATTTTGTAAAATTACAGTTGAATGTACATACCTTATTGCTATTTTCCTTGTTTCTATATTCTATTATCTTTATCAATAATAATAATGATAAATATAACAATGATAATAAGCAAAAGATCGTAAGACTATAATTTAATAAAACTTCACAATATTATCAAAAAAATCAGTCAATTATTAATATTTAGTATTTGATACAATCTATTCTTATATATAAAACTTCTGTTTCTATTATCTTGATTTATTTTTGCATTTTAAGTATTTTAATTTAGAGTAATTCATTCTTAAATGTTATTGTTATTTCATAGTTCTTGATTTTACTTTAATTTTAGATTAGTTAAGAATTATATAAGTTGTCTTAAATCTAAATATATTTAGATCTTTACTATCAACATTAGTAAATATAAACTTATTATTTAAAAGAAAATAGACTTATTCTAAGCTCTTTGGTATGTAACAATTATTAAATTGATATTATGAAATATTTTTTATTTTTATATAATCTATTAGTCTATAGGTTGAAAGTAGATAATTCAATTATTTATATCAATTTGGTTTTGGAAAGATTGAGAGTAATCTTGATATAAAATTAGAATTGATTTAAAAACTTTCTGATTTTATCATATTTATTGATATTTTATCTAATATTTAAGATTTTCATTGTTCTTTTTGAGAGGTGACATTTTAACCAACATTTTATTGTAAATACTCTAATTGATTCACTTTTGATAATATTTATTATAAATTTAATGTCTTTTTGCTTTTAATGGATAGTAAATTATTCATAACAAGAGGTTAATTGGAATTGAGTCTTTAATTTATGATTCTTTTATTAAGTTCCTCTGAAAATTGACTTAATTATCAATTTCTACTTCAGATAAGGGATTATGATGGATTATATTTTATTTTAAAAATATTTATTTATTGTAAGTGTTTATTAATGAGTTCACAATTAAGAGATTTGGTTTTATCTAATAGTGAGAATTTATTGTATATGGTTTTTATGAAATTAGGAATAAATAAAATATAATAAATAGTAAAAAAAGATAACTGAAAGATGGCTACAGCATTAGTATCTGCAGGATAATCTATAAGTAAAATGCTTTCATTTAAATGTTTAGTTGGAACTTATGTACAATAGGATATAGAGACAAGATTACAATAAGAAGTGTATAAAAAGTAAATAAGAGTGAGAGAATTCTTCACAGATTTTGATCGTCTACGAAAGGGATGGGTGACAGAAGATAAGGTATTATTTTATGAATAACAATAAGTTTCGTTCTGCTTTATCAATGATAAATTTTCACTTTACTAGGGATGAAATTGAAGAAATAATAAGAAGATATAAACTTAATGATGGTTTAGTATAGTATACAACATTCTGTAACAAACTTGAAGAGTAATTTTTGAATAGTGAAGCTAAAGCTTAAGTGTTTTAGGCACCATAAGTATGAATTATAGAGTAATCGTAGATTTTTAATAAGGATGAGGAAGAAACAGTGAAGAGATTGATGTTAGCAATAAAAAGGAAAATTGCAACTAAACGAATATTTTTGAAATAGCCATTCCAGGATTTTGATAGAACTGCTTGTTCTCACATTACAATTGATCAATTTTCTAGAGTTTTGAATTAATTAGGGTTATTGCCTAAAGATCAATATTTGTAATTACTTATTAGACAATATATTGATAATGGTAATCCAAAGGAAGTGAATTATGTTAAATTCTGTGATGATGTTGATAATGTTCAAGAAATGTTAAGTGGAGTTATCACTGGTATTAAGCATAATCCAAAAGAAGTATTAATATTTAATAATCTAGGTCCATCCTGATGATGATTTCATTGAAGATAAAGAAGGACTTGATTTGATTTCTACTTTGTTTACTTCCAAAAAATTAACAGATAATATCAACACTTTGGAATAAGTGTTAAAGAAGATTTAAGGAGATGTAGTAATGAAAAGAATTAGAATTAGAGAGTTCTATAAAGACTTTGATCCATTAAGAAAAGGATTGGTTACTGAATCTCAAGTATTTTATGATTATTCATGTTAGTTTGCTAGAATATTGCATATTCAAAATATTCCTGTTACTGAAAAGGAAATATCTATATTATTGAATCACTATAAAATTGACAGCATTCCTAATGGTTAAGTAGATTATAATCAATTTTGTGAAGATGTTGATAAGATTTTTACTATTAAAGGAATTGATAAATCTCCTTAAGCATAAGTTCCTTAAATTGATGATTCAACTACATTACCAGCTAGAAGAAGATATTTATAAATGACTGAATAAGAAGCCATATAGTTAGATGAATTATTGATGAAATATAAATAAGCCATTCAAAATAAACGAGTTCTTTTGAAACCAGTCTTTGAAGATTTTGATAAGACTAAATAAGGATATATCACTACTAATTAATTCTTAAGAATTTTAAATTAATTTAATTTATTCCCAGATCCTATTTCATTAAATTTATTATTAAAAAGATTTGTTGATAAAGCTAATTTAAATGAAGTCAATTATTATGATTTCTGTAGAATTGTTGATCAATCTGATGAAGGAGTTGCTATCAGTAGATCTCATGCTGATGCATTCAAAAATTATGTTAAATCAGATAATGTTAGTTAAGCATTTATAAGAAATGATTAACCTAATGATTTTGAAGATCTTATGGCTAAATTAAGAAGAATTGTTAAAGAATAAAGATAAAGAATAGCAGAATTTCTAAGAGATTTTGATAAATTAAGAAGTGGAACCATTACAGTTACTTAATTAAGAAAAGGATTAAGTATGGCTAAGATATTATTGTCTGATGCTGAATTTTAATTGATTCTACAAAACTTTGGATGCAAAGACAAACCCAATTTTGTATATTGGAAAGATTTCACTGATTAAGTTGATTAAGTATTTACTACTAAAAATCTTGAAAAAGTAAGTCCTTCTGAAGAAGTACCTATGATGTCAACATAATATAATTATGGTAGAGTCTCTATTACAGAAAGAGATAGATAAGTAGCTGAAGTTGTTAAAAAGAAATTTTAATATTTCTGTAAAGCTACCAGATTAGATATTAAATAGTTTTTCTAAGATTGGGATAAATTGGGTAGAAATAAAGTGTCTCCTAAATAATTCAGATAAACTTTAGCTACTGTTAATTTCATTTTATCTGATGAAGAATTCTAAGCAGTTGTTAAAATATATGCTGCTGAAGATGATGGAGATATTAGATATGTTTAATTTATAAATGATACACAACCTCCCTTAGAAATTTAAACTGAATCAGGAGCATCTCAAGCTTATGTAGGAGTCAAACCAAAAGAAAAAGAAAAAGTAAATAATTATTATTATTTTAATTAGTTATAACCATCTGTATTATTAGAATAAATTAAAGTGGCTGTTAAAATAAAAAGATTAAGATTAGGAGATTATTTTAAAGATTTTGATCCATTAAGAAAAGGATTAATGCCTACCAATAAATTTAGAGGAGTATTGAGTTAAATGAAAATTGATTTGGATCAAGAAAGTTTAGATTTATTAGAAACTATGTATGTTGTACCAGAGGATCCAATTAGAGTCAATTATGCTAAATTTATAGAAGATGTCGAAATTGTATTTACAAAATCTGTAATAATTCATATTTAATAATTTAAACATAGGGATTAGATAAAGATCCATTGATGAAACCTCCTGTGCATGTTATTCCAACCTTCCTAGATCCTAGAGATGCCTTAACTTAAGAAGAAGAGGAAGCTTTGCATACTATAATGTTAAGATTAGGGGAAGTTGTTAAAAAACACAGAATCTTACTTAAACCACACTTCCAAGATAAAGTAATATATGATTTAAATATTATAGGATAAAACTAAATCTGGAAAGATTACTTTTACTCGATTTAGATCTATAATGGATTTTCATAAATTGCCATTAACTGATGATTAATTTAGAGTCATTTGTAAAAGGTAAATATTTAAATATTATAATTTCTTATAGATTTGCTTACTAGGGTATTGAATTCAATTATGTGGAATTTGATGAAATTTTAAAGAAATACGAGAATTTTTATCAATGAATTATAAACACAAAAATCATATCTATTAATAAATTTTATGTAAATTTTTAAGAATTCTAAATTTTTCTTTGGCACACTTAAAGCTCATACTTTACCAACTCTTAAGTATGGATATGGTGATCTAGAACCAGTATTGAGCGCAACACTTCTAGAATTTCATCATTCAAAACATCATTAAGCTTATATCAATAATCTTAATGCTGCATAAGAATAATTGGAAGATGCCTTAGCAAAGAATGATGTCTAAAAGATTTCAAGTCTTTAAGGTACCATCAAATTCAATTTGGGTGGCCATTTAAATCATAGTTTATTTTGGGAGAACTTGTATAAATATTTAACTAATAATGCAGGACCCCAATTAAGAATGGAGGAGGACAATTACCTGATGCAAACAGTGCTCTAGTATAGGAAATTAATAAAAATTGGGGAAGTGTTGACAACTTCAAGACTTTCTTCAATACTAGAACTGCTGCTATTTAAGGTAGTGGATGGGGATTCTTGGGAGTTGATTAATAATCAAAGAAATTAAGATATTTGGAACTACCCAACTAAGAAATTCCATAAAATTATGGTCTTACACCTATCTTAAGTAAGGATTCATAAATTTAAAAGATTAGCAATTGATGTTTGGGAACACGCATATTGGTGGGATTACAAGAATGTGAGACCAAACTTCTTGGCTAATGTATGGAAAATCGTTAATTGGAAAGATGTAGAGACAAGATATAATCAAGCTTAGAAATGATTATAAGAATTAGAACAATTCATTTATTAATTTTATTTTTAGAATTATCTTAATAGCTTCTATGTTTTTTTGTGAATTCATCCATTAATAATAGGGATTATCCGAGTATTAAATATCAAAATCTTTGTATTTTCAAATCATCATTCATAGTTATATTAGATAATTCAATGGATTTCTACTGATCTTATGATCATGATTGTTTATATTTTGAAATCAATCATTTAAATATTCATAAACATAAATAGTCTAAAAAACTAACAAACTAAAATATACTTCCTAAACTTTAGGAATACATTAAGTCAAATTCCAAAAGTATAAGAATTCACATATATTACTTTGTTAAAATATTTTAAAAATCATCTATCTATTCCATAATGGCTAGTCTTTAAAATATAACTTTTAATTCTACTTTATTATTTTGTTAAAGTACTCAAATTTGGAATCTACACTAAATTCTTCTACATCTAATCAATTACTGCATTTCATTCATATTTTGTTTTGTAAACATGAAAAGATTGTTGTTTTTAATTTATTAATATATAGACATATGAATAATGTCATTCTAATAGATTATTTAAGTAGTTGTTTACATTCATAGATCAATTAGTATAATTAATATTTTTTGTCATGTTATTAATTAATAAAATAACATATTTTATTTCAAAATGCTACATCTTGATATTGAAGTACAGACAATCCAATTTTTTATTGGATCCTCACTCGATTCCTGTTCTATTAAAATAAACGATTGTATTTATAATATTAAATCTCAGCTTCCTCTACTTCAGTCTTGGAATCGAAAGTCAGATGCAAATGTAAAGAGATTCAAGAAATTTGGGAAAAAATTGAATTAAATGTGTAATATATTGAGAAAGGGAATGTATTGTATTATAGCATTATATTTATAGTTGAAACTCTTCTTTTATGAGGGTACAACCATATTTGGAGAGGCAACCATTAATTTAGGGTTTTATATTGAGAACAATCTTCCTCTTATCATTGACAAAATTACTATACAAAATAAATTTGATTCAGAAGCATAAGTTTAAATGAGTTTGGCATGGAATTAGTTAGATTAGATTCAATCTAAATAAAATAGGTAAGTAAGTCCTTTGAGAGACTAACCACCTTCTTAGAGACCTATAGGTCAATAGAAGAAACCAGCTGATGAACTGCATTTTGATAAAAGAACTGTTCATGCAACATATACATAATGGAAAGATCATTAAGAAATGGTTAAGGAATAATATGTCAAAAGATTAAAGGAACCTATCAAAAAAGGACCATTAGAGGATGAAAAATTTGAAGAAATTCGCAAACCTGAAGTTCGAATAATGAGTCCTCGTAGATTTTAAACTCCAAAAGATTATAAACCAATAAATAAGTAATAAATTTAAAAATCAACTGGAGGATTTGAAAATCTAAAAACTTCAAATAACAATCAATTAGATTTCAAATAAATTAACAAGGACTTACAGAATAACTCAAATAATAATAGAGCTCCATCTAAAAGTCCCAATCGTTATGATTCAAGAGTAAAAACAAGAAATGAAGTCTTATCTGCTGCTTCACCTATTGAATAAAGTGAAATTCTCAAAGGATCTACTAAACCTAAACCAATATCTAAGAAAGGAGAATTCTAAGAGAATTTTGGAACAAGACCAACTTAATTGGAAGGTGGTTTAACAATATCAAGCAAATAATTAGATACAGAAATAGATTCTAATTAATGGAAATAATAATTGTCATAGTTATAATAAGAAAATGTTTAATTAAAAAATTAAATTTAAAAATTAAATAATGAAAATTAGATTTTAAAAGATCAATAAATTAAAAGTGAAGCTGCCTTTAATTTATTATCAGAAACTTATAGTAATTTAAGAAATGAATATCAAAGAATCTAAGTTAAAAGTTTTAATAATAGTTCAAGTCATTCTTTATTAACAAATAAAGAAACAGATCATTTAAAAAGAGAATTAGATTAAAAGTCTAAAGAAATAGAATTCTATAAAAAAGAGGCTGAATTATGGAAAAAAGATTTGGATGTAACTAAAAGAGAAAATGGATAAATTAAAAAAGAAGCAGAATAATATAAAAAAGAACTTGAAAATAGATCTTATGATTTAGAAAGCCATAAGAGAGATATAGAGAACAAAAAGAAAGATATAGAAAGTTTAGAAAAGGAGTTATAAAGAGCTTAATAAGCAATTTAATTAATTCAAAATGATAGTTTTAGAAATTCTTCTTAATTATCTGGTCATAGTACCAATTAAGAAATTTTAGAATAAATGAAAAATCTAATTAAAACAAAATAAATTGAAGTTGATAGTAAGAATGAAGAAATAAAATAAAATAAAATAAAAATAGCATATTTAGAGAAAGAATTACATGAAAAAGGCAGACGTTCTTAAGATTAATATGATCAAATTAAAAATTAAAATTCTTAATTAGAATAAGAAAATGAATAATTAAAATAATAATTAGTTGATAAGAATGTTGAATTAAAATCGAAGTAAATATTAATCTTACAAATAGAACTCAAGAGATAGAAAGATTAATGACATAAAATAATGTATTTCTATAATCACCTGATATTTAAAATACAGATTCAATTAAACTATTAAATGATTATATTGCTTAGATATCTGTTTTAAAATAAGAGAATTAAAGTTTAAGTAAATTATATTATTTAAATAAAAATTAGACTTGTAAAATAAAAAAGATTAAGTTAAACTTGAGAGTTTACAAAATTAATTTGATATAACCAAGGTAACCACATAATATATAATAATTGACAGAATATTGTTGTACTAAGTGAATAGCGCCAACAATCTCTTGAGCATGAAATTCTGTAATTAGAAAAAGCTGTCCTTGGAGGAAAATAAAATATGGCAGATGTGATCAATGCTGTAATGGAATGCGGTGGTCCTCAGTTAGCTGAGGAAGTAGAGAGATTCTTGATTACTAGAAGGAGTACCAAAATAGGTTGATATATACCATTTTATTAAAATTATTAAATTATTAAAAATTGAAAAAAAAAAATAAAAAAAATTTATTATTACTTTTTTTTTGTAAAAATTCCTTTTTTTTAAATTCTGCTTCAAATTTGAATTATGGATAGAAACTGAATAATTTCTTAAGATTATCATTTAATAAGGATTGAAAAGTGTTTTTAGAAGTGAATTCTCTGCAGTAAGTGCTAAATTGATCCAAATTAATCATATTTTGAAGTGCTCTAGTAGGCAGAATTTTGAAATTATTTGATGTTTAAAATACCTTGTGAGGAAGAGGATGTGCACAATTACCTATTTGACAATTAAAGTAGAGCAATATCATTATCCAAAATGTTATCAAATAAACCAATGAAATTAACGAAATTTTTATAATTCGAATTTAAAGCTTATAAGAAAAAAACATAATAATAAAAATAAGAAAACATAATTAAAATGGCAAAAGGAGCAACAAAAGGAAATAAAGGAGCAAAAAAGACATCACCACCAAGTCAAATATTTTATTTATTGTAGAAGCTACTAAGAATGTCAAGAAAGTTACTAAAAAACCAACTGAAACAACTCCAGCACCAGCCCCAGTGACAACTACTCCACCTGCCCCAACCACCGCAACACCAGTTGCTGCCACTACACCAAAAAAGCAAGCCAAGAAAGCAGGTGCAAAACCAAAGGCTGCTGGTTCTAAAAAGGCAACAACCAAGAAAAACACTAAGAAGGCCACCAAGAAATAAGTTAAGAAATGATTAGTTATTCAAGAATTAATCAATTAATTAGATTTTATATATTTTTCTCTTGTTTCCTCATTTTCTAAATATATTTTCTATCCTAAAAATTTTATTTTTAAACAAATAAACAACTAAAAACCCAAAGATTAATAAAAATCATTCCTCTTGAAAGAATTGAAAAGAATTCATCTTAATATCTTAAATAACAATTGCTTGAGGGAAGGTTTCTCAACAAGGGAAGTATTCAAGATTCAAGATCTTAGTATATGATTATAATATTTTATATTTAAAATTCTAGAGTCAATCATTCTTTTTATAGTTTTCATCATCAATAAGCCACACAATAGATAATTTGAATTAAAAATAAAGGATTTGATTAAGAAGAAAATAGAAAGAAGAGAAATTAGAAATATTATATCTATTCTAATAGTAATTAAAATATTAATACAAATAAATAACTATTATTGAATAATATTTTTATCAAAATGAATGGACATTTAAATCCTTTATTTATAATTTCTTTAATACATAAAATCTTATTGTAGTAAATGTACTTTGGCAAATAGTAATTATTTCAGTTTTAATAATAATTTTAACCCAATCTAGTCTTTACTATTGAATGATCAATATCCTATTATCAACTAAAGTAAAATTCTTATGATTTTTAATCGACATGGACATTACTCTGATTTTAGTGTATCTTTAATTAATAAAATGCTCAAGTTTAAATGTTATCATTTAGTTTTATATATATTTATAGAAGAGTATTAACATTTTTAAATTAGATATTATAGGGATGTATGATATTTTGTATTTTTGCAGTTCATATCTTAAATTATATGGAATAATAGTATAATTATTATTAAATAATGAGCAACTTTAGTAATAAAAAAGGTTTAACAAATTATTCTTATTTAGTTGGTAAATAAACAAGAGCTTAAAACAAGAAGTAAGCAGCAGCCCCTGCAATGTTAAAGAAGATGAAACTGATTTCGAAAGGCAAAGGAAAATATCTGTTAGAAGTGGATGACAACTTTGTCAATTAACTATAATAAGCATAACAATTTTTAGCAGAATTAAATGATACTATCCTTGGTCAAGTTGACAATAATTAGAGTATGGCTCAAGAATCAAATCCCCAATTTGAATAATAAGAAGAGGATGGATCGTCATCTGCTTCAGAAGATAAAAGTGGAGCTCCAATGTCTTAATAACCACAAGAACAATAATCTTAATAACCTAATGAAGTTAAGGAAACTTAGGATTTTTATAGGTAAGAGTATGAATCAAATTAAGACGTATACCCCATTTTTTTATGGGGAGATTCAAGAAATGGGCAAAAATTTTAAAAGAGGATGATGTAAGTACATTTTTACATCAACTAAAGTCCAATAAGAAATCAAAATAGGGAAGATATGAGTTAGGGGATTTTCATAAGTAAAGATTCTATTGAAATTTAAGATGTTTTTAGATTGATAAAAATGATAGCAATGAATAATAGAAACAGAAGAAAAAAATAAAAGAATTATTTCTTGAATTTTTATAGAATGAAGCAGTCCTATAGATCATCCAATACAATAAGATAACCAATCAGGATTAGAAGGTTTAATAATATATTTATATATTAGATTAAATACATAGATGTGATTCCTAATATGGTTTAAGAAATGTATAGTGATAAGCCATTTGATTAATTTTTGGCTTAATAGAACATAGAGAAATAGATAAATAAGAAAAAGCAGTTGTTGACCGAGACCTAGGATGTGAAACAATAACAATAATAATAACAACAACAACAACAACAATAACAACTACCTTAATAAAAATAAGATTAATCTTTTGAGGAGCCACTTATAAAGTTTGCACGAGAAGTGTCATTTCAAAGCTAATTATGATGACTTAATGATTTATGTATAATATCATTATGACAATGATCCTCCAATTAATTGTTGGGCTCCATTAAATAAATTTATAGGGTTATTTCCATCGGTGAAGATGTAACCTTATAATCCCAATCCCTTAAGCAACTCAGCTTACATTTCTGGTCCTGCATTGGCCATAGAAATAAGAGTATCTTATCCTAAAGCTTCAATAATTTGCTCAAACTTATTGGATTCGATTAAGGCTAATTCTTTGGCTCTTCTGATTTCAAGTTCAGCCTTCTCTTATTCATATTTAATATTTTAATCTTATTCCTTTTGCTTTTGTTTCAATGCAGCTTCTTTTTCAATCTTATTGGCTTTGGCTCTTAATTGAGCTAATTCATATTCCTTTTATGCTTTGATTTGTTCAGCTTTGGCAATTGCTTCAGCCTCTGCAATGGCAGATCCTTATTAAGTAACTTCTTATGATTTATTTTCCATTTCAAGCAATTTTTATTTAGCAGCTTCTGCTTTAAGATCATCTTCAATTCTCAATTAATCTAATTCACCTTGAGCTTATTATTCTTATTATTCAGCAACATGTTAAGCAGCTTATTCTTATTTCTTGGTTGATATTTCAATAGCTAATGAAACAGATCTTTAAAGACTCTATCTAGTTTAATTATCAACTGGTTCAACTGTTTTGATATCAACATTAGTTATAACAAGGTTATTCTTAGCCATAAGATATTCTTTTCTAATCTTTCCATGTTCATCAACACCAAAGATGGCTGTTCTTATTAGTTTGGCTGATGTCTTATGGAATTTATCAAAAACAACAGATGCAACAGCAGCTCTGACTTTGGAAGCCATTTGATTACAGAGATCTCCAATGAAATCTTTGACAGCAAAGATTTTGGAAGCAGATTCAATGTTACTTTCATCTACCTTAAATCTCCAATTATAAGCTAATAATAATTTCAAAACAGCATGATCAGATGTTTCTACAGTGATTTCATCAGTAGAGAATTCTGGACCCATCATAACATGTAATGTGTTGACAATTCCAGGAGTCTTTGGTGTCTTACCAGATAAGGATAATTAAGTAAAGACTTCATCTGGTTCTAAGGATACCAAAGCAGGACCAAAAACAATCCTTGTCTTCTTGGTCTTGTAATCATAAACCTAAACTGATGTATTGAATGGAGCTCTGTAACTAACAACTTTCCATTTATCTCTTTTACCTCCTGTATGGAAATATTGAGATGACAATAATTATTCAACATTGTTAGGCAATTCCATAGACCATAATTCTTCATGAGATTTCAACATATATGATTCTCCAAAGACAGTTCTAACTTAACCTGTTCTTGTGTCTCTAACATAAACACCTTCATTTTTATCAAGAGGGATTCTCTCTCTCTTTTCAACTACTTCAACAACTATGGGTGGTGTATAGATACATGGACCATGAATCATCCATTTATTACCTGGTTCATATTCTACTTCAACTTCTTCAAATTGATTATTTTTAACAATTTTCTTTTCAGTGAATTTGCATTTCTCCTTAGCTCTTAAAAGCAATGCTTGATCCTCTGATAAGATATATGAATCTTAAATTCCATATTACAATGATTCATTAGGTCTAAGGAAAAAGCTTCTTGGACCTTCAACAAGTACTTTAGATCCAAATTTATTTCTTTATGTTTCAAAATCAAATGGATTCTCTATTATACAATATTGTCTTGGATCTAAGACTGTTAAATTTATCACTGTAACCAATTCTTCAAATACATCTACAATATGTGCTGATGTCTATTCAGATGTTATCAAATATTCTTCTCCCGCTTTTCTTTCAATAGCTATAAATAATAAAACAAATAAATTACAATAAACATCTTTAAAAGTCTAAATTGCCTTTAAATGCAATGCCTTTCTATTATCCAAAATTTCAGCATCAATTATTTTGACAAACTCTTCATATACTTATGGTAAATAATATCCAGGAGTTCTAATCAACCATTGTTCTCCTGATTTTCTAATAACTCCATTAGAATCAGTTTCTTCTTATTTTGCTCTAATAAGAATTGCTTAATTCTCTTTGATTAGAATTGAATCAATTTATCCGAGAATTTTTTCTTCAATTCTTGGGTAATAAGTGGCTGGGCCTTTGAATAAGTATTAGTCACCTGCTAAACTGAGTTATTATTATGATAATAAGATACATTTCATTTTCTCCACTTTTAAAATTACGTTGTGCCTCAATTTTCAAAGCACTTCCTTCTTTTACTACAGTGAGTTTTGTTGGCTATTATAGTAAGTTTTCTTTAGGATAGAGAGGGAATGGAGTACTATACTATTCAAAAAAACGAATCTCTCGTTCACCATGTAGAACAATAAATTAACTAAAAATATGATGATTAGTATTACCCATATCTATCTTGAGTTGGTTATCCATCTTTATCCTTCACAATAGGGTTTTCAATTATACAATAATATTATTTTGGGAGCACAATCATTTTTTGAGGGAGCTATCCAGACGTAACCTTTGTTGTTATTTCATTCATACTTATTCATGGTCTTGACGGATAAATGTTTGTGGACCGATCTCAACTCTTGTGACATTGGTATTACAATCTAAGACGTGGATAAATTGGTATGGTAAAATCTTGAATGTGTTTGCCTATCCTTTGGGTTATGACATATATCTTTATTTATTTAATAATTTATTTGCATCAATTTTAATCATATATATTATGGCAAAAGAAAAGATATGTTTGGTATTAGATATGACATCATTTATATTAAATTATATTAGACTGTATTTATCATTTATAATTCCCCTTCTAGTTAATTCTTGCTTCTAAATTATTTTTATTAAAATACAATATAAAATTTAAATGCTAAATATTCTTATTTTATCATCTTCTTCATAAATTCAATAAGTAAAAGCTTTAAATTAATTAGTATAAATAATTTACATTGAAAAAGTATTTAAGATTTATGTATCTTATTATATATTATATCATGAATATTAATAAGAGTAATTATAATTTAATATTAACAATTTGAGTTATTTTCATTCCTATTGTTCGTATGTATGATTATAATTTATAATAAGTATTTTTATTGCTGAGATGAGATTCTATATTCATTTTTTAATATATTCTCTTATTTTTTTAATTACAATAAACAACCATTGTTACATATATTTGATTGAATTGCAGACATATTAAAAATGAATTACAGTTATTTAATATGCAATGAATTTGGTTGTGAATTATTACAATTTGAAGTAAAATTCAAATCTGCTCTAATTTTATGATAAAATTCAAAGGTACAATCAAACAGTTATGTAAATAATCACAGATAAACTCTGAGTAGAAGATAAATTATCTATCATAAGGAAAGTAATCATATTTTATACAATAATTTCTAGTGATATATATGGATAAATTAATTTGAACAGAAAACTAAAATAAATATAGAAGATGTATAAATAGGATCTAGTATTTACTATTATAAAGCCTAATAAATATAAAAGAGTAGTACATTCTCTGAACTTATTGAATAATTTATAGAATAATTATTGAAAAGAGGATGATAGTAAAAATCAAATTGAGAATTCGATTGCAAAAACCTCAATGCTTTTTTAGTAATAAGCAAATTTTTTTACTTTTAAGTTCAATTTAAAAAAATAAAGAGATCCATCTAAAAAATCAATTGATATCTTGAAGGTCTAATAAAAGTAGCTGTCGTAAATGTAATTAAACAGATGCCTCCAATTTCTTGATTGTTTTAATACTTTTGTGATCTGATTTAAATTGGAAACAAAACTCATAATAATAAATCTTATATATAATGTATTAATGATGTCAATCTTAAATGAAAACAAAATTTGTCTGTATTAAATATCTTTTTCTTGAATGTTTATGATAATCTAATGAATCATTTTTATGATTTTTCAGTAATTTTAGTAATTTGGTACCTTAGGTGAAAATCTCAAAAAAAAATTTTTAGGGATTTCTATAATATATAGAATAAATTGTATTTAGACAAAAAGTGAGTTAAGTTTTTATAAGAAAGTTAAATGGGAATTAAAAATATCTTTTTTATCAATTATTAGCATTATGTCCATCCCCAGCAGCTTCATCCAGCCATCTTTATCTTCTACCATCAATCCATTCTCCTTCTCTTTACTCTCCTCCTGGTTTAACAAAGATTCCTTTGCCATGTTATTTTCCTTTTTTCCATTCTCCTATATATTTTCTACCATCACTCCAAACGAATGTCCCTTATCCATGTTTCTTATCATCCTCATAACTTATCAATAGTGAAATATTAATTACTCTCCCTCATAACTTCTTCCATCTGGCCAAGTTGTTGTTCCTTAACCATGCATTTTATTTCTTTTCCATTCCCCTTAATATTTTCTATTATCAGCCCAAACATAAACTCCAAATCCATGTATGTCATTGTTATCAAACTATCCTTCATACATGGAACCATCAGCAAATACTAATTTCCCTTTACCATGTTTCTTTCCTTCTTCATACTAACCTTCATAATGTGCTCCATCTGGCCATGTCTCCTTACCATTACCATGTTATTTATCATCCTTCCAAAATCCTACATATTAAGCTCCATTGTTATGTATGTATTTGCCTTCTCCATTCGCTTTGTCATTAAGCCATTCACCCTCATATACATCTCCATCTGCATGGATTAATTTACCTTTACCACAGGCTTTATCATTTTACCAATATCCTTCATATACAGAACCTAAATACGTCATAATATTAATTTACCATCTGGCCAAACTTATTTTCCCCAACCCCATCTCATTTTTCCTCTCCATTAACCAGCATATGTGGCACCTTTAATGTAAATCAAAGATAATACCAGTCTCCAAAGTTACTGGTTCATACTCTTTCTATTCATCAGGAACTGGCTGTTGATTATTTTAACTATCTTTATGAGGATTAACTGAAGCTTCGTTGCTTTCAACTAGTTTAACTTTTTCTTAATAGGACTCAATTTTCTATTTATCATCTTGCTGTTGTTCCTACTTTTTTTCATCTAAAATCTCCTCTTTTGGTTAAGCTTATTATTGAGCATCATCTTATGGTGCATTTCCAGCAACAAATGCTTATTCTATTTACTACTAATCTTCCAGATCCAGTTTCTATTTTTTATCCTCAATCGTTTATGCTACCATTTCCTTACCACAAATTCCAGTGCAGTTGCCCATATGTCTTTTTTATATATAATAATTTAATAATCAAAAAATTAATCATAATGGACAAAATATATATCTCATAAATTCTTAACATCAATTAATATTCCAATTTAACACTTAGTAAACAAATGCATATCTTTTCTTTATCTTATTTTACACCTTTAAAATTTCTACAATCATTAATCCATCTCTCCATCTAAACCATATGCATAAATTTATGTGTTATTCCTCCTACTTTACAATATCTATTCTATCACTCTATTCCTCCAATAATAAATATTAAACATCTTTTGAGATATATTCTTTATTCTTCTTACCATCCAACAATTAATTCTTTACAACTTTCTCAATTAAATCCTTAAATTCCTCTAGATATCATATTGAATTTATTGATTCACTAATATATGATCGTAGTTAATCCTTAAAAAGGATAAATGGACATAGTGTTCTATGAAAATATATTTAAATAGTATAATACTTTTATATCTATTTTTTTACTATTGTATTTATCAACTATGTCAAGTTATAAAACTTATTTTGATAATGTATATATTTTTATAATTTTTCAAAATGTCAGATACAAATAATCTCCAAAATACTCATATTTATTTATTAAATATTTAATTTGTTCCTTTCATTAATTTATTATCATAACTTATTTTATAATTTTTCTGAAAAGAAGGAGTAAAATTGGAAATTCAAATATTTTTTTCATTTTTTGCAAATATTCAAATAAATCAGATTATTATGAATTCTTGTTTTTATTAGTTTCAACCAGTAAAAATAAATAATTTAGCTAATTAATTTCTCAAATATTGAATTATTTTGCCTTAGCATTGTCATTTAAACAATTAGCCTCCTGCTTTATTATACACTGATCAAGAAGACATACTTATGAAAAGAAATTAAATTATTATATTATCAAAGATAAATTCAAAACAAAAATTCTTAAAACTTGCAATTCCCCTTCCTAATTCATTCAATTATAAAAAATTACCTTTAAAGAGTGTAAATACTATCTTAATCCTTCAAACTTCTAATCTATATGAGAAGATTATTATTGTTTTCAACATTCTATAAGAGTCTCTCCATAAGAAATCTAATTGTATTAAATTTAAGTCTTAATATTAATTGAAATTTATATTTAAATCAGATCTTAATCAGATTAAATTGGATTTGTAATTTATAGAGTTATAATATATTCAAGATATTTTTATTGAAACTTTGATTTTTGAACTTTCATTAATGATTAACCATATATAATTTTAAGAATACTATTTAAAAAACAAAAGAATTGCAAAACATAATAGACTTAATAAATTCATTTTTCTGTTAATTCTCTATATCCCTTCCAATCTGAAGGAGCTTTGAAATTAGTTTCCCCCATTACATTAAATAGAGTACTGATTGGACCATCATTAGGTCTTATTTATTTTGCTTTTTCTAACCACATATGGGCTTCTTTCCAATTTCCCAATAGGTAACCTTGAAATCCTTAACCAAATTAATACTATAATATTTAATTAATATAATTACCAAGAATTCTTGATTGAAATTCTTTGTTATAAGTGCGAGATCTTTATTTCTTTTCATATACAATTCTCCATTAAAATCACCAGATTCTAATTACTAAAGAAAGATTTGTTTTTTCTCATACATCACTTATTACTTTTCCTCTTAAGGATAATCCTATTTACTAGGAGGTAAATCATCAGCCTCCATCTCTATTGTGTATAATCCAACAGGTTTAAGACTTCCCTTAACTGTAACTTTATCAATCTATCTAGTATATTTCTTAATTTCATTAGAGAAATATTGATGTAATTCACTTGAGATTAAGACAGCTACACCATATTATTTAGTTGCAGCTTCTAAACGAGAAGCCATATTAACATTTGGACTTAAATATGATGCATCAATTTTGAATTCTGATCCTATAGCACCTTCTATACCCCATCCTATATGTAATCCAAATCCCATTTTTACTTTATATCCTGGTAATCGTTAACTTAATCTTTCATCATTTCTATATTCTAATATTTTAGGTTCTCTATTAATCTTTGCATATATTTTCATGAATGCAATTAGAGCACAATCTGCTAATTAATTTATGAATACTAAATTGGACCTTTAAATAGGATTAAAATTTTTATACCATTTGATTTCATTTCCATCTTCATACCATTGAGAATCATTGATTTTCCAAACTAATAAGAATGCATCTCCAATGTTTTTATTAGCTGATCCTTGATAACGATCCACCATTGAATGTACAATTTCAGCTATATTATTAACAAATAACATCACATCCTTTTACAAGACTTCAGTAGCATCAGTAAAATTACGGATATCACAAAATCCATAAATAGCCCATTTACGTTTACCTGGTAACATAGGATCCACATCACCTGAAGATGCCATATTAGTTCCTATAATAGCAGATCCTGCATCACCAAATCCTAATGCTAATAAGGCACCTATTTTAATAATAGCATTTTCTATTTAAGTAGTTTCCTTTTAAGTTCCCTCAGATTCTAATTTCATCTCTTTTGCTAATTAAGGATTCTTAGCTATTAAATTGACTTTCACTATCATTCTATCTATTGGTTTTAATGCAACATTATTAGCATCATTTGAAAATGCTATTGCTCCAAATAATAATACAGCACTAACAAATAAAGTATTAACAATATTAATAATTGAATTCTTAGATTCAACATCTGAATTATCTGATACAAAAAGAATGACAGGATCACCAATATAATCTAATCCTACTAATACAGGATCAACTAATTCAAAATAATAGCTTTTTGAACTTTCTCTTAAATATTAATATGAAGACGTTTCATAATTCTCTATTTCAATAAATGGATTAGTAATATATCCTACAGGTGTATCAAATGATTTATGTTAATCAATCACAAAATTAATTGTTTCATTAATTTCACTTAATTTTGTATTTGGAATTTCAGCTACTACTCTAAAATATTCAGCTGCATAAGCTAAACTATAAGAAGGTTCAAAATAATAATCAGAACTAAATAAAGGCATTATTAAAAGTAATAAAATAACAAGAATTATGACCTTCTTTGTTGTAGAATCTGATAATCTTTTACTAACTCTTGACTCTTTTTGTTCTTTCACTTTAACTTATGATGGTTCTTTCATAGATAATCTACGGATTTCTTAGACCTTTGGAATCGAATTGTCAATTTATTGTTATTTTGCAACCATATTTTAATTTTCTCGATTTTCTTAACTATTCGCATTAACATCTCCTTCTAATTTATGACTCTGAATACTACCCCTTTATTCTGTATTATTGTCTTTTTTATTTAGATTCTCTTATTCAATAGGCACATTATTAATATTTTCATAGACAGAAGGATAAACAGTTGCTTTGCTTTTTTTAACGGTCGATGTTCTAAGTGGCTATCTTTTAAATGCTTATTCTTATGAATAACTTGCTGCCTTATACAACTTAACTATTCTAATTAATCTAACAAGACGAACAACTCGAATTGCTTTTGAACTAGTTTTAGATGCTTTATTGGCTTAGGATAATTAAGAAGCAGATTTAGCAGCAACAGAACCTCTAAAATATATTGAAATGAATTACTGTAAACCAACTGCAATATTGAATTAGGTTATATCCAAAATTTAAGAAACTGTTGATATAATATCCAACCAGAAAAAGAATGAATTAAAATAGTCTGCTCTTACTATGCTTGCAATGATAATTTCAATAGAAAATATTATCTACTATATTTGGTGATTTTACCATGCATATTATAGTGATTACATCAAATCCATCATCAGCTCTTTTATCAAAAGCAATAATTCTTATGTCATCACCAAATAGAGCATAAATAGTTAATAGATTTACTAATATTTAAAACCAACTACTATCTATAATACTCGTTAAAAGAGGAAACTTATCACTGAATTCATAATATTAATTACATTTCTTCATTTTGACCAAATACATCGACATCTTCATTGTTACTATCATCTGAAACAACAGATTAGTTATCTACTTCTGGATTTACTTGTGCTTCACTCATTAATATTTCTATTTTAATTATTATACATATTCCTAAATTTATAACTAAATAATATAATAATTAACTAAATTATTTATAAATAAGATCATTTTCTTAATATGTTCTTTAATATTTCCAATATTCTTTTCAAAGATTTAATTATATATAAATAAATTAATCTTTAAAATTTCTTTATGATAAATTTATCTGTCTCTTTCTTTACTATTCAAATGATGATCGCATTAAATATCTATCTCAATATTATATAATATTTATTTATTGGTTTATAAATGTGCTCAATCATATTCTATGGATTAATATGCTAAATATCTTATATACTTACTTCTTGGATATTTAATTATTAATATTATCCATTAATATATTTTTATATTATAAGATTTTGAATTTAAATATTGAATTCATTAATGTTTAAAAGAATAATTAGTTTTACATTAATAGAATTATTCATATTTTCAGGATTCTGATAAATATTATTTCAAATAGAACAATATGGTTTAATATTTTAACAACTCTTTAAATTATCAAGTGTATTAATATTATTAAAAATCTCAACTAATTACGAGAATTATAATCAATTCCATATTTAAGATTTTGGTACATTGAATCGTTGAGCATATTTTGTATATAAACCTAATTCTCTATTCTTAATTTCTTCTATTTTCTATCTGGATGCCAAATTGATTTTGTTATTCCTATAAAATGAATTTCTAAACCCTATATGTTATTCTAATTAAGAAGAAACTATAGGAGATTTGTGAACGTTTTGTCTCCTCTTCTATTTGTCTGCCATAATTCTTATATCCACTTTCTATAATGGTGGTAATGATCTTTTTTATTATTCACGTGAATTTTATTCTGAATACAAATCTTCATCTGTCTCATTAATTGGTAATGGATTAGTTCCTTCCATTTCCCCTAAAAGAATTGGTATTCTTTTAAAATTAACACCATAAATTTAATCAAGAGTAAGAGGAATAGATTAAATCATTTTGTATTTCCAATAAAAGTTCCTATTAATAATAATAATCATTATAAATTTAGCTTCAGTTAATGTAAATCATGTTTCAAAATATTTTTTAGAATCAAAATAGAAGTAATAGAGGATTAATTTATGAATATTTGTTAGAAATTAGAAATAAGTATAGAAAATTATGCAAAAAATAAAAAAGTAAACGTTTTATTTAATACTATTAATGTAATAATAAAAATTACAATAGAATTGAAGGAAAATATAATAGTCTTAATGAATAGATTAATATAATGACTTTTTATATCATGTTTGAAAAGACTAATAAATTTATTTATAATTAGTTTTGTAAGAATTAATATAAATCAAATGAATTAGTAATTGCTATCTGAGAAATTGTAATTGAATGGATTAAAAATTGAATCATGTGGATTTATTAAAACATTTGAATATCTGAGAGAATTGAAATTATAAGATGAAATTCGAATTGAGGATATTGGTGCACATAATATCTATAAATTCAGAGTTAGAATATTAAATTAATCATATATAATCAGAAGAAGAGTTAAAGATTTCTAATAATTAGAATCAGCAACTAATCCAGATCCACTATTTGTTTTCAAAAAAAAAGAAGTAACAAAAGAAAGTATGGAAGATTAACCTAGAGAAAAATAATAAATATTGTTCAACTTTTTGAAATAATTTCTATAGAATGAAGATTTAAATGCATTAACTTAAGATGTTTTAAAGTTTTTTGAGATTTCTGAAGTAGAATATGGTGATTTTAGAAAGTATAAGGAATGTACATTAAAAAAAAGAGCAGGTGGTAGATTTTCTGAAAGTAGATGTACTAGATGTGGAACTTTATGGGGAAGATGGTCAAAAAGGTATATATTTCAATATATAAATTAGATATTTCTATATATCAAATAATGGAGTGATGTATTGTAAAGGTCCATTTGGATAAAGAGCATAAATGAGAGAATAATTAGTATTTGATTATAATTTTAGAATGAAATATGGTAAGGCAGGGACTGGTTATGATAGAGGTATTAAATTAGAGTTTGCAACAAGACATTTATTGCTTGTTGCTCCTGATTATTTTACTTTTACAGAATTCTTAACTGCATTAAATCAAGCAGAAAAAGAGTGTCCTTATAGATAAATTCATAGATTCTTATCATTTGCTCCAATAAAAGAGAGTCATTGTAAATGGTACATAGATGGAGAAGGGTATTTTAGTGATGTAATGGATGCCTTATTGAATGCCAAATAATATATATATATTACTGATTGGTGGATGAGTCCAGATCTCTATTTAAAGAGACCTATAGCTATAGATTAAAATGATTAAATAAATTAGGATTCTAGATTGGATAGGATACTTTAGAAATTAGCAAATAGAGGAGTGTCTATATATATTTTAATGTATTTAGAACCAACTATAGCATTAAAGCATGATTCATATCACACTAAAAATTTTTTAGAAAGATTGTCTCCTAATATTATGGTCTTAAGACATCCATCACCAATTCCATAATTATGGAGTCATCATGAAAAGATTGTTGTTGTAGATGGAACTGTTGGATTTATGGGAGGACTTGATTTATGTTTTGGTAGAATGGATACTTAATAACATTTATTAAGTGATTTAGATGTAAGAAGATAATTTTGGCCAGGAATTGATTATGCTAATAATAGAATGAAAGATTTTGAGAATGTTCATAAAAGTGGAGAGAGTTAAATTAATAGGAGTGATCCAAGAATGCCATGGCATGATATTGCAATTAAAGTAAGTGGATAATCAGTTAGTGATTTAGTTAGACATTTTGAATAATATTGGAATCATGTTATGATTAGTTAAAATTTTCCGAAGAGAAAATAACATTAATTATAAGGTAATGCTAAAAATCCAACTAATTATTATAAAATATAGGATGTTTATCAATAAAATTCTTAAGATACTATATTCTAAAAGTATAAGAATTAAATAAAGGAAGAATATTAAAGTTAATATCCTAATGAAGAATCTAAAGAAGATTAATCAAAATAAAATACATAAGCTTATAATCCAAAATAAAGATTATCAGCTATTTTCCCTAATAAATAATAATGTAATAAAGATTTTATAGAAATACTTGAGAAGATTCATGGATAAAATTAAGAAGAAGAAGAGGAATTTGAAGAGAATATAGTGCCAAAAAATAAATAATTTAGATCAAGCATTATGATATAACCTAAATTATAGATGGCATATGAAAAGGGAGAATGTTAAACATAGATATTGAGATCAGCATCAAATTGGTCAATAGGTTGTTCATCTGCAAATACTGAATTCTCTATTCAAATTGCTTATACTCATTTAATATCAGAAGCACAAAATTTTATTTATATTGAAAATCAATTTTTTATTAGTGCTGTTAACAATAATCCTATAATAGAAAATAAGGTTGCTTTAGCTTTAGTTTAAAGAATTAAAAAAGCAGCATTAAGAAAAGAGAAATTTAAAGTAATAGTATTTTTACCATTATTACCTGGTTTTGCTGGAGAAATAGATAAAGATTCTGCAGTATTAAAAGTCTAATTACATTGGGAATATTTAACAATTAGTAGAGGAGGGAATTCTATAATTGAAACACTTTTAAAAGATTCTAATATATCAGATCCTAGTTAATATATTGAATTTTATTCATTAAGATAACATACTAAAATATTAGATGTTCCAAAAACTGAATAAATATATATTCATTCTAAACTTATGATTATTGATGATGAATATGCTCTTATAGGTTCTGCAAATATTAATGATCGAAGTTTAGTTGGAAATAGAGATTCAGAAATAGCTATTGTTATTTATGATAATAAAAAAAAGGAATCTATCATGGGTGGTGAGAGAGTAGGAAGATCAATTTTTGCTTAAGAATTAAGAACTTCTCTCTATATGGAACATTTTGGATTAAAATATGATGAAGTTATAGATCCATTAAGTTAATAATTATAAGAAAAAATTAGATTCAATACTAGAAGAAATACTATGATATATAGATAAGTATTTGCATGTTATCCTGATGATAATGTTAAAACATTGAATGACTATTAAACAGTAAAAATAGATTATTTAATTTTTAGTTTAAATCTTCAGGAGATCTTTCCAAATATGATTAATTATCATCATAAATTGTAGGCCATGCTGTTGAATTTCCTTTAGAATTTTTATGTAAAGAGAATTTGACTATTAAAATCTTGAGTAAAGAAATTATTGTTCCTGAAATCAATTTTACATGAAATTATGTATAGACAATTTCAATGGCTTAAATATCAATTTTTTTATTTATTTTAGATTTAAATGAAATAATAAATAAAAAATCTTATTATTTTTACAACTTATAATAATTCTATTTTATAGGAGTGTTTTATGAATATAAATCATATAGATTTTATAATTATGATAATGTCATTATATATATATATCTATTAAATATTGTCTTTATATATACAATATTATTAAAATTACTTAAGAAATTAATCCATTAATATTAATTATGTTTCTAAGATTAGCATCCAATTTCATAAGACAACCAATAATGATGAAACAAATTTCAAAATAATTGACATTTCTACCAATGACAACAATTTTGAATAATCACAAATTGTTGATCTATAATTTATCATAATTACATACAGCATTCTTTTAAATAGAGGAATAGAATGATGATGATGACTTATTGTAAATACTGTCTATGAATAGTATAGATTGGAAGAGGTCCCAGTACGTAGGACAAACTCAAACTAATTGAATTGATTGATTATTATAGTCATAGTGAAATATACAAAATTATTCATTGATTTTAAGTGTGGATAGTATTTTAATTAAATTAATGAGAAGTTTTCCTCTTAGATTCATAGCTTAAAGAACTACATAACTATTCAGATCAAATTAATCCCTTTTTAAATTAATGCCTTCTAGAATAATTAGATATCATTATTCATAAGAGTTCATTCATAATAATAATAATAATAATAATTAAGATTAAAGCAAAAAAGAAAATAAAACTATAGATATTCAACCTTAGTATATGATAGATTTATTCTAAAAGTTGATTGTCTTAAGAAAAGAAGAATTAACTGAAATTAATTGTATATCATAATTAGATATTTGTAGAAGAAAATATGGTCACAACTTTAGAATAATTAGTACCTTTTATTGAAAATTTCAACATTCATTAATTAGAATATTTTTTAATATTAGCAAATGAGATTATTACAGTTGATAATAAACTTACTGATAAATTATATGAATAAAATAAACATCTCTTATATTCAGAGTATAATTTTAATATTATTATTATTAATAGATAATCTGATTTCAATTAGAGTTTAAAAATTTTAGCATTATTGATTGAAAATCCACTTGAAGAATAATAATTAGAAAATATAATCAAAATGATATTTACAATACTTGAAATTCCAGATCTTGATTCATCAACTCTTGCTTATTCTATATATGTTTATGGTCTTATAGTTAAATAATATAAAATTGAATCAACAGAATTCTTTTAATCAATAACTAGACATTTAAAAAAAATTGATTAAGATTATATAGAAATTATGAATAAAGATAAAAAAGATTCATAATTTATTAATTTCACATAATAAGACCTCAAATTATTAGCATTAGGATTACATTTAGGTGGATGTTAAAATACTGATCTTTCAAAGTATATATCAATAAAAGCATAAAGTATATTTATAGAAATATCTAATCTAATAATAATATCTAAATTTTTATTAAAATAAGAAATAATTAATGAAGAATTCTTAATTTTCTTTAAATAATAATTAGATAAATCAAAGAATTAGATTTAATCAGATGATATTTTATAATTAATTATTGCTATTAAATAAATGAAATAACCAGATTAAGAAATATTAGAATTTATTATTAAAGAATTCTTGAAAACTAAAGATTAATTTAATTTAGGTGATAAAGCATTTTTGTATCAAAAGATGGCATAAATGCATTGTAAATCTTAAGAATTATGGAATCAATTTGGATTGGAAATTTAAGAAATTACAGATAAATGTGAATGGTTTGATGCATGTTTTATGTTTTATTGTATTTTTGATGTATTCTAATTTTATATTATTTAGGTATTTGAATACTTACCTTAAAATTGTTAAGAACATATATTTAATTATATAATAGGGCATTAGAATGAAATTGATGGGGAAATGAAGGAATTATTATTCCAAAAATTATAGGAAAAAGGTATTATTACAGATAAAGATATTGAGGATTCAAAATAGTATAAATGAATGTGTATTATATGCGTATATAGTCATAAAGCTAATTGATACATGTAATTGACTCTTTTTAATACTTCTTTGTAATTTCTAATTGCTTTATTTGCTCTATCTGTAAGTGATGTATTAATAGTAATCGAAAAATTGAATGGTTTTAGTTATAATATATTATCTTTATATGGAGACAATTAATTCTAATTAGATTTTGAGTTCTTACATATATTATTTAAATTTAATCTGTATCTTTTGAATTTACAAGGTCAAATATTTTTTGTATTAATAATTTACTGTACTTACATTCATTCATCATGTAATTCAAATTATTCATATTTATTGTTTTATTATCTTCTAATATTAAATATTATGATTCTCTTGTGCATAATTCAAATAACACTAAACCTAATTACTATTACATATTATAAGATTGTCCTTCCATTATTTTAATCTATCCATTATTATAGAAAATACAAGTAGTACATAAATTTGAAGTTTGATTTTTAGATTTAATAAACATTACTCCTTATAAAATCTAATAAAATAGATTCCAAATTTCAGTCTCAGCAATAGGTAATTCCTGATTAATTAAGTAATCTTATAAAGTTGAATCATAAAATTCATAATATATTGATATATAGCTATTATTGTTTTATTTGTGTAATTCAGCAGCTAATAATTCGATTACATTCTCATGTTCCCAATTTGATCTTTCATGCAATTCTTATTTAGAAATATCTGATTGTAATATTTTACAATATGCCAATTATCCATTCTCTTTTTATTTCCAAATATCAATTTATCCTAATTCTAAATGCCGAATGGTAAGTAGAAAGTCATAGCTTTCTAAGAAACTCATTTTTCCTTAACTGATTAAAATTAATTATAAAAAATTATAATAAACTTCATATATTATGATTATATAAATCTATATATAACCCATTTTATTTCCTTTTACTAATTTACAATATTATTTTATTGAATTCTAATAATAATAGTTATTTAAATATAACTTTGTGATTTTATAATTAAATATAGATTCTATAATTTTTATACCATTTTTAACTTATATCAAATATTCAAATCTATTATAAAAAATATTATTAATTTTACATCAATATAAATAATTATGTCCAATAACAGAATACTTAATATTCCATCAAGTAATTTATATTTTCTATGATTAGCTGCTTCATCAAAATAATCATCACTTTAATCATGCAAAAATATTGAACATTCCCCTACTATTTATTAGTTAATACTCTCATAATTTTGTAAAAATTAAAAAGTAGATAAATACTAAAAATCTGTACCATACCTGTCATCTGATAAATCTCTTATCCAAAATTTACAATAAAAAATCATAGAACTCACAAATAAAGTTGATTATCTAACTTAGGAAAATAAAATACTTAAGTAAAATAGAGTAAATTCATTAGATGTATATTTTTAACTTATATATATTAGAATATTCAATATAAATATTTATAAATGAACAATTATACCAAATTGTTAGAATAATTGCAATAATTTAAATTAGAAAACATGTCATTAAAACAAAGTCTATTTCAATTAAAGATAGATTTCTAAATCTCAATAAACCCTTTAAAATAAATAATTAATCATTATATTACAGTGCCTCAGCATGATATTAAAGATGTGTTTGAATTAAGACTTTCTCAATTAGAAGGTGAGAATTAATAATTAATTTTAGAATAAATTTCTTTATAAAAGTCAAAATGTGAATTATTGAATTTGGAAAGAACTTAATTACTTGAACAGAACAATTAAATAGAAAATGAACTTCATTAATGTAAATAAAAGTTAGAATATAAAATCAAATAATGAATTCATAAATCAATTTTGTATTCATAAAATAAAAATGTCAATTTTTAATTTCATGAATTTCCTTAATACATAATTCAAAATTTCTTGGTCTAAATTTTAAATATAGAATTTAAAGTGTTTTAATTAAATTCTTTCAATAAAAAATTATTTGACTATTTAGTTAACATTATCCATTTATTTTAATCTAAACAGTTAATTCTAATAAAATTAATTTTTGTATAATATTTTACTAAATATAAAGATAAGACTTAATATAAACAATTAAATAAATTAATTGAGGTTGACTATATAAAATTGATTATTGAAACTGTATGATTTTAATTGATTGATTTGATATAGAATAAGGCTTTTTNATATTATTAATTTTACATCAATATAAATAATTATGTCCAATAACAGAATACTTAATATTCCATCAAGTAATTTATATTTTCTATGATTAGCTGCTTCATCAAAATAATCATCACTTTAATCATGCAAAAATATTGAACATTCCCCTACTATTTATTAGTTAATACTCTCATAATTTTGTAAAAATTAAAAAGTAGATAAATACTAAAAATCTGTACCATACCTGTCATCTGATAAATCTCTTATCCAAAATTTACAATAAAAAATCATAGAACTCACAAATAAAGTTGATTATCTAACTTAGGAAAATAAAATACTTAAGTAAAATAGAGTAAATTCATTAGATGTATATTTTTAACTTATATATATTAGAATATTCAATATAAATATTTATAAATGAACAATTATACCAAATTGTTAGAATAATTGCAATAATTTAAATTAGAAAACATGTCATTAAAACAAAGTCTATTTCAATTAAAGATAGATTTCTAAATCTCAATAAACCCTTTAAAATAAATAATTAATCATTATATTACAGTGCCTCAGCATGATATTAAAGATGTGTTTGAATTAAGACTTTCTCAATTAGAAGGTGAGAATTAATAATTAATTTTAGAATAAATTTCTTTATAAAAGTCAAAATGTGAATTATTGAATTTGGAAAGAACTTAATTACTTGAACAGAACAATTAAATAGAAAATGAACTTCATTAATGTAAATAAAAGTTAGAATATAAAATCAAATAATGAATTCATAAATCAATTTTGTATTCATAAAATAAAAATGTCAATTTTTAATTTCATGAATTTCCTTAATACATAATTCAAAATTTCTTGGTCTAAATTTTAAATATAGAATTTAAAGTGTTTTAATTAAATTCTTTCAATAAAAAATTATTTGACTATTTAGTTAACATTATCCATTTATTTTAATCTAAACAGTTAATTCTAATAAAATTAATTTTTGTATAATATTTTACTAAATATAAAGATAAGACTTAATATAAACAATTAAATAAATTAATTGAGGTTGACTATATAAAATTGATTATTGAAACTGTATGATTTTAATTGATTGATTTGATATAGAATAAGGCTTTTTAATATTATTTTATTTCTTATTTTGATTAAAATAACTTAAATAATTTTATTTATTTTTTTATGAAATTCTAATTAATAAATGTAGATGTTTTCTATTAAATGAAAACAGCAATTCATAATATATTTTTACAAAAATAATACAAATGAATAATTTTAGTAAATGGTTAATTTAATTAAGTGTTTTTGATGTACCATAAAATAATACTATTATAAAAATACAATTATAAATTTTGAAATTGTTATAACTTATAAATAATTATATTCGATATAATTTCCAGAAAGATCTTGTTTTGATTAATATTTTTAATTTTAATGAATTAGCAATGTAAAATATTCAAGAGCAAGGAAATTGTTTATTAAAGGGATCCCATTGATGTAAGACAATAACATGATTAATTTTAAGAAAAAGAAAATCGTAAATGGTTATAAGATTATGAAAATAATTGGTGAAGGATCATATGGAAAAATTAAATTAGCAATTAAGGATAATCATGAATATGCAATAAAAAAGTTTAATAAGTTTATTTTGAAAAAGAAGAATAAAATGTACAAGAATCCTAATGGAAGTAATAATAATTAAAGTATTATTTTTAGCAACAAAATATGTCTCATTTTTAGATGAAGTATATAGAGAAATAGAAATTCATTAAAAATTGGATCATCCAAATATAATTAAATTGCATGAGATTTATGATGATGATGAAAGAGAGAAATTATATGTAGTTTTAGAATATGCAGAAATGGGATAAATTTTGAAATGGGAAAGTAAATAAGAAATATTTACATCCTCATGGAAATTTGATGAACTCACATTCAAAGATTATGTTAAACAAATGTTAAAAGGATTACAATATCTATAATAATAATATGTTGCACATAGAGATATTAAACCACACAATATACTATTAACCAAAAATCATCAAATTAAAATATGTGATTTTGGGTAAGCTCAATAATTGACTCCATAAAATGATAGAGTCAAAGGAACTGAAGGCACTTTTTAATTTGTTGCTCCTGAATGTTTAAGAGAAAATAAAAAGAGTGATATTCCAGGATATAGTGGTTATTTAGCAGATATTTGGAGTTTAGGAGTTGTTCTTTATTGTGTAGTAGAATTGAGATTACCATTTTAAAGTGAAATAATGTTAGAACTATTTAATTAGATAGAAACCAAAGAGTAAGATATTATTATTTAATATTAGAATTAAAATGAAATATGATGGACCAGCAAAAAGTTTAATTCTTAAAATGTTAACTAGAGACACAAATAAAAGACCAAATGCAAGTTAATTATTAGAAGATCCTTATTTTTAATGATTTAGTATAGTAGTAGCATTTTTAGATATAATTAATTCCAAAATCACATCATTTTACTTAAATACTTCACTCTTAAATTAAATTATTAAATTATTTACTCTAAAGGTTTATAATCTGATTGAACAAAATTCCATTTCAAAATTAGACATCTTTTATTCTCACATTCAAATTCGAAAACATATTCCTCCTTGTTAAAATATGAATAATTATAATTTAATCCAATTTCCCATAGAAATACAACCCATTAAGGGCCAAAAAGTTGATTCAATTGATTTCGAATAAATTCTGCCTAATTGACAAATACCTTCTATTTCTAACTTCTTGAGAATACATCATAAATAGCCTCCTTATGTATTTAAGTTATATTATAACCCTATCGAATAATGCTAAATTAACTCATATATTTCAAATTAATTATTGGTTTTATATTAAATAAATTAATAATCAATAGAGATGTTCTTCATAATTATATTTATATTTATTTTTATCCAAATGCTTAATACACCTTAACAGAGATTAAAAATTCAATGATTATCTAAAATAAATATAGCATTCTCAAAAAAATTTGCAAAGAGAAACTATTAAATATATATTTAGATCATAGAAGTTTAATTTAGCCGCATTATTGACATATTTAAGTATAAATAACTGTGCATTTCTTAAACTTATTTAAGATTAGTAATGATAATGATTATCCTGAAGAATATGAAAAATTCACTATTTTGTAGGGTGATTTAAGCTAATGAATATGATCAAAAAAGATTTATTATATTCTTAAACTTCATTAATAAATCTCATACTTAATAATTAAAACAATAATAATCTTAGAATAATAAATAGAGTTTTGAATCAATGAATGAAGAATAAATTGATGAAGAATTTAAAAATTACTAATTGAATATATGTTCAAGAAAAGATTTTACAATTGAATCTAGCATTAGATCTTAAAGACCTTAAAAATCTATATAGTCTTAATTCCCTTAGAATCTAATCATAAATTATGAAACTCTAATTAACTATAACTTGAAATTAATTATAATATTCACAATTTTCTCCATTTATTAGATATATTTATAATGTTTTAGACTCAATTAATAAATAAATGAAATTTTATATCATTCTTTGTTTAGTTGCAGCTACTTTAGCTGGATCTTGTGGATAATCATGTTGCTAAGATTTAAAGACCAGAGCAGCAATGACATACCATTATTATATTAATACAGGTAGATTTGTTGGAGGAAGTGGAGACTCTGCAATTAAAACATTTGGATATTCAGGTTCTGGTCAAGTATTAAATATCATTTGATAATATAGTATAGAAATGATCCAGCATCATAATGTATAAAGAACAAAGGTCCTGCTCCAGCCACTACTTATAAAATTACATTATGCAAAAATACAATGCATAATCCCCCTGTTGACAGACCTTGTTCATTTTGGATTGAGCCATTAGATGAATCTAAAATGTGTGGAAGAAGTGAAATCTTTATTCATGGTTGTTAATGTTGTACTAATGGAGATTGGACTGAACCACCTGTTGATGGATGTTCTGCAGGGTAAATAAATATTTGATTACATCATATAGATGCGTCATTATAAATGAAGCAAATAGAAAGAAATTAAGAGTTGGAGATACTATAATAATTGAGAATAAAGATCCATTAGGTGAAGATGTTTAATTCTTGGAAGATTACTCTTAATATGCATAAGAAGAATGATGTAATTGTTATAACATTTGACAATTATTTATCAATTATTTATGAAATATTTTCTTACTCTTTTATTTGTTGTCATTTCTTAAGTTGACCAACTAGATCACCAATGACATGTTATTATATTATTAATACTGGAAGTTTCTTTGGAGGTAGTCGTGATTTCATGAATTAGTACTTTTGGATATTCTGGAGCTGGAAAAGTATTTATTAGATAGATTCAATATTAGTATAGAAATGATCCTACAGTTTAATGTTTAAAGAACTAAGGACCTGCACCTGCAAATACATATACATTAAAAACATGTTAAAATACGATAATATCGGATAGATGGTAATGATTAAGATAAAATGAGTGGAAGAACAGAAATTATGATACATCGATGTGCCTGTTGTACACCAAGTGATTGGAGAGTACAACCAATTGATGGATGTTCTGCAGGGTTATAATTAATCATTAGATGTATTATTATAAATGAAGAGAATTAAAAAAAAACAAAGAGTAGGAGACACTTTATTTGTTTAGGATTATGATCCATTAAGTAATAGTATGAATTTAGATGACATCATTATAGATTAAGAAATTATGTATGAATGAATTATTAATTTGAAATAATAATTCTTATTATTATTATTATTAAATATATATATAGATTTATTTGATCTAAATTCTTAAATAAAATTCAAAACATTGATTAACTCATTAATTAATTATATGATAATCATTTTTATCAAGATCTTGAATAATTACTTCTCATTCACTTCAATTATTTAAGTTACTTCTTTATTTTTAATAGGATGAGCAGTATTCTTTAAGATTATATAATAAATACATATGCTATTAATTAATAATGTTTGGATTTTACTTTTTCTATTATTTCATTATCTAATATAATAAAACATTTAACATTTATATTTTTTTAGTTTAAAATGATTCAAAAATTAAAAATAAACTTGTGAGAACATTTCATCTATTATTATGTTCTCTTATTATTTGATTCTTTTGTTATAAGGTTTCTATAGTAGTGGTATCTATTATGTTTCTTTGAATCCTTTATTCTAAACTAATTTTCAAAAGAATTTTGATGGAGGTGGTGTTTATCTAATTTAGAAATTCATGATATTTTGTAAATTAATTTTATAGATGAATTTTTATTGAAACAGCACTGACTTAAAAAGAACAGAATATATTTTGAAAGGTCTTTATGTTTATCTATTGAAATAGAAATTTTTGACATAAATAAATTCTAAATATTTAATGGGGTTGTTATTCTATTCGCGGATATTTAAATTTATTGCTATTATTGTAGAAAATCAACTGATAAATAAAAATATGAAAACAAATGTTACCAAGCCTGTTGAAAACTCTTATCAATCTTAAATCATTTGTAAATCATCCTAACTATATAAGAACCTACTTTGATGTCGTAGCAATCAAACATCACTTAGATACAAAAATAGGCATTATAATCGATTCCTTTAGTTCCATTAAGATAAGCTAATAAATCAATGACCACAATTAGACCTTCAATATTTAAATCAAAAGTTGAGGAGTCAACATCTTTCAATAAGTATAACATAATCTATAAATATAGAGATGCCTCATGCCTGATAGCTAAACTTGATTCATTAAGAGAAATTAAAACTTAAGAGAGTCCTCTTAGACATCATAAAACAACATATATTCAACCATAATCTAGCGTTGTCTTAGAATTCAAAAACGTTGCTCCTAAAACTGTACAATTGTAATAAAGTGTATTTGCAAGTTGTGTTGAACCTTTTCGTTCATCCAAAAGTATTGCAAGTTCAAGTGTTTCAAACAGTTAATAATGGAGTAAAGCTGTTCCTCCATAAAAGAATTATGAAGCACTTATAGAAACTCTGATGAAGGAATAAGATATTGTTATTGAATAGTATAGTGAGAAATTATCAAAATTAGAATAGAAAGTGATTATTCTTTCTTAAGAAAATACCAATCTTATGGAATAAAATAAATTACTTTTGAATTAAAATATTGAATTAAATGAAGAAATTACATAATGGAAAAATTAAGTAAAACAATATCTTGAATAATAATAAATCAATTCTAAATTTTAAAATGATATTGATATCTTAGAAAAGTAATTAGAGTACAAACAAGATGAACTTAATTAAACTAATTAAAATTTAGAATAAATCAAAAATATTAACAAAACATTTGAAATTACAATTAAAGAATAATAAGACCAAATTAATTCTATATTATAATAATAACTTAAAGAAAATGATGAATACAATTCTAAAATGATTGTCTAAAAATAATGTATTTAAGAATTGGAATAAAAAATAAATTAATATATAAAAAATGAATAATCATCATAAATATTAATAAGAGATTTATAAAATAAAATCAAATCATTAGAATAATCAAATGAAAGATCAAAATTTACTAATTAATAATCATCTCCAATAAAAGTAATATATATTTATATATAATTAGATTAATGTTAAAGATTAATATGAATATAAACAATTAGTTTTGGAATTAGATAGTAAATGTGTGACAATTACAGAAAAAGAAACTTAAGTAGAAGCATTAAAAATTAAAAACACAATGCTTTAATAATAACTAATATAATTATAAGCATGTTAATTGGGTATCAGAGATTATGAAACTGGACTTAAATAAAAACAATAAGAAATTAACGAATTATAATTATAATTACAAAAAAAGAATTAAGAATATGACATTCTTTCATAAAATTAATCAATAAAACTCAATACTATAAATCAAGATTATGAATAAACTATAAATGATTTGTAATAAGCTTTACAAAATAAAAATGATGAACTTGAGAAAGTTTCCCTTTAATTAAAAACAGTCAAAAAAGAAAAAGCTAAATTATCTATGAATTTAATCACAGCTGGAATGGCAAATTTAGTAATGGTATCCTAAAGTTCTGCTTGAGGTATGAGTCTCCCTTTTGAAAATCATTTATATTAAATAATTTTAAATATATAAAAATTATTATTAGTCTTATTATATATAAAAATATTAAAATACAACATATTTTATAAATAGATATAATTTATTTCAATATATAAAATATTTAATACAATCTTTGATTTTTCATTATAATTTAATTAAATTATTAACATAGTTTAAATATCTGTTAAATCTCTAAAATATAAAAAATTATGTAATCTAATATAATCAAAACCAAAAATAAATTTAATAATGTATCATTTCACTAAATAATTGGAGGTATTATATTCCGACAATAAGGGCAAGTTAATTATAGTTTATTCCAGATTATTAGACAAGTAGAATGAAATTTATGTCCACATGGGGTAATCATTAATAATTTACTTCCCAACAAAACCTCTTAATCTTAGTATGAGTAATCAGGTTCATTTTTTAAATTTAACAGGCAAATTGCACATTCCTCAGATTCTTAGGATTCATTTTCATAATAATAATGATATTTTTTTGATAATGTACCTTTTTGGATTATTTTAAAAAAATCCGCTCCGTGTATTTCATATAAACAGTAAATTTATTACGCAAAGAACACAGAAAAGGGAATAACAATATATTAATTGTCTCTTTAACTAATGTTATTTAAGTGTCCTAATGAATATAACTTAAACTATTAAATTATTATACATAAGATGCAATTTTTATAGACAAAAACCCAAATATTTATTTTGGTATGAATATTGGATTAGTTCTTAATCCAAAATTATGTATTATTTAAGGAATCAGAATGAAACCGATTGTCAATAACGATGAATAACCACTATCATACTCTTCCAATAGGGGAAAAAAATAGAAACTTAAGAAATCTAAATTATAAAAATACATATGATACAACTAAGGAAAAAAATTAAGACTATTATTTTAATTTTTCTATATTTTTGTTAGTCTATTAATTATTCTTCGAATATTTAAAGAAACATCTAATGATTTAATGAATAAACTAATCCCAAAAACAACATGAACAACAAAAAGGAGAATTAATCCTTTATTTCTAATATATAAATTTACCGACTTGTAATAAATATTTGAATAAAGAAGACCTAAGTAGTGGTCATAATTTATCACATACTCAAAACTGACAATTGAAATCTAAAACTTATACGTATAATTACTTATTAACGAAATTATTAGTTATTCCAATTTCTTAATATTAATTGAAAAAATAAAATAAAAGATATTGTACATATTCCTTCAAACTTTGAATCTTTTGAAAATGATTAACATTATTAATCTGGGAGGGTAATGGGAGCTTAAATTTCTGGGTTTAATTTTGCATGAACTTTTTATAATACTTCTGCAGAATGCTCTAAGATTAAAGTATTAAAAAAATTGCATTTCGAATCATTCATTTCTTTGTTCATTATCTGAATACAAGTTTGTATCTCTTCTCTTTCATAATAAATTTCAGAAACTATTCTTGTCATAAATAATAATTTACAAGAATTTATGCCATAGAAAGAATATATTTCATAATCAATCTAACAAGTGATTTCGAAGTATCCTAAATTTTATTCATATTAATTTTATTATACAAAATTTGTGGTTCCGTTCCACACCCTATACCTAAATTATTGTAATTATAATTACCTTTAACTATAATTCATATCAAACGGTTCATCCTCTAAAGCGATATTAACCTATCCCAAATTCACTTTTTTCCCTTCAATATAAACAGGATGGAGAAAATTTATTTCAATAGAACCTATCTATCTCCAGAACTAGCATTTTATGGCACATCTTTTCTAGGAATAAATTTAAATTAAGCGATGCTTCCATATTCATAATCAAAGTTATTCTTTTATAGAATAAAAATTTAACGTCACTAATACGAATTAGCAGTTCTGCTTTATAGGTTGAATTCAATAGGATATCTACAAATTCAGATTCACTAAGGTCTTTTGCGACTATCTACAATATCATCATATAGACTATGTAAATCATTTCCTTAATGAAAATATTTTATAATTAATTTTATTACAAACAATAATTTCTTATAAAATTCAATTTAGCTTCTCCTTTTACTTAAATTCTATTTATATTTACACTTCTGTTTCTGTTTGTAAATTTAGAAAAATTATAAGAGAGAATCTTAGATTGAAAATTGGAACAATAACAATTTAAATCATTCTTCAGATATCCAACTATTTAAATTATTATTAAATTCGTTAACATCTATAACAACAACAACCAATATTGATGATAATATATAATTACTTCACAATTACAATAATATTGAATAAATGTGTAGTAATGTATGTATGAAATGCTCTTTCTTATTTAAGTTTTTTATCAATTAGTTAATAATTTTTTTATCTTCTCTCTAATTAATATATTATTATGATTTTTGAATGTCATTAATGATAATCAATATAAAAAAATATTATTTACTAATAAGAAAATATTCATTGATATTTATATGATACTAATTATGTATTCTTCTATATTGATTAATAGTTTATAATTTGTATTGAATTTAGATTTATATTATACATAATTATTATAATAAATATTAGAATAATAAAATAAATTCTCAATTTTAATGGTGGATAGATTTGATGAACATTTCTTTTTAATTGCAAAAGAGACTGGAGGAATTGAAGGATTATTAAATTCATTATTCAGTTTTCTATTGAGAAGAACAGATTATTATTATGAATGTATTGTATAATAAAATCATTTTTAGGTGATCCTGGAGATAAGATGGGATTTCCACCTGGAGTTGCATTGAATATGTTAGGAAATACATTTAAAAAATATTAAGATGAACATTATAAAGTACATAAAAAGAAATCTGCTTAAGAATATAAAGAGAAATTAGAAATATATTAAAAAAAGTAGAAGGAATTATTAGAGAAAAAAAAAGAATAAGAAGAGTTAAAAAAAGAGATTTAAATTTAATAATAATAATAAAAGTAGGTTCAATAAAATGAGAATTAAAGTTAATAGGATGTGTAGATAAAATAAGAGCAAAATTAATAAAAGAATGAAAATTTTACTTAAAAACAAAAAATAGATCCATATATAAATACTTATAATGGAGGAGAGACAGAAAAATATTCTTGGAGTTAATCTGGTAATGATGTAGTTGTAACAATGAAAGTTCCAGAGGGATCTAATAAAAAAAATGTATATATTATATAAGAATAATCATTTAGTTAAAGGTAATTATAACTGCAAATACATTAACAGTTAAAGTGAAGGATAATGTAGTTGTGGATGGAAAATTATATGATAAAGTAAAAAGTGATGAATCTATTTGGTCTATAGAAGAGAATCTATTGACTATCACATTAGAGAAAGGGTAAGAGAATATTTGGAAAACTGTTATTTTAGGAGATAAAGAGATAGATGCAACAAAAGTTGAGAATACAAAACCATTAGATGATTTTGATTCTGAAACTTAAGGGGCAATTAGAAAGATAATGTATGATTAACAAAGGAAATAATAAGGATTACCAACTTCAGAAGAGGAATAATAATTAGAAATAGTAAAGAAAGCTTGGAATGCTGAAGGTAGTCCATTTAAAGGTTAACCTTTTGATCCTAGTAAATTCAATCTTAGTAATGGTTAAATATAATTCTGAGATATAATGGATATTATATTATGTTGATATATAATTATATATAAATAACAATATGTCTGTAAACTAGATAATTGAATAAGTGCTTGCAAGCATGTTAGATTTTGAGAACACAGACTTCAAATTATCTAAGAAATCTCAGATACTGGAATTAATTGAAAGAGAGGAATTATTAGTGATGGAAAGACAATGGCCTCCAAAACGATTAAATATGGTTGAATTTATAAAATTAATGATTCCTATAGTTCATCATAAATAAAGTGAACTTTTATATTTAGTGATGGGATTGATTGAATTATATAAAGATGTTGTAGCAATAAGTTAATAGAATGAACTCAGCTTATAAGATGTTACAAGTTATGTATGTTAAGTAGATACAAGTGAAAATACTATGGTACCTTAACGTTTAATATCAGATCCAAAGAAATTTAACTTGAACAAAACAAGAATTAGAGAAATTGATGTGGTAAGTTATAAATTTGACAATTCTAGGAATCAGCCAAAATTATTGGTAGTAGTGATAATGAGATATTTCATATAGTACCAAATTCATTGTAAAATGATTCAATCAGACATCATAATGGTATTGTTCATACTGGTGTATATTGCAATAAACAAATTATAACACTAGATAGTTTAGATTCAAAGATAAATATATATCATGTAGATGGTTCATTAAAATAAATGGTTAAAATATCTTAACATGAAGATAAAGAAACAATTATATTGAGTTTTGCTTGGTCTGATAGATAATAAAGAGTAATAATTAATATTATATATTAAGATTGGATTAACTTTAAAATCACATTCTATTTGTATGTATGAAGGTGATTTTAAAAAATATCGAATATTTTCTACAGTTATGGCATCATAAGAATATTAAACTAATATCTGGTTTTTAGAGAATTAAAATTAATGGGTTACAACAGATAGTACTTTTAGATTATACTTTTGGGATTTATTAAATGAATCAGCAAATCTAATATTTTAAAATAAATGTATTTAGGGAAATATAATTGAATGTGTAGAAGTAGTTCATATGAAAATGATTGCAACTGCCTCATTAGATAAATAAGTAGCCTTATGGGATATCTAAAATGGAGAAATCAAAATTACATTATCACTCAAAGATTATGGTGGTATTCATAGTTTAGTTTATTCTTATTACTATTAAGTATTTATTACATGTGGATATTCTACTTATATAAATGTATATGATATTAATCCAAAATATCATGATGTAACTTAAATAGGTAAAATGACAGGACATACATCTATGTTAACATCTATCCTTATGGTTGGTAAATTACCTGTATTAATATCTGGTGATGATAGTGGATCATTAAGATTATGGGATATTAGAACATTTTCATGTCTTCAATCACTTAATTTTGGAAAGAAAACTTAAATCACTAAAATTCTAGATATGTCTGATATTAATATGTTATGTTTTCTTGGATCAAGAGTTAATATCCTAAAATTAGATATTAGACATAATGAAGAAATTGAGAATTATGCAGTTAAAGTAGAATTTGATTAATAAAGAGATGAATTAATTGTAGCAACTAAAAAATAAATTATATTCCTTGACATTTATACAGGTAAAATTAAAACTATATTGAATGGATTATTATCAGAATTTGAAGATGATATTACTTAATTTAGACCTCTTAATTATTTTAATAAATTTATATTGGCAGATTCTAAAGGTAATGCTAAGATTTATCATCATAATGGTGAATATATTTCTTCATTAAAAGGTCATTCAGATATTAATGTTTTAAAATTAGATATTTTAAATAAATTAATTATTACAGCATGTTAAGATTCCATATTAATTTAAAAAATGAATGGTGAAATCCTAAGAGAAATTACTCATTTTGAAGCTTCTCAATTAGAATTATCTGTTCATCATTCTCTCATTTTATTATCTTAAGGATCTAAATTATATTATATAGATTATGAATTTGTTAAATGTCTAGGAGTTTTAGAATTTGATGCTGAAATAACTAATATTATTATTATTGCTAACTATCCTTTATTAGCAGTTTCAACTATTTAAGGAAAAGTAATATTTATTAAGTTCAATATTAAAGAGCATATTTAAGTTGATTCAGAATTATATGATCTCTATGATGTTGGCTCAAATAACTATATTACTGAAGAAACTGAATAAGAATTTGTAACCAAGATGTTATTCAATTTAAAAGAATTAGAATTATTATTTGCAACATCAGAAAGCAATATTATTAGAATATCATTAAATTTAGATGATTTATCAACTACAGAGCCAATTCATGAGAGAATCAATTACAATCCACTTAGAAAAGCTAGAGAATAACTATCATAAAGTGAAACATAAAAATTTATAATTCCTGAGAATTTTACTAGCATTAAAAATTTACATATGTTTAAAGTTTCTAAAAAATAGATTATTTCTATAAGTTTCTTAGAATTAGATAATAGATATATTTTGATTTCTACTATAGATGGTTAAATTTCTATTTTTGATTTAATTGGAAATCTAATTGCTTTATATAATATTAATCATCCTTTACCTATAAAATGGAATATTTAATATTCTAAATAAGGAGAATTAAGAAAAAGAATTATTTATGGTTTTAAAGTGATTGATATATTAAGAAAGCAATCTAAATCTGAAAAAGAAGCTGAAAAATACAGTCTAGTTGAATCTTTAGCTGTCACTGGAAGAATTTAATTAAAATCACCAAGATAATACAAAGCAACTGTTATGAGAGATGAATTTAGTCCTAGAGATCTTAAATTCAATAAAATTAGACATCTTTATTAAGCTGAAGTTTAAGGTCCTACACTTAAATAACTTGAAGCTTAAAGAAGATTAGTAGAAGTTTAGAATATGTTTAAAGATGAAACAAAAGATCCAAAACTAGATCTTATTCTAAAATAAAAAGAGAGAGAAAGATAAAAAGCTATTGATAGAGCTAGCAATTTAAATTTCTTAGATCCAGAATTTAGAGATAAATCTTTATTAAATACTAAATTCTTTTAAAATAATTAATATCTTACTAATTTAAATTTAAGACTAGAAAATACAGAAAGATAAGATTATTCCTAACATACTAATAAAGAAATCAATAATAATAATAATAAATAAAATATATCACTTCCTATTACTAATCGACATCATAAATCTATCACTAAAAAAAAATCTGTATCTGATTTTTATCAATATGCTGTTGAAAAAAATCTATTTAATAATGATCAAAATACTATAGATACATTTGCATCATAAAGTAGTTTAAGGCCTATTTAAATAAGCACTAATAGATAAATGAAGTCTATTGGATCTTCCTTAATATCAAGTGACTTAACTTGGCATTCATAACATAGATAATAACAAAAAGATTTATCTACAGTGCTACATAATTTAAATTAAAAATTAAGACTTAGCAAGAATGCTTAAATTAATGAACCTATCTTAAAGGATATCTCTAGATCAGACATTACATTTGAAGAATAAATTGATGAATTTACAAAAAGACACAAAGTTAAATGAAATTTATATTTACATAAAATATATATATTAAATATTATTTATTATATATATATATATTAATTATAGTATGATATATTTAAATTTTATTTTATATGTCATTTCTGTGATAAATTCATGTGACTTTAAAAGAATTAATTTGATTGGGTTACTTAAAATAATTATTTTTGTATCTCATCACACCATTATTAAATCATACAGAAATTGTTGACCTCCTATTCTTCAGTAAATTTCTAGTGTTAATTATTTTTCTCTTTTTATCCTATATTTGAATTTTCCACACAATTTTCTATTTTTTATGATTCAAGAATTGTTGACAATGAAGGATATATTGGATTTAATACAATTTCGTATGTCTTTATAACTTTTCTCAATTTTCTGATTCTACTTTACTTTTTCCCAACTCTTCCTTCTTTTAAAAAAGTGTTGATAATTGATTTACAAGTACTTTATAGGATATTATACTCTTAAGCCACCTAAATCATTAATATTACATTACATCTAATATGGATTTTTTTTCATTTAGAATCTTATGGATAATTTATTCTCTTAACTCATTTTTGATTTTGCAATATTGTTTTTTAGAGTAATCCATTTTGATAAATATTTATATTTTTATTTGATTGAATTTGTTAAACTTTTTAATTATATAATAAGAATCTTTTTTATAATTAAAATTATGTTCAAAGTCACTTCTCAAGATTTAATTTTTCATTATTTCATTAATTTTTGTAAAATATCCATTATTATATAAAAGAAATGTAAAATCAAAATTTTAATAATTCTAATTCTATGAATATCTTAAATATAATTTATCAAATAATATAATCTCAATTTAATAGAATTATATTTTTATTTTGATTAGCTAATAACATTCTATTAATTTATTTTAAAAGGATAGATTATTTATTTAATTTAAAAATTTTGATTCTCTATATTATTTTTATCATTTTTATTTATAAAAACCTATCTCATATTAATATATTTCAATATTAATATATAATTATAATTATTATTCAAAATTATTAAATTATAATTATTACTAACAGTAAGATGGCCTATAGTATTTCAAAAGATGCACAATAATTACTATGTGAGATCATAAATTAAATAAGTTTAACTGAGAGGAAAGCAGAATAAATAAGAATATAATTATGTAGAAAAACTAGTTTTAATCCATACGCATGCTTTAAAAGGTAATACATGTAGCAAAACCTAGATTAGATTCAATGAATACTAATTAAATTAAACCAGAATAAGTAGAACAACTTTTAAAAGAGAATGATTTTTTCGTTTAAGAACTTATTACATTGTTTAATAAAACATTTATGAAGGAATTTTTTAATTATCAAGAGTATTATAAATGGTTTCTAATTTTTCAGTTTTCTAAATTTAATTTTACCAAAAATGGATAGTGAATTAAGAGAGATCACAGCTATGAAATAACCAACAAAAGCAGCTGTTGAAAAATAGATTGATTATACATTAGCTTAATTATTCAATTTGTAATAATAATATTAATTATAGAGAATTTAATGAAGCTATTAATTTAGAAAGATTGAAAATTAGATTAAATAATTAATATAATGCTGATTAAATGTTTTAAAGTTTAGATTCTCTAAATAATAATACTCTAAATTTTAAGGATTTTGATAGATTTTTTAGAAGAAATGGACTTCTAATATATGAAGAAGAACTAGTAATAAAAAAATAATTATTAATAGATAGCATTCTTTTATAGAATAGATCTTTAAAGAACAGGATAGATTACTTTAAATGATTTTCGTAGAATGTTAGAACCTTAACAAAAATCATAATAAAAAGATTAAAATTATTATACATAAACTCCAAAATAGTCAGTTTCATAACCTAAGATTAAGAATATCTGTATTGATGAATTTGGTAGTGGTAATAAAGCTGGATAAATAATTTAATCTAGAACATTTTCAACAAGCAACAAAAAAAAGTTTTAATCTAATAGAAGAGCTTCATCTATTACAGAAAGTCTATAAACAACTAAAATAACAGAGAATTTTTTAAATGATGAATAAAGATTTATTGATTTAGGATTGGAAGTTTTAAAATTGGAAATGTATTTAGAAGAAATAAAATTAAAATTATAATAATAAAAAGATTTCAATTCTATGGATTTCTTTCATTTTATGGATTTAAAAAATAAAGGTAAAGTGAATCAACATGAATTTATATATTTTTTAGAATAAATATAACTAAAAAATATAGATGCGATTGAGTTATTTAATTATTTAGATAAAGATTTAGATGGATTTATTAGATATTCTGATATTTCTGAATTTATATCACCTTCAAATATGAGCTCAACTTACATTTGTAAGAAACCAGCTAAAAATAGTCATCTCTCTTATTCAATCTCTTAATTATTCTCAAAATAAACTATTATATTAATTCAATTGTTATTTAATTAATGGAATGAAAATGAAAAAATCATTAGACTTAAAAAAAGATAATTCTTGAATGAATAAAATATGTATTAAATATTTAATAAACTTGATCAATATAAAAAAGGAAAATTCAATCGTTAAGATGTATATATATATATTTATTATTAATTTAGCTTCAACGTTTTTTTGATCTTTATAATGTTAAAGACGATATTAAATTACTGTTTAAACGATTGGGAAAACTAAATAAAGAGATTAATTATAAGGAATTTGAATTATTTTTTATTAATTGATACTCAAAAATACTCTTGATAAAATCTATCTATAGAATAATGAATTTATCTTATCGAAATATTCATTTTCAAACTGTTTCATTATGAAAATCATTAGGATTATAATTTTTATAATCTTCATTACTCCCCCTTTAGTTCTGCCAATGTTCTATTCATATATATTTAAACTTTATGATTAATGTATATATCAATATATTTGATTATTTCTTAAGGTAAATTTAATTTGAGATCAATCAATTGGGAACTCTGATGTAATTTTTATCAATTTTTATTAATTAATTAATTTTAAGCATAAACTTATATATTACAATTTAAAGTAATATAAGTTTGACTAATAAATATATAAATTTCTTCATTTTTCTATTTTTATTATCTAAAATTTTTAATCTCTTTTTATATTAATAATTCTTCCTTTATTCGATATTATACAATTTAGATCATCTTTATTTTGTATACTTGAGGATCTGTAGGTTATTTATAAGAATCTTTTAATAGATGAACCTTGAATATTCCAATTAAATTATTGGTTTATTCATCTATTACTTGTTCAGAATCTCATTAGACTGAGATTTCTTTTAAAGAGTTAAGCATAAATTTTAAAAGAATATTATTGTTTATTTATATTTATTATTAGAATATATATACCTATTTTAATTATCATGATCTTTATGATGAATTACATCTTGGTTTTAATTTTGGTAATGTACAAGTAGTTTTATTCTAAGTATTTAATCTTTTTATTGTCTAAAACTCTATTGTGTCAGTAGTAGTATTCAATACTGATTTAACATTTGTTAAATTTTAATGAATTTTTTGATTCTCTTAAAATATTTCTGTCCATTTCTCATTTTCTAATCTTCGAAATTAAGATTGTACAGAATAATGAATTTCTTGTTTTGGCTTTCTCAATTTAATTTTTTGTATTTAATTCGTTAAATGTTTCTAAGTTAACGCTCTCCTTATTTTATCATTTAAAGATAGTGTATATTCAAATATCATATTCGTTAAAATTAATATAATTATAATATATATATTTATTAATTTTGGAGAACAATATTATTTATTAAATTAAATATTATTCATATTGTTTAAACAAATATATAACATAATAGAATACATAAAAATATTAGTTTTATTAACATTATCATAGCAGCCAAAGTAGTCCTGACATTTCGTAAGTGTAAAATTAATCAACAGAATTTTCTTATTGCCAAATCTCTATTAGATTTTCAACCTTTTTTTAATCAAAGGGGAATATTATAATCCCAAGCATTAAAAAATCAAAAAGTAATTAAGATAGATATATAAAAATAAATTACCCTTAGAAAATTACAAGTTTAATTCCCCAACCAAATATGAACAAATCATTTACAAAAGCGAAAAAACCTATTAAACCATAAATTAATTCTATTTTCTTTTGGTTTTCTTCCGTAATAAATAATGATGATAACATAGCGTATTATGCTATCCTAAATAACAGATAAAGTGAGTCACTATTGTATTCTAATTTAAATACTAATATAGAAAAACCTAACTCAAACATAAAAAAACTTAGTATTAAGTTCTCAAAAGGTTATTCAGCGAATTGAAATTTAAATAATGTAGATCTTATTCTAATAAATTCAATAACAAGGAAATAATATATAATAATTCCTATTATTATTTGAAAGAATATAATCCAAAATATTTACCAAAATATTTAACTTTACAATTTTAGAATAATAAATCCATATAAATCCATTAAAAAATAATAAGCAAATTGATAATTAAAATGATAAGCAAAACCCTAATTAAATGCATAAACAATTAAATGAAATGAATATTACTTAACTCTCAAAAATAAATAAATTAACTCATACAATGGCATATTATAATCATGTTAATAAAAATACTTAATACAAATTTATATAGTATATGCTAATTAAGTTATTAAGTAAAGGATTGTAATATTTATAATGTATTACCCACAATCGCTTGATAAAAATCTCTCTAATCTAAATTAAATATAACTGCATGCTTATAAATAATATTTAGAAATTGTATATAGTAGAAGATTTAATAGAACTAAACAATAATGAAAACATCCTAGTGCAATTTAACTAATAATAACCCAAAAAAAGATGCTTTCATATTTTAATTCAAGTAGACTGAATATATTTATTAAAGTATCCATAATATAATGATAAATTAATGCATGATCTTTATTACCATTTTCATAAATTAATAATGTAGAAATGTATTGAATCATTCTTATTATCTGTTACCAAAATATAAAATTAGAAAACTCATAAACTCGAAATAAATTGAAGCTAATTGATGTCACACAAATGGATAAAATTAAATAATACCAAAGTATATCATCTAGTCTTTGAGATTGCTTACAAGTCAAAATATTTATGAGATATGAGAATATAGTGTAGAATAAACAGTAAATCAATATGCAACCTAAAACTATCACACCAATTAGTAATTATGATAAAATAATCCATAAAATCCCAACTTTAATTTATCTAAGATATAATCCATATTAATCCATTAAAAAATAATAACATAAGTGGTACTTTAAATAGTCCTCTTAATCTTAATTTCTTCTATAAAATATAATGAACATAAAAATAATAAAGAAATTATCTTCTAATTTTAGATTATAATTAATCTTAAGTTAAATTTTTTTTTAAATTTGCATAATAGAAAATAATTTCTTACTTATTTTATGCTGATTATACAACATGAATAAAATATTATATTGCCTTTAACACAAGATATATAATATCTTACTTCTCATAATTTGATTACCAATACAAAGTCAAACAAAAAAGAATAAAGTTGAATTAAACAGTTAAAAAGAATTTGACCAATTTAATTAATATGTCTTACCATTCTAGCATTATCTAAATTTTATTTGTTTTTTTAATTTATATTTATGTAAAAATAAAATATTGTTTCAAATAATTCTAAAATATTCTATTGCATTGTTTTTGGAAACAAGAAATTTTATAAAAGAAATTTAAGTAAATAGAATTAAGAATCAATTATTAATATAATTTCTAATAATTTTTCTAATGACAAAATAAAAATTCATAAGGAAATCTATCTTGATATAATATTCTAAATGGGAATTGATTTGAATTTGAATATAATTTTTAATTAAATTCAGTTCTTAACTTAAATCAATAAACTTAGAATAGATTTTATGTTGTAAAATAATTTACATATTCATTTTTATTCATAATTATATATACCTTATATAATAATTTGATTATAAATTATATTATTATATTTATAATAATGAAAATAATAATTGATGCCATAAATTATGAATCAGATTAGAATAATTATTAAGTAAAGTTAAAATGTGGACCAACAGTGTTATAAACAATTTTAGGAAATAATTGGAATCACAGGTTTGTTTTAGAACATAAAAAAACATCAGAAATTAGAATTGAAGTTTGGTAGAAACCTAATGATGAATACTAATTAATTGGAGATTCAATAGTTTAGAGAATAGAAGGTGCATAAAGATTGACAATAAAATAGAATAACAAGGATTAGGGTTTTATCAATGTATTTTATAAAGAAATGAAGGACTCAGTTACATAATAAATTCTTAGTTAAGACTCATTGAATGTAAGTATTAAATGAAATTTAGTTATCAAAAATAGAAAAATAAGCATAAGCTGTATAGAGATTGAATGATTCATTATCAATGATTCCTAGTCCACGATAAGATTTTGGATCTGTAGGTGAATATTTCACTTAATAATTTTAAAATGAAGATATTGTAGGAAATTCAAAGTAAGTGGCCTCTAAAATTGTATAAGAATCATTTGATAAAATAGTATAAAATATTTAAATTGCAAAAGAGACACATCTTTAAGAGGATGATGAATATGTAGAAAATGAAATAGAAAAAAAAAATATAGAGAAAGTGTAAAAGTAATTAATGAAAATTGATTGTAATAAATTAGAAAAGAAAAGAAAATAAATAAGTTCTGAGATTTTATAATTAGATGAGATAGCTTAATAATTAAGAATAGATTAGATAGATTAAAAATAATAAATATAAAATTTAAGATAAGATTTGTTATAGAAATTGCTTTATCTTGAAGAATAGATAGAACATTTAAAGAAGAAAATAAGAAAATAGAAACATCATGTTTTTGGAACAAATCCTAATTTAGTAAATAGTGAAATAGAAATTAGTTAAATTAATTTATAAAAACAATTTATTGAAAAATGGTAATAAGATCCTAGTTTAGAAAAATAAAGATAAGAATTTATATCAAAATAAATATAGGAATGGAATGATATTTAAATTAAAAGAAAAAAAAGAATTGATGAATAATTTAAAAAGATTGAATAAGAAGAAAAAATAATATAATAAAAATAAAATGAACTTTAATAGACAACAAATGCTAAAAAAAGAGAGGATATAGAAAAGAATTTAAAATAATTAGAGGAACAATAAGCAAAACGAAAGGTTGAATTAGAAGAAGCTAATAAGAGATTTGAAAAAAAGAAAAAAGAAAAATATCTTGCCTTAAAGTATGCAGAATAAGATGCAACATATATGATTTAATTATAATAAGAGAGAAAAAAAATATTGGCTTAAAATAAAAATCCAGATTTTGATGCAAAAGAAATTAAAGAATTTGAAGATAAATTTAATTAAATTCATATTGAAAAATAGAAAAAACGTAGAGTATAATGGGAAGAAAGAGAAGCTTAATGGAATAAATTTAAAGCTTAATATTATTCATCTTCATATCAAAAAGCTAAAGAATAATATAAAAGAATTGAAAATGTAATTGAATAAGAAAAATAGGAAAGATTAAACAAATTATCATAATATATATAAGAAGTAAAATAAAATCATAAACCTACTATATCTGAAGAACTTTAAGAGAAATTAAATTTAATAAAAAATACTATAAAACATTAAAATGACTTTAAAAAATATTAGTCACTCTCTAAATTAGTTCAATCTAAACATTAATATTATGGTGTTAGTAAAGAGAAATTATAAAAAAATACAAAAAAACATAAACTTGTACCTTTGACGAAATTACCAATTAAAATATCTCCAAGAGAAGTTGGAGATTTTTATTTAAAATAAAATGCCACTTACAATATAAAAAATATTCCACCAATAAAATAAGTTTAGAAAAATGATAATGAACTTAAAGAATCAGCAACATCTTTGCCAAATCCTAAAGTATTTGATTATTTAAAGCACTAAAGGATAAAGAAAGCTTTAAAAGAAAAAGTAATAATAATATATATACTATTTATAGAATACAACAAATGAAAAAAATATCCTATAAAAAGAAGATTAATAAATGCTTGATAACATTAATAAAAAGCTTGAAGCTTTAAAATGAAATTTCATTAATTTTTATTCAATTTATATCAATTTTTGTTGATTAATTGATTATTCTTAAAATTAATAAATTTAGATAAAATAATTTATTTTATAACTTCAATTTCATAAATATTCAATATTACAAATATTTATCATAATCTAGAAAGATTAGGATTATAAAGTATAATTAATTAAAAATCTATTACTCATTCCATAATTAATATAATTACACAATACTTGAGATCCTCTTCTTATTGTATTCTATAAATAACAACAATTAACATCAATAGTTTCAAATTTTCATATAAAATAATAATAAAATAATTATTGATATTTATAATTAAATTAATGTTTTTACAAAAATAATTTCATATACCCATAGTTCCTCAGAATTAAGAAAATGAATATTCAAAATAGTCTTTTGAAGAAATTTTTTTGAAAATTTAGAATGTTTCATTGGCAACTAGGTTGGACTATTTAAAAAAACAATTAAAGAACAAAAATAAAGAATCACAGAATTAGAAGAAAGAGCAATAAAACATAAAAAATTTTTAGGTTTCTTGAAATAACACGGAGAGGGTTTCTATAAAGAAGTTTGAGAATAGAAAGTATTTTAAAGAAAAAGGGGCTTCAAGAAAAAAAATATCTTAATGCTTTTTAATATATGGATGATGTAAGTTTAATGAAATATATTAGATATTTAATAGTCAATATTTAATGTGTAATAATATAGAAGGACAATTAAAAAATTAAGCAAGTCATAAATTTGAGTAAATAGATTACAACTAAAATTGAGAGAGATTGTTATTCATAAAAAATATAAATCTAAATTAATTAATGATGAATCTTTAATTGATATAGATAAATTAAAGATAAAAAAAATTGAATTAGAACTCAATATCGAATCCTAATAAAATCGATTAAATAATCCTGTTTAATTAGAATAAATTAAAGGTTATTTAATATTAAAGAAAGATGATTTCATATTTGAATAAGTGAAAGTCAACACTCTTACTTTTTATAGTGTATGCATATGCTTTGTAAATCATGTAGGGAAATTGAATGATTAAAAGAATTATGTCTTATTTGTAAGGTCAGTATAAATTTAGTGGATATTTGGGCAACTAAGGTCTAGGAATGAATATTAGAGTATTAATTATTAAATTTTTATAAAAATATTTATCTCATATGGTATAATATTACTTAATTATGTTTATCAAATATTAATTGCTTGAATTATCCTTATTTTTTATGGATAAACTCTTGATACTTAATTCATCTTTTATATGTTATTTAGGAATAATTTATTATAAGCACAAATAGCCTTAAAAGGAATTTCTTTTTGTCAATTACTGGCAGTCTTGTTTTTAAATAATTCAAAAAAGATGTTCGCAAAATCATATTAAAATATTTAAAATAATTATGAATTAAACTTCATCTAGAGAATATGGAAACCTTCAAAGTTCAAATTCTTCAAGAATCTAATCTAACCCTTCTATAAAAGCAAATTAAAAATTACATTAATAAATGCCATTAAATGAATTCATCATGCAATATCCTTGTTAACCAAAAGACTCAATTACATATGATTTAAATGGATTTGATATAGACATAAAAGAACATTAAATATTTGATTCATATTCAAATAGAAGTAAATAATAAAATTCTTAATCAATGATTATTTTGGCAGTATGATATTTAATTTGATATAGGAAAGGAGAAAAATTACTTCTCCATCTGTTTAAAAAAGAAAAAAAAAAATGAAAATGGAATAAATTATCCAAAAATTTATTGAAAAAATAAAGATTAGTAATAATGTATTCACAAAGTAACCTTATGTTAATACACTCTTATAAACGTATTCAATTCCATTTGTTTAAGAAAATACTAATAATAAAAGTATTATAGATAAAATAAAGTAATCTGTAAGACTTCCTATCCCAAGACAATGTAAGTTTAGATAATTTTGGAAATTATTAATGTAAATAACTTACTTAACTACTATTATTTTTTCTCCACTGATTTTAATTTATCCCAGTAACATTTAAATTTATGCTTTATTATTTGTTTAATTAACATTATTAGTATTTAATTCAATATTAAATTTGAATACATGCTTTTACAAAAATGGAGTAGAGATAACACATTTAGCTACAATTCAATTAAATTATATTAGAAGATATGGATTATAGGATATTATGTAATATCTATCATTTATTATTATTTTATAATTTTGTGAATCTAATTCATAGATTTCAATTATTGCTTTGATTACTTTGAATCTTTTAATTGTTAGATTAATCAAATTAAATTCATTGATAACATAACAACATTGTATTATGTTGTTTTGGCAATTTATTAAAGGATTATCATATTGTCATATTTTTTCATTAATTTCGATTTCATACAAAGATGAAATTGGTTTTGAACCAATAAGTTTATAATTAAAAACTTATTTAAGCTATCTTAATGAATATATTAATTAGTATTTGACTTTATCAAGTTCTTTAGTAAACAATACAAATTTTGAATTGTTATTAGCTTTTTTAGTTCAGCTAATTTTTACAATAAATAGAGTAAAATTAATTTTAGACATCTTATTTTTTTTTCATTAAAATGTTCATAAATATTTATTGAAAAAAAACTATTTTGATTTAAAAGCTTATTTACACAATCATTAAGTTGATTAAAATTTAATGAAAAAAGCACTTAGTAATTATAAATTTGAAATGAAAAAAGATTTTTAATAATAAAATTTCATGATTGATTCTTAATCTATTAAATATATAGATTATGAAATTTAAAAAGCTATTTAAAATACTGTAAATGCAAAATATTTTAAGAAAATTGTAGTATTATCATAATTTTCATAAAATATTTAAGAAAAATTAGTTGAAAATATGTCATTACATTATTTTCAACCTAATGAAATAATATTAAGATAAAATAATAGAGATGATGATTCTATTTATCTTATTAAAAAAGGATAAGTAAAGGTATGTTATTAGAGTGGAAATAAAAAATAATTTGGAATTAAATCATTAGGAGAAATGTAAACATTTGGTGAAGTATCTTTTTTTACTGGATTACCTAGAACAAGTACAATTGTCAGTCTAGGTCCTGTTGAAACATATAAAATTCGTAGAATTGATTTTTTAGAAGCGATTAAAAATAATCGTCAAGATTTGGTAAATTTAATAATTAAAATAGGAAATAGCAACTTATATGAAAGATTAAATTCTATAGAATAATTAATATGGTTTGATTGGTTTAAAATGTTTTTGTTGTCAATCAAATGAACATTTAATATTTTAATGTGATAAACTTCATTATAAACCTGATAAAGAAAAGATTATTAGTAAATACTAATATGATCATCATTAATTAAGAAGAAAATGTATTAATTAAATTAATCTATGAATAGATAAAAGAAATCTGAAAAGAACAAATAATAGTAGAGTACATCTATTCCAAATAGGAATGGCTGGTGAAGAATTTTAAGAAAATAATTTTTTTATAGAAGATGAATCAGAAATACTTAAAGAGTTAACATAAAATTATAATTATTAATCTTCTACTAATATTTAACAAAATCAATCTTAAGCAATTGGATTCTTTCCAAGTAGGGAGAGAATAAAGTCAGTTGATAAAAATAGCATATTATTGATAAGTGAAATAGATGATGTTAGAGAGTAATTTTAAGAATTAGATCCAATGATTCATAAAAAAGACAAAGCTCTTTTCCCTTCAAATAGTAATTTTCCAATAAAAGAAGTAATCTAAGAACTTGATGGGGAAGATTAGAGTTCAAATTCTGAAGATACTATACCTAATGATATTTGTTTAACTAATTTGCAACCTAATTCAGAGAAACAAAAGTAAAATACTAATTTATTAACTATTCCTGATAAAGATAAACTTTAAGAAATGTTAATAATTAATTCTAATTGCCAACTTTAGTAAATGAATAATAGTTGCTAAATTCTAAATTCTCAGGAAATGAAAAATTCAAGATAAAGTAGAAAATCATTAAGTTCAACTTTGTTACATAATCAATAAAACGAAGTCATTAAAAAACATGAAAATTTGAAATCGTCTAGTAGTAAATAGAATTATTATGACGATCTCGATTTAAATCCTTCGGATCGATCTTCACCGGGGATGAAAAAGATAACTAAAAGTCCTATATAAAATAAAGCTAAGATTGAAGAAAGTCCATAAATCTTCGTAGATCTAAATAACTCTGTAATTTAGAAACTATAATTTAGAGTCATTTTTTCTGTTTAGAAGATAAAGAAGAATTAGACAAAGCATAAAATTACATATTTTATTATCCATATTATAATCCTGAATTCATAATAAATTCGTAAGTTATATAATTAATAATAGATATAATCATTTTAAAATTCATCGAATCTAAAAATTCATTAAAAAAAGTCCATATACTATTAGCTATGTTATTAGTGAAAAAATTAAATAAAAAGTCCTTATAAAATGATATCAATTCAAATATATTCTATATTATAAAATATTTATAATTTGATTATAAAATCAAAAATAAATTACTTAAGATATTGATTAATATAAAATTAAACTACAATATCATTAAAGTTGCTAAAGATTTTAAATATCACAATTTTTATAATATCACTCCCTAACTTTAGAAGAAGATTAATTTACAGTTCTAAAATTTTTGAAAGGTGAATGATCAAATCTAGAAGATTTTGAATTTTAATATTAACTTTTTGATCTTTCATTTATTCGTTAAGAATTCACATTATCTAAGAATGCATCAACTCGTAACTTTATCTTATGTAAATTAGAATCAAAGTAAAATCTTTACATATTTTATTAAATTTTCTTATGTTTCATAAATGATTCCTAAAATCTTTCCTATTTCAAATCTGATTAACTTTACATTTAAACAAGAAATCATACATTCCTATCAATTTATTATGTAATCTTTTATTCTCACTTTCTATTCTTAACTTTTTTTCTTTTAATGCTCTTCGTCCTCTTGGAGTTCCACATTAACTTGGAGGCTAAATAACAATTTAATATTATTTATTACTGTTGGAGATCTATTACTTATTTTAACTAATCTAGTTAAGATTTATGTATTTTATTCTTAAATTGTTTACCATTTCATAAGCTCTCTTTTTCTATTATTTAAAAATTAAGTTTTCTTGACTTATTCATATATTCTTGAATCTCTAGGAGGAGTCAACTTTCTTTATTGTACCATTCTTTTTTGATGTGCTTCATATTCTCTGAATTAATTATAATTATTACTATCTACTTAGCCAGATCTAATTAAGTTCTAGATAACCCTTTTAAAAACTTTTCATTTATTAATGATAATAATTTTAAATTAAATTAAATCACATAGAGGGTTATTAAATCACTATACCTTTCTTTTAAAGAACAGATAACTATTCCTTTAATACATTTGTTAACATCATTGTTTCTAAAAGAACCTTTTTTAATTCTGATTATCTCTCCTTTTTATTAATTACTTTTGATTAATGTTAATTTTAAGAATCTTATTGAATCTCATCTTTTTGAGTTCCAAAATGTTATAAACTTTTTTAACTTTTTTTATTTTCTGAAAGAACTTCCCATATTTTTAAATTTCTTCTTTCATTATATTTATTTTTTATCATATTATATTCTCTTTGAAATTCTTCTAGAGTCATATCTTTATTAAATCGATCCAGTTCATACATATGAACTTTCAAATTGCCTTATGCTGATTTATATGCTCGATAAGTAATCTTACTCTCCAATAATTGTGATAATTCATTAGCCTCTCCCATTTTTATAAGCATTTCATATTCATATTCATTTTTCCCTTTAGATATAGTTAATTATAGTAATCTATCCATTTCTTTTTCTCTTTCTTTAGCTTTTTATAGATAATATTTAGATAGATTTTAAACTGGTCTTTCTTCACCACTTATATATTAAATAATTAGATTACATTTTGAATTCAGTAAATCCTGATTGTTTACTTTTATAAGAGATACCACTTATTGGTCTGAAATCTTTAGGAGCAGTTCTTGTTGCAGAAGCAGATTAAGGTTTACTTTTCTTTTAAGCTGAGAACTTTCTTTTACTAGCTTATGCCATATGCAATGCTTTTTCTTTAATAAATTCAAGCATAGTGTCTTAATTAAATGAAATCTTTTTTACTTTCATTGTAATTCCAAGCTTATACTTTTTTACAGATATTCTCAATAGTAATTTTACCAAATTCATTTTCCAAATCACTCAATACTTGATTAATCTCTTCTTATGTAAAAGTGAAACCTAATAAAATTAGGAAATATGAAAACCTGCCTAACCAAGAAATGAAACAAACTCTTCTGGAGAGGCATTGACAGAATCTGACTTCCAAAATTATTCAATTTTAATATTGTTAAATGTAACTAACTAGTTGAATTTTTGTAATGCAACAGAAATAGGAATTGTATTATCATTTCCACTTTACTTTTTCTATGTAAATTTAGAACTTTCAGGTCTTCCATGTTTGGATTCAGGTCTTTTATCTTACTTTTTTGGTAACATTTACTATTATGTATTATATGAATAATTACTTCATATTATTTCTTCCATGTTTCTTCAAATTTATCATCTTCACTTCCATCATCTTCTACAAAATTCTATTGATATTAAATATTTGAAATACATCTTAATCTTCATCCATTTTGAATATAAATTATAATTAATATATATATATATGTCTTAATATTGATTTTGTGTATAACTGATGAATTAAACTTATAGTATATCATTTTTAATTAGAAAGTACTTAAATTAATAAAAAAGTGAAAAATATGATGTTATATAACAAATTAATATAATGAATAATCTTCGATATGGCTAAATTGTAAGAATTTAGGGGGATTATGGAATGATAGTCACAAAAGGGTATAGTATTATGGTGATAATGTTAGATACACTTAAACAAATGTATATTATATGACTTTTACAAATTTGGCCAAGATAAGCAATTTTCGGGAGTCATTATTTTAAGTGCTTCCTAAAGGGAGCTTTGAAATTCATGATGAATTCATGAAATCTCATAAGAAGTAAACATATATATAATATTTAATTAGAGCAAATCAGGATCTACTTGATTAACGACTTAAGACAGAATTGAACTAATATTTTTCTTTTGTGGAAACCAAAATGGATGAGGAAGTTTTGTTTGGTTAAGAGATAGTATTGAAACATTATGATTCTGAATACTTTTTGGTTGGATCTTACAAATGTTCAGAATAGTCAATGGAAGCATTTTAGGTAAGTCTGAGTAGTAAGCCTTCAAGTTAAGCATTATTTAGAATAGAAGCATATTAAACATATCAAAAGGATGGTTAATAAATATATTTTGATGAACCTTTCTTATTAGTGAATACCAAACAATAATTTTGTTTAGATTTTATTGAAAAACCAATACAATGGTTAGATGATGAAAGTTGTTTAGCATATATCAAACGATTAAATGATGTACAAAGACATTAAGTGATTATTACTCATAATAGTAAGACAAGTTGGAAAATGAAGTTATTTATGAGAAATGATTAACGTATAGAAAAGAAATCAATAAGGAATTATGAATTAATTTATTTATAATATACAGAAGATGGAACTTATTTAAATGGAGAATAATAGATTGTTTCATTACAATAAGCAGGATTACACATTCCATTAACAGCAATTTGGGAATTACAAGTCTTATAACCATCTAGTGATTATAAACGTAATCAACCATAGGTAATTAAAGAAAATTAAAGGGGATCAGTTTTCTAAAATAATTTTGATTTTTTGAAAGATTTTTCAAGAGTTGCACCACGATAGAAAAGTGTTGTTGAGTATTAATAATAAGCTTAATCTTAAGTTAATAAGAAAACTCCATAGTAAGAATTTATTCTTAGGAATTACATTTCAGGTAAAGTACTTACTTCTAGAGGTTAATTACCTTAATTGCATGAATATATATAAGAATCTAATTAAGTTGTAGAAATTTTAACTGCTAAATAAGGTTAATAGGAGATTGTAGAGAATTCCTATATATAATTATCTGTAGATAAGGAATTATTATAAAATGTTGAGATTGAAGACTAATGGAATGATAGTATCATAGAGAATGATGAAGTAGAGTCTACTGTAATAAAGAAATAATTAACATTTGAAGAGAAAGAACATTAACATGCTTTTTAAATTAAAAAAGTTAAAGGGAATATAAAAAACAATTTAATGTTTGTATTATCAGCTTAAGAAGTACTTTTTTAATTTGTTTTGATTTTGAATAAACAAGTTGATATTATTTGGAAATTACTACATATTTAATAATTATCATAAGTAGTTGAAGTTATTTAACAATTGATTCAATTCTTATAATTTGAAGTTGCCAATCGTTAATAATGTATTAAGGAAACTTATATAATTGATTTGGCTATGAAAATCTTAGTTCCAATATATGAGAAGAAGTTGTATGCTACTGATGTAAAGAATTTATAGAAAAAGTTGAAAAAGATATTCAAATTAACTTATTCATTGATCAAAGAATTAACTCAAAATAATAAATAACTTAAGTAAGATATGGGAAAATATTTGAAAGACTTTTTAGAATAAGCTATGGATGATGAAGCAAGAGCTTAAGATAGTTTAAAAGAATTATTAGAAGATAATTATGAATCTATTTAAAAGTTTGTTACTGATGATCATATTCAAAAAGTATTTGAAAAAATGAAATAAAATCCTAATGAAAAATATTTATCAATTCTTAGTAGTATTTGTGTTTGTAAAGGAAGAGCTATATTAAAAAATTAAATATTAATATTAAAATTAGTATTTCAAAGCAATGAATTATTAAATTTTAAATTTAGATTGAATACTAAAAATAAAGTTGAAATACTTTGTAGAATAAATAAATTAAAACCTATGTGGCGAAGAATTCGTTAAATATATTAAGAAAGTCAAGAATAAGATGGATTATAAACATGGAATTATCTTTAAGGATATTTCAATCTTTTAGGAGATGTCTGTTATAATAGAAATAAATTGGCATAAGATTTTGTAAAAGAAAATATTTCAATATCTATTTTATTAGCATTAGTAGAAGATAGTCATTCTCAATCTATAAATACATTTGAATCATATTTAAAAGTTATACATTTAGCATTTGTAGACACACCTGGATATTAAACTTTAGTGATTAGTAAAGTAATAGATTGGGAAGAGAATGAATAGATTTCAATAGAGAAAAGAATGTCAATGAGAAAAATAAATAGTTTTGGTGGTTTTAGTAATTAAATAGCATTATAAAATGTTAGTGATCTTAATAATATTATAAAATATGTCTAATAATTTATTGCCAAATTTACACATTTTACTTATGATTAAAAGTATAATTAGACTCTTTAAAGAATTTTAATGATAATCAAAACATTATTAACAATGAATTTAGAAATAGATACAATGTAATTATTATAAGATTTGTTGAGAATATGTTCATGCTAAAAAGATTTCTAAAATTTAGAATAATAAAAGGGAGAAGAGAATATTAAAAAGGCAAAACATAGAATGACTAAAGTATCATCAGAAAATAAACCAATAATGGAATGCAAGATGTTAGCTTCTAATATTATCTTAAATATTCTTGATTTAGAAAATGATATTAGAATTAATTAGATGGTAGCCTATTTTCGTAGTAAAAGAGGAAGTGATTCTACAAATGAATCAGTAAATAATTCACCACCTAAAAAAGGATTAATAAGTGGTATGGTAGACTTTGTTTAAAGATTTTCACATAAACCACCTGAGGAATAATAATAATTATTAGATAATAACAGTTCTGTTTTCAAAGATTTTGCTAAAAGTTTAAGTGGTTCTAAAGATAAAACTGAACAAGAATCTTATAATATTCCTTAATGGATTCAAGTAATTAAAGATTTATTGGATAATAGAAATTTATTCAAAAACTTTAATAATAATGTAATGTTAGTATTTGTGGAAATTTCTTTAATGTAGGAACCAAAGATGGTTGAAACAGCCTTATAATTATTTAATAGGATGCTTGGTTAAAGAAGAGAATTAATAAAGCATTTCTCATAAATTGTATTATTATCTAAAAATTGTTAAAGGAATGTCAAAGAATTGATTAGTAAATGTATTCAAATAAGACAAAGATTAGAATAATTAAGTGATAAAAATGTTTATACAATTACAAAGGAGAATTAAAGTACTTCAAATATTTAAGTGGATGAGATTATTGAAGATTTAAATAAATTATGTATTTCATTGAAATTACAAAGATTTACAAGTTAAGTTGTATAAATTTCATTGGCTTTTAATGAATGTGAAGAAAATGACAAAACAAATTAAACATTATTTAAAGCATTAGATATGCATTAAACATTAGTTACTTATATATCTGGAGCAGATGAAATAAATCCATATTTATAAGGATTATTGAATTCATGTTATAAATTCTTGACTCTTTTTATTTGGAATCATGCAACAAATAAAATTGAAATAAAATGGCCATTAAAATAAATCTATTAGCATTTATAATACAATTCTTGTTGCATAGATTTTGTAAGGGAATTATATCATAATAATAAAGAATTATTGTACAATGAAAATGAAGTATCTGTGGCTATTAGATCTATCATTCAATAAATGAATAAAGAAAAGCCAGATAGTATGTATCGAGTAAAACTATTTGATTCATTAAGAGTTTTCTTGTATGATCATAATAAGACAATAAAATTTAATTAATTATAAATCTTAGCTTTACTATAACAAAAATAGAATAGGAATTTAATCTATGTTCTCAATGACTTATAAACTGAATTTTCAATGGATTCAATAAGTAAACCAGAAACTCCATTATAAAAATCAAAAGTTTGGGATAGTGAAAGTTTTCATGAATTAATTGATGATTATAGTGCTAATTATGAAAAGATGGAGGAAACTAAATTAATGCATATACAACCTCAATTATAATACATGATTATACATTTTGAAATTTTCAGTTTATTAGTTGAAGATCAGTAAAAATATATTTAATATTTAGTAATGTCATAAATCAAGAAAAATGTCGTGTTATGCATCCTTACCATTCCTTATTATTTTTAATGAAAAATTCCTATAAAAGTAATTGTTGGCCATTATAGCACTTCTTAAGAAGTTACATGAATCGTCTTTATTATAATAGTCAAATGGAATTAATAAGTTAATTATGTATTTAAGAAGATTTAGAAGTAAGATTTAAATTAATTAATTTTTAGATTATTAGACATCAATTAGATCAAATTCTATTATTAAAAGGATGTAATTATATAAAACAAGTTTAAATTGTTGATGGTGTTAGATTTTAATTCATGTTTTCATATATATTTGCTTGTATGTAAGAAATATTGTATTCGATTAATCTTTTGTTTTTAAATGATAATTTCTTATCTGAATTAGAAGCATAATTAAGCAAAGATATTGATAATCTTATAATCCATTAATTATTATTCAAGATTGCAGGCCATTTAGTTTAAATATAAAAAATGTGGTTTAAATCTAGTCATATAACTCATTTATGTCAAGTACTTATAAACATTATGAAAATAGTGTTTAGAATATTTGATATAAATGTGTTGTTAAAATTAGAAAAAATATTTAATGGAAATGTGAGTGAACCACTAACTCCTATAAAATAAGATGATAATAAAGAGAAGGATAAAGAGAATCTTTAAACTGATTAAAATGAATAGAATGAATAAGATGGCATAATAAATAGATTATTAATTGTAACAGAAACAAAATTATCTTAAGATGAAAAGATATAATCAAATCTTTAATAAACATTAAAGAGAATATTCCATTTGAAATCTAAAAAAAGATTATCAATTATAGAAGAACCTGATAATAATGCAGAATTAAATATAAGGTTAATGAAGTTAATTAAATTATTCAGTGAGAATGAAGAATTTTAAGGATTTATTGAATAAGAATTTAATTCATTATGTAGTGAATTCACAAATATTGATGAATTTTCTTTGACAGCCTATTAAACATAATATCCAGCAATTACTTTGGAAGAATTCTTAAAGAATTTAATATAGATGAATATTACACATTAATTAAATGATGATTTAAGAAGCTACTTTTTAAAAATATTAACAAGAATGATAAGTGAAAAGAATCCAAATATTAATAGTTAAGATGAATAAGCAAAATTAGCAATAGATGAATGGGAACCTGAATTTTGGAGTGATTCTAGATAATAGATATAAGAAATATAATGTTTTTTAGCTGGATGTGGAGCAGCTTAATTAATTTATGAAATGTTTAAGGAAAATTTTGATGATAGATGGGAATTATTTAATTAATTATTAATATTTTCAAATGCATTTTTATTAGGAGGCAATACTAAATGTTAAGATTCTTTACTTTAATTATTAAAATAAGATTCATCAAATTAAATGATGAGTAATTTACAATAATCTATTCTTAAATTTAGTAAATTTGTTAATACTAATTTTAAAATATAAAAAACTAAATTTTAAAAAGATAAATAAAATCCATTTCTATCAATTGTTTATGTGGATAATTTAACATAATTTAGTGAAAAGACTGAAACTTTAAAAAGAACTTTACCATCTGCTATTGAAAGTTAAAATACAATAAAGAATAGATAATTATCTATTAAAGTTATGTGGAGAGCATTTAGAATGTTGTAATTGATGTGTGAAAATAATAATGTTCAAATGAAAAATTATTTAAGAGAATAAACAGATAAAGAAGATTCAGTCCATATTAATAGTATTAATTTTATAGAGTTTGCTACTAAGGAATTAAGAATATTATTGAAGATACTTAATAAGAATGTAGTATCAATAACTTAATAAATAGTTGATTTTATAAATGAAGTTATACAATTGCCATGCTTTTTAAATTAAGTTACATTATGTAAATCAACATATATGGAAGATGTATGTTTTACATTTGAAACATTTTAAAAAGAAGAAAGTTAATTAATTTAAAGGGAACTTCATACTCCAGATGAATAAGATGAGTTATTTGAATTATAAGCAAAGATTATATAATCAATTATGTTGGTTTTAGAAGGAAATAATTAAAAAAATTATGAGGAATTATAATAGAAATTAGATTCTAGATTTTTGGTTAATTTCATAAAATTAATAGTATAGAAAGTAGGTATAGAGAAGATTTTTGATTTTAAAAAAGAAGCTAGATTCTCTGATGAGATATAATAAATGTTAAATGTATTCATAATCAAAGAGAAAATAGAATATGTTAGTAAGGATTAAAAGTGGGTGAAACATTTTAAGTAGGAATTTGAGAGTAATGCAACTTTAAAAGATATTTAAACTATGTGTTTGAATAATTTAAGAAAAATTGAAATTTTTTATGAGAATGAATATTAAATGGTATTTTTTCCTGCTCATCCAGTATTTTAATTTTTAAGTGATGAAACTAGAGATAAAATAATGTTTAAAATACCAAGGGATACATAAAGAAAGAAATTAATATCTTTACTTGAAGAAATGGATATGATATTTAGAGAAATCAGTTATAATTTTAGTTTATAAAATTGGATATTACCAATAACTCATAAAACAATTCAATTATTAATAAATATTTCATAATTATTATCATTAATCATTAATATTTTTATGATATTTGCATATGCAGTAATGATAAAAGATAAGCAATCAACATTAGTAACAGATGATTATGAAGAAGCAACATTGTTTATTTTATCCTTATTGTAATTTAGCTTTAGTTTATGTGCATGTACATTTTACATAATAAGTAGAGCATCATTGGAATTCAAGAAACTTAAATAAGAGTAATTCTCTTTGACTTAAATTCACTCTTATATAATTTAAAAGATATCCAATTTCATAATTGTTTTTAAAGGAGAAGATTTCCTATCTCATATATCATTTACTGCAATTGCATTTTTAGGGTTAATTTCAAATACTTATTACTTTTCATTACATTTGTTCTATTTATTTGGATAATTATCTTTGTTATAGAGTGTTTTTTAAGCAATATCTCATAATGCAAAATAACTATCTTTGGTAGCATTGCTTGGAGTATTGTTTTAATTTGTATTTAGTATAGTTGGATTCAATAATTATGTGGATGACATATATCCTGAATAAGTAGAGGATCCTTGTCATAGTTTGATAAGTTGTATGATAACTTTGATGACATCTGGTGTTATAGGTAGTTCAATGTCATAATGGGATCCTTTAAAATTCATCTATGATACAGTTTACTTTGTGTTCTTTGCACTATTATTTACAAATATTATTTCAGGTATTATGACAGATACTTTTGCATAATTGAGAGATTAAAGAACTTAAATAGAGGATGATAAAAAAAATAAATGTTTTATTTGTGGAATTGATAGACAAACACTTGAAAAACAACAAGAAGATTTTGAAGAACATATAAAGAGTAAGCATTTTTTGTGGAATTATGTTTTTTACATCTATTGTTTATAGAATAAAGATTCAACAGAATATACTGGATTAGAATATTGGATAATGGATAAAGTTTAATCTGAAAGTGTGAGTTGGTTTCCTATTAGATCTGAGGATGAAGATGATCGTACTAAATAGATTGAATTATTACAATAAAAGATAGAAGATCTAGCTTAGTAATTAAAGACTTAAATATTATAATAATAGATTGAAGAATGAATAATATTAGTATACAATTTTAAGAATGAATTCAAATGTATTAAATTTGAAAAGAGTTAATAATTTATAAATTATTTTGAAAATATAAAAATATAAAATGTTTCTAAAAAATATGTTTAAGAAACAATCTCGATTTGAGAAGTATCTATTTGAAGGCACTATATATGATAATACAGAAACAGTGGATTTAGAAGATATAAAGAAAATGTTATAAGGTAAGTATTAATGATAAAAAAAGGTTATCCATCTAAAGAAGAAGAGGATTAATTAGTTTAGAGTATGACGATTGTTTAAGTATTCAAAGAATTCATAAGACTTATACCATAATAATTAGAAACACTTAAAAAATTAAAAGTATTATTAACAATCCATGTTTTAATGGGTGATATTAAACATGGCAGATTGTTTGTTTAATAATTTCTTGGATGGATTGGATGGTAACATATTGAATAGAAAGATGTTTTAAATAAGTTCTCATCTGTGTAGACAATGATCATCTAAAAATTAGCATTGATTAGTGAAATTATTTAAAGAAGTAAATTGAAATCCGACGTTAATGTTTTATGTAATTTGATCTTTATTATAATATTTTAGTTAAGGATATTGATTCTAATATAATGTAATTTTATAAAATGATTAATGCTCTCAATCTCATTTTAGGATAACAAGAAGTAAACTAATTATTTTGACATAAGTTTTACGCATAGGTATTTTCTACTCACAGCAGAATAATAGTAATGGAAATCTATTTGTTATTGTGGAATGATGTTATTGCACTCTATTTAATGTTAGAAAGGTAATTCTATATAGTATTCTAGTTCATAGGTTTGTACGATAATTCTTAGATTGTTATTAATAAATGGATTAATAGTAATCTATCTAAGTTTATGAATTATTCAATGAATATATTAAACTAACACCATAAGTTAAAAGATTTGCCTAATTATGTGTATTCTTTAAAAATTGCAATGTTAATGAACCTAAATGGTATTAACCAACAAAAAAAGAAATAGAAGAATTATAAATTTATTTTTAAAATGTCAAAATTTATCTAACTAGTAGATCAAAAAGATTGAAAATTGAAAAATCAACTCCTTAATTAAATAGAAGTTGTTAAGCAACTGGAAGAGATTTGAAAAAATCATAATCTCAATCTTAAATAATTTCTAAAAGTGATATTAAATAATAACAAGATAATTATTTATCAAATACTACAATGGGTTATGCAAAAAGAATATATTAAGGAAATAATGCATCTTAAGCTATATAATATACTTTTGAGAGTGATTGTTAAACTGTAGATGTTATTAAATAATGAATTATTATATATTATTCATTTTAATTTAATTATTTTATCTTATCCAATACTATTAATGAAGGAATTTCTCAATTAATACATTTTCATATATTATTTTATTATAAAATAATACTATCCAAAATACTTAATCAACTTAAAAAACCATTTTAAGTGTAATATTATATTAATTTTACGCATTAAAAAATGTTTAAATAAATAATATGTATGAAAAAATAACATTACGACATGAATTTCTATTTATATTCTAAATTTGATAAAATAATTTAATTATTAATGGAAACTAGTACGAATCAAAAAACAAAATACTCTAGCCACAATCTCATAGTTTTTTGTGTTTCTTTAATATTTTCACCAATAGTGTTTTTTTGGTATGTTATACTCCTTCCAATAACCTTGCCTTTGACATTAATCCTCTATCACTATTATAAAGTTCAAGTAATTTATCAATATATTCTTAGATTAAGCAACATTTATATAATCTTTATTAAGATGCAAATAGAATTGTCCAAAATGGCTTAAAAGATTATATTGTTCCAGCATATTAGGCTACTAAAACAAAAGTAACTTTTATTTCATTTAAAAAGATTAATGAAATTGTGGATCTTTTCTTTTCATTTATCAAAAATAAGTATGAACCACTACTCCAACATCTTGTTGATTTCAGAACATATTTATTGAGTTTTGAACTTATCAATTCATTTGTTAATCATCTAAAAGCTGGAAAGGCAATTGTATATACAATAAATAATAATATTAGACAAGTGATTTTAAGAACATTATATGTATTGTTTTAAATGAAGTCCAAGTTAAAGTCTCAAATAATTAACTTGTGGTAATTTAATATTCATATATTTTAATAGAAATTTGTAGTTTTAAATTACAATACTTATATTTTACCCTAATTGTAAAAGCTATTACCAATCTATAACTATTTGAGATCCAAAAGTGGTATAGATTAAATTTAGTAAGTGATAATTGAAAGAGTCTTATAAATTCCAATGTAATTTAAATCATTTATTATTTTCTAGAAATAAAATTTAAATTATAGGATATGCAATTTTGAATGAATCAGGAAAAACAGTTTAGAATCTAAAACCAGAATAAGAAATTGATAGATACAGAATACAATTACATCAATATGCAATTACTCAATTCTGGAAGATTAAAAATTTCAAAGACTAATAAATTTTAGAACTTGAGTGTGGAGATGCTGTTGGTCTATCATATATTACTGAAGAATATAAACCTTAAAGATGTTTAGGTGTTGATTCTTCAGAATTATAAATTTAAGAAAATTTAAATTAATACAATGATATACCAAATTTGAAATTTGAAATTAGAAATCCCATTGAAATAGGAGCTCTCTGTGCACCTAATACATTTGATGTTATATTAGGTTTAGAGTTAAAAAAAAAGGAAGCATTCAGAAACCTTGATTTCAAAAGGTAGTTTAATTATTATAATTTTTAGTTACATAAGAATTGTAAGTGAATTGCTTAAAGATGATGGATATTTGATTATAGGAGATTATGATACTTAGGAAGAGATTTAGAAACTATAAGAGGAAATCTCAGTTCATGGATTAGTAATTACTGAGAAGAATGATTTTACTGTAGGTATTACTTAGGCAATGAAATTGTAAATTAGGAATATTAAATAAAAAGTTAGAGGAAATGGAGGAATAAGTATAATTATTAAATAAAAAAAATAGTTGCAAAATACTTGAGTGAAAAATTGAAGCCAAATGAAAAATTATTGTAATAACTTAAGGATAGATAATAAATTTACATGGTGTTTATTCTTAAAAAGGCAACACTTTGAATTATAAATTAAATTCATATACAAACATAAATTAATATTAATTCTAATAAGATTATTATTCATTCATTCTTATTCATTCATGAATACTTGGGAATTATTAAAATTATTAATATCAAAAATATATAATATTAAGAAATTAAATTTAATTAAGAAATTCAATTAATATTCTTTTCTTTGATATATTATCATATAAGATGGAGCCCTTTAATTGAATATCTTCAGTAATTACTTCTAAACTTATAATTATGATTATTCTCTATTGTACAAAGAAATTTTCATTAGGTTATATCAAATTAAGTTCAAATGATTGTCTTTGAATAATAATTATTATGAATCATATAGCAAAAGATAACTTGATTGATCTTAACTCAAAATTAACAGATGAAAATTAAAGACTTTCATTACTTGTCTACAGTCTTCAACGATAATTAGAGAAGGCAGCAGTTTAAATTAACTATGCTTAATCTTTAGAGGAAAGGTTGGAAAGTGTCTCATTTGAATTGATATAGCTAAGAAGAGATAATCAAATCTTATAAGAACAATTATATCTTGTTAGTTAATCATCAATATCAATGGATAAAGAACAGACTTTTTAAGAAGAGATAGAAAGTGTGAAAATATAATATGAATAGAAACTATAAGTGTTACTTAAAGAGAATAAAAGACTCAATCGTATAAATAAGGAGTTATAGAATAAATAGATTAACAATTTAGAGACCTAAGCCTAAAAATTAATGGAATTGAGTGTTGAATTAAAAAATAAGTTGGATAGTTTTGGATAACAATCCTCATCCTTGAATTCATCAATTATGGCTCCAAAAGTGTTAACTAAGTAGATTTATGACAATTTAATCTAATAATTATCATAAAGTAGTGGAGAAGAGAAGACTTTTCGAACAACTTAGTACTAAATTTACTTAATATTAGACCTAAGAGATTGCCTGTTTTGTAAATCAAAGAAACTAAATAGCAAAATAACAATAGCCAAAAAAATTTTGCAGCTATTCCTTTTATTTCGAATATTAATAGTGTTAAATGAAAATATAAATACACATACTATCATTATATTAAATCTATGGATTGATTAATATTCATTAAATATTTTCAAAACGCACTAACAATAAATTTTATTAATGTAAATGTAACAAGCTCCTCCTGTTTAGTTTGAAAAATGTCCTAAACATCCTCAAAATGATATTGTACTCTTCTGCTTATCAATTGAATGTAAAGAGGTATGTATTTAAGTTATTATAACCCTCTAGCCACTATGTAAGGATTGTTGTAAATTACATGTTCATTGGCATAATCAATAAGGGACTTAAGCAAACTTAGATACAGTAGATAATGTCAGACAATAATTATTGACAGATGTACATGAAATGAAACTTCGATTTGAAGAGTAAAAATATATTTTATATATATTTTAGAGAAAGAGCTATTCTTCATCATTTTAGTGATAGTGAATAATCTGAGGCTGTGAAATAAATGTAAAATAAACTGTAGAAAGTTAAATAAACCCTTTTGGCAGCAGTGCATGATTACTGTCATTAATTGGAAGAATAAGTAAAATAGCGTATCCAATTACATAGAGTATATAATTCAATTCTAAATTATAGTAATCACATCCTGGAGAAAAGAAAGAACTTCATCATAAATTAAATACTATTATCAATAATTTAGATCAATAGGAAAAGATGTTATTACAACCGAAATATATAAGAGGTTGTTTAATGGTTATGACTGAAGAATAAAATCATGATTTTGATTAAATTACATTTGATGTAGATAATGCTCTAAAACATTATCTATCTAATGCTTTTGATGTTGTTATTTCAGAAGATAAATTGGTCAGAATAGTCTAATCATTTAATGAATATGTAGAAATACAAGAAGTAAATCTAAGGGAAGAATTAGACCATTATACAAGAAAAATTAGAGATACAAAAAAAAACCCTCATGAACCTCTAAATAAATAATTTAATACAACTTCCTAGAAATAATTATAACCAAAAGAATCTAAATTAATGCAATCCATTTATGATGATAAATTTAGACCTACATTTCAACCAGGTGCATCATAATATAGACCCAATTTCAACGAAAGTAAAGCTGATTAAATCATGTCAAAATTTTATCATTGATATAAAACACTAATTTTTATATTAACCGACATCTATTATTTAAAAATGTTTATAAATACTACACATACTCCAGACAAAAAAAATTCTTATCTTAATAAATTTAATAAGAAGAGAATTTAAACAACAGATAAAGAAAACAAGTAAATCTAATCATTACTATTTAAGAGTTTAGAATCTAAGCAATTTGAGTACAAATGATGATTGCAAATCTTATTGTGATAGTGTTGATTATTTTCGACATGAAAATCAAGAACTTAAGAAACTAGTTTTTTAATTGAAATTTGAAATGTAATGTGCATAATAATAATATTTTAGGAAATCTTAATTAGAATCATGTTTGATTGAGTAAAAACATAATTTAAAATCTGTTGTTTAAAAATATAAATCATTTATTGATGAGATGACAACACAGAAAAATTAAGTAAGTTCAGAGTGCGATAATTGGAAATAGAAATACGAATAACAATAATAAATAATTGAATAATAAAGATTATAAATTTATAATCAATCTTAAATTATACAATAGAATTTATCGACAATCCAAAATATTTAACAAGAATATCAATAAGAGTTAATTTAGAACTAAATGGATGTTCAATAAATAATGTATTTAAAAGATTAAACCATTTATGAATTACAATAAATTATTTAATAACAAAATTAATAATAATAATGAAAATAGCAATATATAAGGCAAATCAATTTACTTTATTGTCATTTGAAAACTCTCCAACATATTCTGAACCATCAGCTCCCTTAAATTTCCCTTTGCCATTCATTTTATCAAATCTCCATTCTCCTTCATAATAATCACCTATGCTCCATGAATATTTACCAAAACCATGTCTCATTCCACCCAACCAATAACCTATAAATAAAATTTGAAATAATTACCATCATAAGTATCTCCATGTCCAAAATAATAGATTCCTTTACCAGATTTTTCACCTTCTTTCCATTCTCCTATATATTTATCTCCATTAGCCATATAAAGTGTACCATTTCCTTACCTTTTATCATTAGCCCATTCTCCTTCATATCGATCTCCATTAGAAGCAACATATACTCCATATCCATTTTTCACATTCTTACTATACATCCCTTCATATTTATCACCTGAGGCATATAGAAAGAGTCCTTATCCTTCTCTTTCATCATTCATCCAATTACCCTCATATCTGGAACCATCAGCCATTGTATATACTCCATAACCATGCTTTAACCCATCATTCCATTACCCTTCATATTTATCGTTGTTAACATAGATCATTGTTCCCTAACCAGTAGCTTTATCGCTTGCAAATTAACCCTCATATCTTGCTCCAGATGCAAATTCAACAATTCCTCTACCCCATTTGAGTCCTCTTTCCCAAAGACCATCATATCTATCTCCAAGTGAGTATATGTAGATTCCTCTTCCATGTCTTTCTCCATATTGCCATTCACCATCATAAGATTCCCCTTATAAGTAATACGAATATTTGCCTTTTCCATGTTTCAAATCATTGATCCATTCCCCGTTATACATATTACCATTTGCATAATAATAGATTCCTACTCCATGCTTTTTGCCATTCAACAAATGTCCTTCATATCTTTCTCCATTATTGAAAAGATAAACGCCTTCTCCATTGAACAGATCGTTAGACCACTATCCAATGTACCTAAAAACAATCACTAATAAAATTACACATCTCCATTTGGGAATAAGTATTTTCCAACTCCTTATTTATTTTGTTTTTCATTCATCTAACCATTATAGGTTGCTTGGTCTGCATATTATGCTTAGCGTGCTTATTCTTCACCTAAGAATTTTTATTCAAAAGAGGATATCACTAAAAGTTGAATTGAGATTATATACATCTCTTGCGTTCCTCTATTAACTTCTCTTATATAGAGCTAGTCATATTTTAGGATGCTGTCGTTATCATGATTAAATAAATGGATAATTAAATTGAATAAAAGAGTTTATACAAAACAAAGTTTAACCACTCAACTCGTAACATCTTCCAACAAAAGAAATTCACTAAACAGCAATTCTTTAGGTATTCAAATAAAATTCAAATTACATTCTAGAAGTTCAAGTCAAAATTATTCTCATGAAAGATTAGAAGTTCTCGAAACTAATAAAGAAGAAGAAAGAGATTAATTTGTATCCTAACCAATTAATTCTTGTTTTGAAAGAGTCCTAGATCGAAAACATAGTATATAAAGCAATTTGGGATCTATTAAAGAGCTATCTGTTTCTGATTAATTAGCTGATCCTACTCAATAATAAGATATAAACAATGAGAATGCTGAATAAAATACTCAATAAAATACTCATTCAGTCAGTGGAGCACCTTAAAATACACTTAGAAATAGAAGGAAATTAAAGAGATTACCAAGACTTAATGAAGAAAGAGAGCCACCAAAACTTTAAAATGAATTTTAGCTTATCATTATGCCTAATAACAAATATAAGCAATATTGGGATGTAGTTTTGTTCCTAATTCTTATGTAAATTGAATTTATATTTATAGTTATGTGTCAATTTTCACTCCCTTCAAAATTGGCTTTGTTTAAGATGGGGAATATTTGACTTGGGATTACTTAGACAATGCAATTGATTTCATATTTATGACAGATATTATACTTACATTCCTGAGTGCAGCATATGATGATGAAGGCAATTTAATTACTGAGAGAAAAGCAATCATCCTTAACTACCTTAAAGGATGGTTCATTATTGACTTAATGGTAATTCGTCACTTAACACACAGTCGTCAATTCCGTTTTACTTTATTTTGAATGATACTTCTCAGAGATACAATAGTATAGCACGCATTTCGAAAGTTCCAAAAATTTACAGAGTCGTTAAGATGATCAAATTAGCAAGGATGTTCAGGTTAAAAGAAATATAATATGTTAAAGTTATCAATATCAATATTGGAAATGAGAGATTTATTCTTGCATTTCTATTACTTATATTTTCATGTCATGTAGTAGGATGTATTTGGTTTTTTGTTGCAACTTTATCTGAAGAAGAAGATTGGATATATTTTGAATCTCATACTTTTGATTAATATATAATTTCCATGTATTGGGCAGTACAAACAGTGTTGACTGTTGGTTATGGAGATATTAAATTCTACTCTTGGTCAACAAGAATTTTTGCTATTGTTTGGATGTTATCATCCGTTTATGTTTTTTCTTTTGCTGTGGGTTCTTTAGCATCATTCTTAGATAGATTAGATTAAAATAATTAAATCTACTTAAATCGTTTAGCTACACTCAAAAATATTAAATAAGAATTTAAAATATCTAAAAAAATGTTTTTGAAAGTCAAAAGAGAACTTAAACATGGAAAAAGAGATTTTTCATAATAATATCATATATTATTAGAAGAATTACCTCTAATATTGAAAACTGAATTAAGTTACATTATGAATAAACATCTCAAAGAAGAGATTGGATACTTTCATGATAAATCTCAATAATTTATATCAGCAATAGGCCCATTACTTAAACCTATTAAATTAGAAGCAAATGAATTTGTTTATTGTACTGGAGATTTAGCAGAAGAAATCTATTTTGTTAAAAGTGGAAAATTAGCTATTGTCTTACCAGATTAATAGAATTTTAAATTCATGATGATTAAACCAGGATCGTATTTTGGTGAGTTGGATATCTTATTTTATGGAGAAAAAAGAAAATATACTATAATGACTACTAAACCCAGTGAATTTTATCTACTTTCAAGAAAAGATTTTAAATCTATTTATTTGCATTAATTTAGAGATGAAGGCTAAATTCTAGTGAATGAAGCTTTATAAAGAAAAGTAATGATAAAAAGTGCTTATGATGATGCTCTCTGTTTTTTAGGAGAGGATAAAAATTAATAACATCCTCGTGTGACCTCTCATAAAGCAAGTAAATTTAAAGTTGTTGATAATGCAACTAGTCCATAGGTTGATCCAAAATTAGTAATTTAATAAAAGACTGAAGATTATAGTAATAATGATGATGGTTTAATTAATTTTGATAAAATATAATTTAAAAAAAAAATTAGTGCACTAGAAAAATAAATAAAAATAAAGGATCAAATTATAGCTAATATCTAATAAGAATTAGATGAATTAATGAATTAAATCTAGCATTAAATAAGTGATGATATCATAGGTCGATTTAAAATTACTAAAAGTATGGAGGAAATGATGTAGCTTAGAAGATAATTAAAAGCAACTAATAAGATGGAAGAAACAATCAAATCATAAAGACAGATATATCGTTCTGTACATTAGACTAAATAATTCTAAATAGATTGTCGTAAATATTCAAGTTCTGTTGAATAAGCAAAGTTACTTAATAGTCTATGGGAAGAATGATTAATTTATTATAATATATAATCTGTCTTCAATTTCATTTAAGAAATTATTGTATATATCATTTTATTAAAACAATATATTAGAAACCTTAAGATCTTTTCTTATCAATTTAAGAAATTAGATAATTTAGTAATTTTATATAAAGAGATTTAATTACTTTTTCAATCAAATCAAATTTAAAAATTAAAATATCTTTGTTTTTAACTTTATTTTAACATAATTTAAATTATGAAATTTTAAAGAATAATTCTTACGTTTAAATATAAGATCAAAAACTATGGTTATGAAACGTAGAACAAATTTTTTAAATTCAGCTTTAATATTGATAACAATAGATAATTATTCACTATCCTTCTTTATTAAGTTTATGAAGTTATTTTTTATTTTCCCTATGTTCTGTGTATTCAAAATATCATATAAGCTAATTATCATTTATAAATTTTTTTTTTATATCTCTAGCTAAATAACCTCAAATCCATTTACAAAAAGGTATTTGTTAATTATTTTTATTTAAGTATATGATATTTTTGATTAAAAAAATTCTTAATTCTTTACTTGTTATAAAAAAAATATTGTTTATTATTATATTTATAATATCCAATAATCAAATCATTTTTAATTATAATCATGAATCATCCAAAAGCTTATTTCACTACTCCTTTGTCAAGTATGGCTAAAATACCCCCTTTTGATACAAATAACCAAATAGATGAATTGGATGAATGGGATGAAGAGTGTGAAGGGGAAGATGTGCAAACTTAAAAGTCTCCTTTAACAATCATTCAATCTCGTCTTAATGCTACAATTATAGAAGAGTTTATAATTCAACCAACCAATTAATAGCTGAAAAAGTAGGATTGGAAAGATTAATTCATTTGGCTCTGATATATTTAAATGTTCTTTTTTATATTCAATACATAAAACAATCTCTATTCTTGATATGAATGATCAATTTATATAAGACAAATTTCTTACAAATAAAAAGGAAAATATTCTAATTTATATTTGTGCTTGGCCTTATACAAGTATTCTAATACTATTTAGAAGGAATGTCTTCCTAATATAAATTTAAATAAAAAAGACTAAATTTTGAATACTGTAAGAATGAGTTTGTTATTAAAATACAATTCAGACTATACTTATATAAAATACATCAGTTCTTAAATATTGCTTTCGATGTATAGGCATTTCGTAAAGAATAAAAATTTGTTGCAAATTCAAATATTCTTATATATAAAATACAATTATATTACTAATCAATAAGGTCTTTTCTGTTTAAAAATTAAACATCTTGCTAGATGATTTTGTGAAATATTACTTGATAAAGTTCAGTTTAATTTATGGATATTTTTTAAAAAGATAAAACAATCATATTGTATACATTTCTTAACATTAATTTATAATCGAAAATTATTTTTAAGTTAACTTTCACAAAATATGTATGATTTCATTCAATAATCATATTAATTTTATTCTAAATTTCTCATTCATTTTTATTTATTAGTGATTTTAATTTAATGAATTCAGATAATTCTAAATTAATAATCACTCCTTTAGGAGCAGGTAATGAAGTTGGCAGATCATGCATATTGCTCTAATTCTAAGAAAAATAAATTATGGTAGAAATTATTTAATATCTAGTTTGATTGTGGAATACATATGAATAAAGAAAACAAAGGTGTTATGGCATTGCCTTATTTTAATAAAATAGATAAAATTGAGGACATAGATTTAATTCTTATAACTCACTTCCATCTAGATCATTGTGGTGCTCTTCCATACTTTCTTAAAAATTATAAATTTAGGGGGAAAATTTATATGACTACTCCAACCAAAGAGATTTATGGTTTAGTTTTGAAAGATTCAATCAAGGTTAAAAGTGAAGATTTTAGCCAAGATTTGATAAATGAATAAAGCATAGAATAATCATTAAAAAATATTGATTGTATAGATTATGATTAAGAAATTCATTACTAAGGAATTAAATTGAAATGTTATAATGCTGGACATGTCTTAGGTGCAGCAATGTTTATGGTTGAAATTGATGGTGTTAGAGTTTTGTATACTGGAGATTATAGTACAGAGAAAGAGAGGTATTTTATAGTAAATAATGTTTAAGGCATTTAAGACCAGCTCAATTACCACTTGAAAAAATTCATGTATTGATTGTTGAATCAACTTATGGTGATACATAACATGAAACTAGAACTAAAAGAGAAGAAAACTTTTTAAAAGAAATTGTTTCAACTCTTAATGGTGGAGGAAATGTATTATTACCTGTTTTTGCTACTGGAAGATGTCATGAATTGTTAATAATTTTAGATGAATACTGGTCTAAAAATCCTTAAATCCAATAATTTCCTATTTATAGTACTTGTACATTAGCCATTAAATGTACACATATTTTTTAAAAGCATTATAATAAATTAGGAAATAAATTTTAAAAAGGTGAGAACCTATTCAAATTTAATTATATCAATACAAAAAAACATTTATAAGATATCCTAAATAACCCAAAACCAAAAGTAGTAATGGCAAGTCCAGGATTGCTTTAATCAGGACATTCAAAATAAATATATGAATATTGGTGTAAAGATGAAAAGAATTAAGTAATAATTACAGGTCCAGCAGTATAAGGGACAATTGCTCATTAATTAATACATAATCCAGAACCTGATATAAAAATAAGACCTGCATAAATAAGCTTTTCTGCTCATGCAGATTATCTATAAACTTCATCATTTATTGATTCTTTAAGACCATAACATGTTATTTTAGTTCATGGAACTTAACATAAATGTAGAGATTTATAAAAGAAGATTGAAATAAATTTTAAAGATATTGTGGAGAAAGTATGGGCACCTGAAAATTAAAAATAAGTTGAGCTGAGTTTTTAAAGAAGCTCAGTTTCTTAGGCTGGATGTAAAGCAATAGGAGAATTAGGAAATTAGATTGAAAATTTTATTATTACATTTTAAGAAAAGCATAATTAACATAAGATTGATGAAGAGGCTGTAGAATCAATGACTGATTGCACTTGTTGTACCAATGATCTTTATTTTAATGGAGTGCTCTTAAATACTGAGCATGGCTTTATGTTAGTTGATGAAACTGACAAGGAAACTTTATAATAATATGGTATAGAACAAAATTAAATTTATAACTAAATGTATATTCCTTTATCATGTTCTCTTGAATAAGTATTTAATTATGTTTAAGAATTAAATCCAGAGGCACAATTTCATCCAGATGATAGTTTAATTGTGGTAAAAGATTTAGAGATTAGAGTACCTGTTTCAAGTGTTTTGTTATAATTTAAATGGATATCTTCACCAAAAACTGATGATTTGGCTGATTCATTAGCATTTTTTTTAAGTAATGTCAATTAAAATAAATTGGATGATGAAGAATTGTTAAAAGGTATTCACTAATTTGATATAGTATAATAGATAAATAAAAAGGATTAATAAAAGTACTTTAAAAGACTGAATTTCAAACAGAGATAATAGATAATAAATTAAATGTGAAAAACAAGAATTCAGTTATCATATAAGTTGATTTAAATGATTTGAATTTATCAGTTATTCCAGAAGAAACCCATGAAAATAAAAATATTATCAAAAGAGCTTAAACAATTATTGAATCATATTTGAGTTCCTATATATGATTATCGGTTTTTGTAAATTTAAATTAATACGTTATATTATATTTTTGTTGTAATATGCTTTTTATATCTGTTATTTTATAAAAATAAGAATCCTAATTTTGAATTAAAGTTTTCCTGGGCTAGTTGAGTGGATAGTAAATGATTTAGAAATAATTAATTATTGATATTAAATTTATAATGATTTAATATTAATATATACAATTATCTAGTATGTTTATAACAGTTAACGATATGATTCTATCATCATTAAATTTATAATAAACCAAAATTAAGATTTCAGATAATAAAAAAATATAATCTTGAGTCTAACATATTTTGGTTAAAAATGAATAAGAATAATTTAATAACAGAGAAATAGGTTGCTCAATAAAAAATCCTTTAGAAAAATTGTTTTAGATAACTATGTTTCACGTCAATGAAGTTAACATATATGCCTTGATAATCTAAAAATTTAAACCTTAAAATTTTATGAGAACATTCAAATTTGCAAAATTCCAAAATTTTATGGAATAAAATATAGATACTACATGATACCAATAAATTAGAATCCAGGAAATTCTATAGAAAGAATCCAAGGCATTGATTGCTTTTATCTACCTAATTCAGAGAATTTTATAATTAGTGTGGCCACTTTAGAAATCTTAAACCTTTTTAAAAAAAGAAAGTTCAATTATTAAACTATTAAATTTGCTCTTTAAGATTACTTATTTAAATACAATTTTTTTTCTTTATTTGTAAAATGATATATCTAAATTTACTTGAATATTTTATCTTTTCTCCAATTAAAACAATTTCCATGATAAAAATAAAAATGTTTTGAAGAAAGATTATGATTAAATAAACTGTTAAATTTAAATCATTTTGTTTTTCGCATTTTTTCTCTTTATTCTTTAATTTTCTTACCAAGAACATCAGCTACATGTTCCATTTTATCTTCTTCAGATTCAAACCCGTAGTATCAAGTGTAGTGACTACTTTTCTCCAACTAGATTATTTCATAAATACATAAAGAGTGACTGAATTTCCACTAAATTTTATTTTTTCATTTGATTTTGTAATTTTATTCCAGAATTTTGTTTTCACTAAGCCAATTTTTTGGCCAATTAGTATTATTGACTTTTAAGGTTATTTATTTAATAAATATCTTCAAAGGATAACAAATTAAAAAAATGTTAATAATATAAAAATTTATAATAATTATGAGTTTTTAAAACAAATTAGTGTATATTTGAAATTAAAAATAGGTTGTTATCAAATCTTTTGAGTTTAAATATTATGAAGCTATTTTTTTCTTTTAATCATAATAAGAAGATAATATTAATTATATAACAAAGTATTTGACAATGGAATATGGGTTAATTTCTAAAAATTTTAATGAAATATTAGCATTCAAGTAAATTAAATATGGTAATGTTATATTAATAATTTATTCATAAGAATTTAAATTGAAAATAGAAATAATTAACAAACAGAAAATTGATTTGAAGAATGATTCGAGAATTTACGTAATTTTGTCTTAGTTCAAAAAGAACTATGCTTGCCTAATTGAAGTCATAATTTTAATCTTATTTATCCATTTTATTTATCTAAACTAAATAATACAAAATATATTTTTGAATTAAAGTCATCTTGAATATAGAATTTAAAAATAATAATATTTATTTAAAAACATAAAAGTAATGGGAAGAAATAATTGGATTTAATATTAAAACAAAAGCAATTTAGTTTTAATAATATACTTTTATTTAATAGCTATTTAATTAATGACTTATATTATCTAAGGATGATAAATAATCAAGCTTACTAATTAATTTAGATGATTTATTTATTTTCTAAATTTAAACAAAGAAATACGTTAAATTTTAGGATTTATAAAGAAAATATTTTCAAATAAATATAAAAAAAAATGAAATATCTTTTTTAAACTTTTCACTACTTGCTATTGTAGACTGTTTTAGCCTAGTTGATGATTGATACATACAATTAGGTAGATATAAAGGGAATAGAGTTTGATTGGAGTGCAAGAACTCTACCTATAGGAGATTAATAACTTTTAATTGCCTAAAATATAAGAGGGTATGATTAATTATTCTAAGTTGAATTAATGATAATAGACATAATGAAAAATGAAGTTTTTAGACAAATAACAATAGGAGGAGTTTATGAGAGTACTTATTGTCCAGATATACTCATCATAGATGATTCTATTTTTATTGCTTTTGTTAGTGAAAAAGAAAGTTCTTTATATGTTGTGATGAAGAAATATAGTTTGTCTTTATAAGAATCTAATGTAAAATTCAATTTAGGTAATACTCTCTATGAAGTAAAAACAATATAAAAAATTTAATACATTTAATTAACTTAGTTAAATGAAAATTTATTGTCAATAAAATGGTATTCATTAGGGAGAGAGTATAATACTAAATAATGGAATATGGTATTGTATAATCCAACAACAGGAGTTAAAGGTGAAAAAATAATTTTGCCAGATAGTGATTTTATATCAGTTACATAAAATAAATTAGGCGTTATAGCAATAGCTTAATCAAATAATAATAAAATAATATTATCCAGATTATATGAAGGTTAATTAATTACAAGATCAATTCCAGCAGTCTCTTATTCACAACAGAGAGTAAAAATTAATAGTCTATCAACAAATGAATTTATTGTTATTAAATGGACTACCTAATATAACTTTGAAATAAGAAGATTTAATAAATATTTTGAAGCTTCTCAGAATCCATTTAGAATTTAAACTAAAGAATTTTGTAGTGTTGAAAAAATTTAATAGATTGATATAAGTTTTACAGAATCAAAATTAATATTTGTAAGTAAATGTGATGAGGAGATAAAATTATAATAAATTGATTTATTAAATATTGAAAATAATTAATACATTTCAGAATAATATAGATAGATTAAAACATAGAATAAATAAAATATATAATCTATTTAAATTAATTATATTGATCATAATAGATTATTACTTAGATGGTTTACTCAAAAACATTACTTTAATGAATTAAAAGTTCAATTAATAGATATGAACTTAAAAATTAATGAATGTATATTAAATTGTGATATATGTGATAACAGATTTAAATGTTAATAATGTTAGTAAAATTATCAATTGGATACTATTAAAAATGAATGTAAACCTATATGTCCTATTAATTGTTTATATTGTTCAGATTCTACTTATTGTGATAAATGTAAATTGGGATATTAGTATACAAAAGAAAATTTATGTGTAAATCCAGATAATGATTTTATGGAACTAAAAGTTAGTAGAGAAGTAGAAACAAAAGGAAAAGGGAAATTAATAAATAAAGATTTTTATATTATCGTTATTTATAGTATTTATTAGAATGATAAATAATAATATTTAGTTATTAGAAAACTAGATAATTAAGGATAATTATTAAAGAAAGTAGAATTACAAAAAGATTAATAAACATTACTTGATTATGATATTGCTGATTCTTTAGTTGATGAAATCTTTTATATATTAATTAAATGGGTTTCAGTTGATGGATCTACAACAATTATTAATTATTCATATAATTTAGAAGACTTAACAATAAAAGAAGAATATTTAATAACAGATAAATCAACAATAATTGTTGGAGATTAAATTAAGATAATTAATTATAAATAATAGAAAATTTATTTTTTTTATTTTACTAAGGAAAACGATTATTATACATTGAAATAAATCATAATGAATTAAAATGATGTTTATACTAATTCTAATTATTACCATCTAAGTTATAAAGATAATTTTGAATTAAAATCATATAGAAATTCTATTGGTAATGAATATATGACAATATTAAATGATGATTATTATTAATAATGTCAGATTATGGACACTAGTTTAAATTGTTATTAAGATACTAATCAAGATAGAACTGAATTCTTTTCATAAAAAATAATTAAAATTGATCAAATTTCATTATATCTAGATCAGGATATTTATTTAAATAGATAATTATATCTAAATAATACTGATAACTATAAAATATAGATAACATAATCATCAAGATATCAATAAAATCATACATTCATTTAAATAGGAGAAAATGATATTATTATTTTATGGTCTGGTATTTCAAATATCCAATAAAACAATCCAATATCAAATATTTATATTTAAGGTTTTTCTAAAAAAACTAATTAAATTACTAATTTAAAGTCATTTACTTGTTCTCCTGCATGTTTTTAATGTTCAGAAACTGGAGTATGTTTATAATGCAAGAATTATCATTATATATTATACAAAGGAAAATGTAAATTATAATGTATTCAAAATTGTGAATCTTGTTAAGTAGAAAATGAATGTTTAAAATGTAAATTAAATTATTTCTTGGATTCTTAATCTAAATGTGTTTAAACAGAAAAAGATTACATTTTATAAAAATAAAATTATTTGTATCCTACTGTATTTTAAAATGATGATGGAACAGTATCTATTGTATCAATTAAAAATAATGGTACTAAATATGATATTGTTTATGAAGAATTTGATAGATAAGGATAATCTATTTCAGGAGAAAATAGAATTTCAAATGATAGTAATTTAACAGTATTATTCAAATAACCTAAATTAATTAAATAAGATTAATTTATTATTATTAGTTATTTAGTGAGAGATGATATAAATAATCTATAAATCAAAGCCATTTTTGTTACTTTAGATAACTAATATTAAATTATATAAAATAATGTATCATTCATATTAAATTAAGATATGTTATTTGAAATTTTATAGATTGATAATTAATTACATATAGTTTATACATATGACTATTATAGTTATGCAATTTACTTAAGTATTTCCCAATATTCAATAAAAAATGGGTTAATGAATAAATTAAATGAAAGAACTTTTGGAGATGTGTTTACTTTAACAAAGAAGTATTATAATTTAAAATTGGAAAATACATTTAATCAAAATAAGTTCTCAATATAATTTACTGAAGTAGATGTAATAGATTAAATAGTTTATGTATATGATTATGTTGAATTAAAATTAACAAAATCTACATTTACAACTTATTAGCTCAATTACATAAATTATTTGCAAATATTTACAGTTTAATATAACATTGTCAATAATAAGAAACTAAATTTACAATTCTTTAATTAAAGAGTAAAATTATTAAACACATTATCCCTAGAATCAATATATGAGTATTCTAAAATATAAGTACTAACAACTTAATTCTTTATATATCTGTTGTATGCTGAATCATCTCAATAAAACATTATAAATATCAATGTGAAATAATATGATCTGAATGGTATACTAATAGCTGAAAATTAAATTAGTTCAAATGAATAATCTATAGATTATTTAAATGGTAATTCTTAATAAAATGAATTCCTCTATATAACTTGGAGTTCTATATAGAATAGAATGTCATATAAGATGAGATTAAATTAAAAATTATAAGCAATACCATTTGATAACTCAACATGTGTATCTTAATGTGGAGATTGTTCCAGCAATGATTAAATTTTGTGTACTTAATGTTTAGATGGCTATTATTATAATGAATAAAAATTGATTTGTTCACCTATTTGTTCAGATAATTGTTAAAATTGTACATCTCCTTATACATGTGATTATTGCAATAATAATTTTAAATATGTAGATAATAAATGCTTAAATGTTACTGATTATCAATTAGAAATACCAATTTGTCAATAAACATGTAATGGAATAGGTTCAATATTAACTTTTAATGATAATACTATGATAACAACCTTTTATAATTATAAGAATTAATAACATAGTTTAGATTTAAATATATATTAATTAGAATCTAGTGTCATTACAACTAAATAATTAATTTCTTCAGAAACAGCAATTCCTTATCACAGAATTTATGAGTATGAATCTAAAAAGTTTGCACTTATATGGTTAAGTGGTAATTGTAAAGTATCATGTAGAATGATGATATAATTATTCCAAAGTAGTCTTGTTGTCATAACAAATCCAGTTGAATTAAGAATGATTAAAGTACTTAATATAGATGAATTTGAAATTCAGATCAAAATATTTAGTAGTAATTTTATAATTGTTTGGACTGAAATAGATGATAATTTAATTTAGTAGACATATGTTGGAATTTATAATATTAATACTGGATTTTCAATAAAATAAAATATTAATGAAAATTAAGATGATATCTCAATAAATCCTTAATTATTGATTTAGACATCATCCTATTAAATAATATATATTAAGAATAATAATATTATAAACTCATTAACTATTGATAGTACAACTGCAAAATATAAACAACTATATTAGAGTACTAATTAAATCGATTCTATTTCATCTGATAATATTGACAGCAGCGGATTAGCTATTGGTTGGATAGAAAATGAAATTAATTAATTAGGGATGTAAAATTATTATCTAAATGTTCAATGGTTTGATAGATAATTAAATCAATAAGCAGTTAAAAGAACTGCTCTAAACTCATATATTAAAATTAAGAGTCTAAGACTTGATTATATTTCTTCATCATTATAATCAACCTTCATATAAATTGAAAAGGGAGAGTAACAAAGAATACGTCAATATTTTATAAATTTTAATTTATTAAAATATGGATCAACATAAGATATGTTAACAGTCCCATTAAATATTTTAAGTTAATATTAGGCTAATACAAATATATTAACTTATGTAGATCCACGAAATCTTATGTCATATGTAGTATTCTAAGGAACAATGAATAATGTTAATTAAATATTCTTTATAGAAAAGAAAGGATAATAATCATATCAAGATAATTGTGAAACAAATTGTTTCTATTGTAATAATTAAAATGTATGTGTAATTTGCAAATAAGGATATTCATTATATAATAATAAATGTTCTTTGAAATTACCAGATAATTGTTAAACTGGTAGTAATGGTAGATGTTCATAATGTGCTATTGGATATTCAATCACATCAGACTATAAATGTTAACTTAGTGATTCAAAATATAAAGAAATTAAAATGAGTTATTACCCAGCTTAAAGTAGATAGCGATTATCGACATTATCAAATGGAGATTATATTGTTGTATGGTCAACAAAATTTTATCAAAATGAAGGAACTGGAATTTATATGTCATTGTATAATTCATAAGGAGTTTAATTGAAAGATTAAATGAGAATTACTGAATCATCAGCAGGAATTTAATAATATCCTGATGTTTAAGTAATGAATAATGATGAAATAGTAGTTGTATGGATAGATGGTAATATTTTAGTGAATGCTGATATAAAGATGTGTAGATTTAATAGAGATTTCATAAGAATTGGAAGCGAAATTACTGTATAAACAAATATTCATTTTTAATATGTTTAATCATTTGATACACCAGTAATCATTCAATAACTTATTAATGGCTTTGCTATTGTTTGGTCAGAATAAGGAAACTAGTAATCAATATAACTTATGACTAAATTCTTTGATAATAATAGTAATGAACTTAATTAATAAATTGTTACTGAAAATGAATCAATAATAAATGAACCAGTTGTTGCATCTACTTAATCTATTATTGTGATAGCTTGGTAAACAAACAAAGGAGTATTTGCTAATTCGTATAGCTTAAATCAAATTTTAATAGATAGGGTGTAATTATCAAATACCGGAGAAGCTCCAACAATTACATCTGTAGATAATTATATAATTATTGCTTGGAAAGAGTATGTAATTGATGAAAATGATTTTATGAGTTAGAAAATAAGATTTAGAAAAATATCAGGAGATTTAAATTAATATGAAATATAAAGCCATTTTGGAATATCATAAGAGAATTTAGATAATCCTGATGTGATTTAAATTGAAAATGGATTTGCTATTATTGCTGAAAGTGTATCTACATTAAATGATAAAGTAAGAGCAATCTAATTGTAATTATTTAATTTGGATGGTTCATCTAAATCATAACCTATTATTGTCTATTCTATATCTAATTTATATCCACATCACCCTTAATTAATAAACTAACCATAAGGAAATTTCATAGCATCATGGATACAAAGTACTCTAGTATCATAAATCTTAAGTGATGATGTCTATATGAAAAGATTTAAGAGTGACGGTACCTAATTGTCATTAAGTACAATCATTTGCCCTGACAATTGCTTGACTTGCTCAACTAGTGATGTTTGCTAATCTTGTAAGAAAAATTACATCATATTATCTAATTAATGTTATCCAAAAATTGATAATTGTGAAACTCATGTAATTGAAAATTCAATACTCTCTTGTAGCGAATGTATTAATGGTTTTAATTTGATAAAAAATAGTTGCTATTGGGCTTATTTTTCTACTAATTATTAAACAATAGAATTTATAATTGATAAATCATATTTTGATATATTTAAAGTAATAACTTTTTCAAATGGTGATCTATTATATTTTTGGATGGGAGAGGATAATATAATGACTCAAAGATTTGATAAATAAGGTAAACGATATTCTAATCCTAAAGTATTAAAACTTTCAACAACTTGTACAAGTTGTTAATATTATTTTGATGTTTGCTAATTTAAATTAAAAGAGGAAATATTTGTATTTTCCTTCAAGATTTTCTAAAATAATTACAGTTCCAGTACAACTTATATTAATATTTTCAATTTTAATGAGGAACTTCTGTCTTCTAATTCAATCTTTTCTTATTAAGGAGAAATTAACTCTATAATCAATTAAAAGTACTAGAAATAATTGACTAAAATACTTTTATTGGAAAATATGAAATTAGGATTAATTCATATGGTTATGCAATAGGAAATCCCTATATTAGAATTAGTTATTATTCAGTTATATGTTGATAGTTCATTCAAAATTAATTTCTCTAATTAATAAACCTAAGCAATTCAATTACTAACTTATTCTTAATTTAAGAACTCTTTGGATTTAGACATATAAATAATTGATAATGAAATAAAAATCTATTAGAAAAATGAACTCTCTAATACTTGTATAGAGACTAGTTTTGATTTCTTTGGAGTATAACTAAATAAACATGTGATAAAGAAACAAAATAATATGGTAGAATATAAAATGATTAAATTGAATTCAGACAGCTACTTGATTGTTTGGACAGCCATTGTATCATTTAAATATGAAATATTCTTTTAGATTTAATAATAAGATGGAATTGCATTAAGACATGTTTAGCAAATATTTAGTGGAAATGAAATCTATAAACTTGATTTATAAATAAATTAACTTTCAAATTCCATATTGATAACTTGGAGAGAAGGCTCTTAATTTTAAGATATGACTTTGAATTCTGTTTATAAAGGAGTTTTTATATCTAAAGATACTTATGTATTGACAAATATTGCATCTCCAATTAATTAAGAGAATACTTATACTAAATCATTAGGAAAAGTTGAAGTTTTAGAATTACCAAATAGAGATAAAATAATTAATATATTGTTTTACAACATTTTGTCTTAAACTTAAATAATCAAATCATACAAAATTAATGATGGAGGCAGTTAGGTAGATTTTATTTAGATGAGGTGCGGATATGCTTGCCAAGAATGTAATTATGAAGGATTCTGTTTCAAATGTACAAATCCTGATTTATTTATATTATAAGTTGATGGAAATTGTGTTAAGAAACCTCAAAATTGTGTTAATTTCAAATCTAATTGCTTGGATTGTATTGATGGTTATTACAAAACTCAATATCTTACATGTGAGAAAATTAATTAATAAATTGAAAAAAGCGTTCCTTTAGATTATCAAAGTTACTATTTATTTTACTATTAAGTTGCCACCTACTAAAATGGTAATTTTGTGGTTGTAGGTTTCAAAGAGAGTAATGTTATTGAATTAAATTATTTTCTAAGTGATGGAACTGCTTAGATACAAAAACAATAAATAATAAACCATATAAATATAAATAAGATTAATGATATTTCAATAACTATTGATGATAAAGATTAACTTATAATATTTTATTCAGTATTACCCTTAGTTTTTACAGAAAACAATATGTATTATTATCAATAATTTGATAAAAACTTTAATAATCTTACAGAACCAATATTATTTTATTCTGGTTTGCAATAATATGAAACTACAACTATTAAAGCCAAGATCTTGATTGGTGGATAATTTGCAATATTAATTAAGAGTAGATTTGATATTTATGTTTATATTATGAAATCTAATTTTGAATTTGTTGGTGATATAAAATAACCATTTAGTGAAAACTTTGATATAATATCCAATGGAGAATTAATTGCATTTGCTTATATAAAAGATACAATTACAATCATTAATTTCTTTGATTTAAAATTAAAAGTAATTTAACATCAAATTGTTAATGATGGAGGACTAATTAAATTGGCCTCTAATGCATTTAAATAATTTATTATAGTTACCAATTATTAAATCAATATAATTGATTAAGGTTCAATAATATCATCTTATAATACTACCCTACAAAGTTTATACCCAATACAAATAGCCATAAGTGATATCAATGAAATTGTAATCCTTTCGTACTAAAAGAACTCTAAATCTTATCATTTACTTTATTTTTCAATGTAAGGACTACTTAAAAACTTTGTTTAAGTTAATATGAATTAGTATACTGAAATTCCTATACAAAATAGTTGGTTATTGAAGTTGTAAAATAGTAATTTTCTTGTCTTCTTTCATATAGGAAGTTTAAACTATAATTCTAAGTTAAATTTTGCAAGATTTGATTAATTGGGAATATCAAGATCTGTAAACGAAATTATATGCCCTCAAAATTGTATATCCTGTGTATCATCTTCAGAATGTGATATTTGTAGTTTTGGTTTCGAAAAAAATGATGAAACTAAATTGTGTGAAAAATTTTGTATGTAATTTGAGTGTCGCAAATGTATGTTGACTGATTGTTATGAATGCTCTAATGGATTCTAATTGGATGAATTCGGACATTGTTAAATAATTGATTAATCAATTGAACATACTAAAGATCCATATAATCCAAGTTATTAAGAAGAAGTGATAGACCCAAATATTCCAGGAGTCGCAACAGATCCAGTGGACCCTATAGATATAAAGGATCCAACAGATCCAACTAATCCAACAGATCCAACAGATCCTAATAATCCTACCGATCCAACAGATCCTACTAATCCTACCGATCCTACAGATCCAACAAATCCTACTGATCCAACAACTCCTACTGATCCAACAACTCCTAAGAATCCAATCAATATAGGAACCATTGAACATCCCATAGGAGATAAATGTAATGTAATTATGCAAAATAAATTAATAAATTTTACAGATAATAGATATGCTTTCATTCAAATTTGCAATGAGATTATGAGTGCCAAATTATTTAATAAAGATGGTGTAGAAATATAGAGTTTTGTCAGTTAGATTGAAATAGTGATATTCTTTGATACAGTCCTAGTTCAAGATTAAATGTTCTTAGCATTTGTTTTTGCAAGAAACCCAACTTCGACTCAAATTTTTTCAATTGATAATAGTTTTCAAACCCTTGTTTTTAAATTTGAGACAATTTAGGAACTCACTATTTTAGATATTTAAATTCAGCCTTTGAACCACAATGTTGCTATGTTAATATCAAATAATAAAATGGTTTAAATTGATGATTTATTTTTGGTTTGCTATTCTTAAACTTTATAAATATTTGATGATTATTTAGGATTAATGACTAATAAAATAAATTTTAATTTTCCAAATGGTATTATTACAAAGGATAATTGTAATTAAAACAAAATATCTGAAATCAAGGTTGTTGAACATCGTGTTTATGCATTATCAATAAATTTATAAGGAGGGTAACTATAAATTTTTGATCATATTGTAACAACACTAGACACTTTTTAAATAGATATTCCTAATATTGAAAAAATTAAATTTGAAGTTACTCTAGGCAATATTATAATTATTTATAAGACTATTGATGCATAAAATTGGACTTTAAAAATTTATGATAAATATTTAATTATTTTTATTGTCAAAGTTGATTTTATCCCTGGAAACTCTGATATTTAATTAGCTATTGTAGCTAACAATTTATTCATATAATGGAATCAAAATGATAACCTTATGAGGTCCTTTTATGAATTCTTAGATTTATAAGGAAATTAACTTTCAAAAGGAGAAATATTTAGTGATTTTTAGCTTAATAGTATTTAATTAAGTGTTTTAATGGATACTTATGTTGCATTTACTTGGAAAAAAATAAATGCAAATAGTCAATGGGAAATTACTTATGCTCTCATGAATCACAATGGAGACTTTGTAAATTTTTTAGAGTAAACGTGTTCTAAAAATTGTAATTACTGTATAAGTTATGAATAATGTATGACATGTGAGACTAATTATGTTTTAAAATATGTTGATTCTAACAACAACTATTGTTAGAAAGAATGTGATTAGAATTGCTAGACTTGTGATTAGATGGGAAATTGTTAATTTTGTAAAAATTTTTATGAAATTAAAAATGGTTAATGCGTTTTAAATGAATTATAAGCGAAAGCAATCCGTATAAATTAAGAAGCATAAAATAATTTGATCTAATAATAGGGGGCTAAATTTAGTGATGGATCAATAATAGTGGTTTGGTCAAGTAATTTTTATGAAGGTGATGATTTTGAAGTATATGGTTAATTAATTAATAATTTTGGAGTTAAAATTGGAGATAATTTAAAAATAAATACTAATACGCAAGGTCCTTAACATTCTCCAAAAGTATTAGTATTATAAGATGATACTGCTTTAATCATTTATATTGATGGTGATCCTAAAATAAGTCAGGCGACAATAAAAGCTTAAAAATTTGATAAGTAAATGTAAAGAATTGGTAATGAATTTTAAGTTGGTACAATTGAATCTTATTCAAATGAACCATCCAATCCTAATTATTTTCAAGCATAAAGCTTAAAAAATGGAGGATTTTTTATTGGATATATACAAAGGTCATTCTAGACACAAGATTTGATTTTTTTAAACTTTTATGATTCATTAAGTAACCTGGTAATTCAGTAATCAATCTAAGGAGATTTATTTTTATTTGAAAAATCTATTGATTTTGTTACAACAGATGTTAATATTGCTTTATTTTATGCTTCTAATATTTATGGATGTATGGTTCATTTGTACTCATTAGACGGAAAATAAAAATTATTAACCAAGTCTTTGGAAAAATTTAATAATCACTATCGTGAAAATATAATTATAGGTCATACACATAATTTTTATGCAATAGGATATATATTGTTTGAAGAAAGTAATAGAATAGTTTAAGTATAATTATTTGATGAATAATTTAATGAATTAGGAAATCCTATAACAATTAGATAAGTAGAACATTATATACCACAAATTTAAATGAATAAAGGTGATTAAGGATTATACTTTATAATTTAATTGAATATTAATTAATAACAGTTTTAGGAACTTTATTTAATAAAGGACCAATAATATTCTTTATTAAATACATTCTATTTAGATATTTAATAAAGATAAATGTAATCGAGACAGGAATATCTTTAAATTATTTAATCATAGGATCAGTAATATTTTATACTATGGTCAAGGAAATTCTATTTTGGAATTCAGGATATTTATGACTTTTATTTTTAGCTGTTATCATATGATTCATAAATAATAGCACAAAGTTAGATAACTTGTCCATTGAATTGTTAGTAATGTTAAGAGTCAACTATTTGTGATCTATGTCTTGATCACTATTAGAAAAAGGAAGATATTTGTATTCCTATTTGTGAAGTAGGGTGTTCTTTATGTGCTTTTCCATATTTTTGTAATTTATGTTAGAAGGGTTATTATTTAAAATCAGAAGGTAAATGTTATGAAATTCCTATTTAATAATAACCTTTAGTTTTATATGAATATGAAAGAGGTGATAGGATTTTTTAAGTATAAGCTGTAAATGAAATTGATAGAGTGTTTTTTTCTTATAGCAGTCACTTAAATGTTAAAGTTTTTATTGGAGAATAATTAGTCAACAGTTTTTCAATAACTTAATAGCCAATAGATGATATGTATAGATGGAAATAAACATTTTATTTCGATGAAAATATCATATTAATATTCTATTTTGAAAATGATGTATAAGTACAAAGATATGATATTAATTCAAATTTAATTAGTTAAGAAAGATTAGACCTTTTATAATTTACAGATTTTTAGATTTAATATGATGCCTTATTATTAGAACCAATATAAGGTTAATAATATATCCTTACATTTTATAAATAAAAACATAATCCAAATTAAATTTACAATTTATTTGAAACAGTTATCTATTATGTTAAATTAGATTTAAGGTTATATAAAATAGAAAATGTTTAGATTATTTTTAAATCTGTAGATAGTGTACCATTTAATATTCAAAAAGATTAGGATTCTTTTTATATTTATTTCTATGATAAGAATTATAGAATAAGAAAGGATAAAATTGAATAATTATTCTGTTATAATTAAAGAGAATATACCATTAGCTAATGCAATATACCCTCAGAAGAAAATTGGAATATAATTTAATTATTTAATGTTGGAAGGTAAAATGAACTTTTTGATATCTTTACACATATCAGCACTTAATACAAAATTTTAGGTGGATAAGGAGAAATAATAATGTAATCTACAAATGTTTTAAATTAAGGTTTAAAGAGATAAATATTTGTTAAAGTATTTAAATATATTCATTCATTTGTAATCATCATTGAAGAACAAACTGATTTATAATATAATGAATACAAATAATTAGTTGCTTAATTTATTTATAATACTGGCAAAAAAATTGGAGATTAAATATATATTTGTTCATTACCTTAAAATTTTATAAATATTGTTCAATACTAAAATGGATTCAAAATATATATATAATAAGAAGAATGCTAAGATGATATATGCAAAAATAATTTAATATAAAGGATATTTGATAGAGAAAATGATCTACCAGATCCAACAGAATCGTAAATACTAATTAATGACCCTGTAAAGGATGGAAAAGGTATTGAAATTTAAGAAAAATGTGATTAAGAACCAATTAAATAACTTATTAAATACTCTAATAATAATTATGGAATAGTATATATTTGTTAGGATATTTTCAGAATGAGAAAATTCAATTAGGATGGAATAGAAATCAAGTTTGTTGAAATTACTCTCGAACTTATTCATCTATTTGATATTACTTTAGTGGATGATCAAATTTATGTTATTTTAGTTTATGTATCAGATAAAACAATTAGTAAGATTTATAAATTAGATGATAATACAAATTCTTTGTTATTTTAATTTGATCATGTATGTGAATTAGAGATTTTAGATATTAAAATTGAAAATTTGTAGATGAAGTATCTCATATTCATAACATGTTTGAAGAATTATGTATTTGATAGTGGATCTAAAATTGGACGGTCTTAATCATTATTTGTTTATGATAGATAAAATTTGAAAATCTTTGAAAAATTTGATTTTAATAATCCTGCTATATTTACAATTAATGATTGCGATAAGTACATAATTTAAGAGATTAAAGTTTTATATGACTAAATATATTTAGTAAAAGTCAATATTGAATATTATGAAATAATTTAAATAAATGATTTTGGGGTATTATTGTATACAAATACTGAAAATATATCAAATATATCGAGAATTAAGTTAGAAATAAGTAATGAATTGGTAGTATTCATGTATAAAAAATATGGCTAAATTGATTGGTCCTTAACTCTTTGTACAGAAATTAGAAATTGTTGGTATCATGGTTAAAACTATTTGAATGGAGTGTAAGATTTTTCAATTGCAATAATTTAAAATAAATTTGTGATATCTTATAGTGAGAAATTAAATTAAAAGCTCTTTTATAAAGTAGTGGATAATAATAAAAAAGTAATATTTTCAGATTCAATATCAATTGATTAATAAATAAGTAGTCCAATATTAGTAAACTTTAATAGTTAATATATTGGATTTACATGGTAATTTAAAAACAATTTAGGATAATGGGGATTATAATTATCAATAATTAATAATGCTGGCAATTTAGTTAAATATATAACTAATGTTTGTTCAGTTAATTGTGATTAATGCAAAAGTAATACTCAATGTATTAAATGTTTAGATGGATATTAATTATTTTATGATAAAGATGGTTAAATTAGTTGTCAAAAAGAATATAGTTCTTTTTGTTAATAAATAATAAACGGTTATTGCATCTTTTGTCCTCCATAACTTTATCCTTAAGAAAGAAATTGTGTACAAGATCACTTCTAATAATATTCACTAGTTGTTAATGAATTAATGACTTTTACATAAACTTAACCATTTTTAGCTGGATTTAGTGATGGTTCAATAATGATAATTTGGAGTAGCAATTATTAAAATGGATTCAATTGGGGTGTTTATGGTTAGATATTAGATAGTTAGAGATAAAAAATAGGAAATAATTTTTAAGTGACATAAATTGCTCAAGGAAATCAACATTCTGCTTATATTCAAATATTAAATGATGATACTGCTATTATTTTATATATTGATGGTAATCCAGAAGAAGGAGCTTTGCTTAAAATTGCCCGATTGACTAAAGATTAATAAAGAATAGGTAATGACTTAGATGTTGATATCATTAAATTGAATTGGTTTAATATTAATTATGATTAAATTGCAAAAATTATCAAATTATAGCATGGAGGATATGTGGTTGGATATATAACAACACTAGGGGATCAGTTATAAGTATTAAAATTAAAGTTTTATAATTCTGATCATTAAGAAGTAAAGGCATAAGAAATTTAAAATTATTTTGATTCTAGAATCTAGCTATCATCAACTGAATAGAATGTAGCAATTATATTTCAAAATATAGTTTATATTTATACATTAGATGGAATATATCTTACATCGAAAGAATTTATATTATCTGATAGATTACCTATGAATTACTTAGGCAGTTTCTCATAATAGTATGTTATTGTATCCTATTCTTCTGAAATTGACATCTTATCAGTAAATGCTCAATTTTATGATTAAAACTTCTTACCTTATGGTAATTAAATATTGATAAAAGAGATTCTCGTAAATCAAGGTAGTGGTTTCACTTATATTCAATTTATTTAGATTGATGAATATAATGGTGGACTTTCTTTGATCATTGAGTTTAAAAAAGATAATTTGTACTCATTTTAAGAACAATATTATATTAATTCTAATATGGAAGTAAAAATAATGAACAAATATTATATCTAAAGCTTTTGGTAAATTAATATGAAAAATTATGTTAAAATTGCTTAATCAATAGATTAGTCATTTTTTGTTGTATGGGTTAGTTAAAACTTTTAAAATAAAGTTGACAATTCTAATATTCACATTTAAAAAATGACTGCGTAAGGAGAATATCCAAATCAATTGGCAAAGTAATGTAGTTATGGTTGCATTACTTGTGACAGTCAAAATGTATGTACATAATGTCTTAGTGAGCTTTTATTAGTAGATGGGTATTGTTCTATAATTTGCTAATAAAATTGTATGATATGTATACTTCCTTCAGTTTGTTCAATGTGTAAAGATGGATACTATGAAGATTAGTAAGGAATATGTAATCCTCTAAAGTCAGACTATCATTAATCTTAATCTTTAATTACTTAAGAAATTGAGGGGGATGTCTTATAACTAATAAGGACAAGCGATGGAACTATTTGCTTTCTCTCATAATATCATTCAATGGATATCATGAAATATTGGAATATTTATATAATATAGGATTAATAAATTATTTAGAAAGTATAAATTGATAAAACAGACTCAAATATAAATTATTAACCTATTTATATTAATAAAATTGAATAAGATTATGTAATTGTTTACTTTAATTTATAATAAATGGGGATTTTGAGGATTGGTTAAAATTAATAAATCATAATTGATAAATTGATAAATCTTTCGATAATCTTTTAAGATCAATATATTTATAGTAATTAAATAACATTGGAACCATTAATAGGTAATCAATACTCCTTAACTTATTTTAAAAATTCATATGATAAACTTCCGTAAACAACAATATATAATATAATTTTGGATTCTGAATTGAATTAAATTGGATAACCTTAACTTTTACATTAATTTGATGATGTTTCTTATTCATTCAATTAATTTAATGCTCAAAATGGAACTGCTATTTTAGTAGGAGATTAATTGATTTGGATAATGTGTCCATAATCTTTATAAATTAAGGAATTTCATTGTTAAGTATTTAATTTATAAAATAGTAATTAAATCTAAATTTTTGACTCTTAAAATTATTTTTATGATCCTGTATTGAAAGGAGTAAAATCAATTTATTATAGAGTATTGAATAGTGATTCTATTCCTATTACATAAGAAGTGAAAGTAATTGAAGATAAATTGCAATAATAAGAATTCGTATAAAGTATAACATTTTCAAATACATTTGCAATAATACTAAAATAATATAATAATTATGATATCAGTTATTAATTAATTATTTAATACTTTGAAAATTCTGGTGCTAAATTAGGTTAATAAATATATGTTAATTACTATTATGAAGGTATGTTTAAAAAGATTATTCAAACTGAAAATAGTTTACTAATATATTGGTAGAAAAGGATATGTTCAGATTTATAATGCTCTAATATTATAAATTCAATATAATATAAAGAGTATGATGATTAAGGAAATGAAATTACTAAAGTTGACAATATCAATTGTAACTAAAATTGTGATGAATGTATTAACTAAAGTTATTGTACAAAATGTAGTACTAATTATTTTTTAGATACTAATTCATAGTGTAAGTTATTATGTCCTTAAAATTGCATATAATGTTCAATTGTTTAATAATGTGAAATTTGTTAATATGGATATGAATTAGTTAATAATTAATGTATAAAATTAATATGTCCAAATAATTGTGATTTATGTACAAGAATGATATAAGGGGAAATACTTTGTGATAAATGTCAAAGTAATTATTAATTAAATTAACAATAATGTTTACCATTATGTCCATCAACTTGTAGAACTTGTGACTTACCATATATGTGTTCAAGTTGTCCTTAAGGATTTATATTAACATCTAATGCTAAATGTATATTTGAAGATCCAACTATTATTGATTAAGCCAAAAATACAATTGTTAGTACACCATTAAGATATACATTCCCAGATTAAACTTATGTTTTAGTATGGTATTAAAATGGTGAATAAGCAGGAGTATATTTCTAATTATATTCTGTTGATAATGCTAAAATAGGAACAGAAATTCTTGTTTCAGATATAACTAGAAGATTATTAGTAATGGATACTTAAATAGAGAAATAGTATTATGCTCATTTAGCTGCTGTTGATTATAACTTTTATATAGTTTGGGCTGATTCTACTAGTGTCGAAACTAATTTCTTATTATAAGAATTTAATTCTGATGGATCTGAAATTACATCTCCTTAATCTATAGGTATTTCTAATAGTAATGTTTTATCATTAATTTCAAAACCCTGTGAATTATTAGCTCTATCCAATTAAAATATTTTTGTATCTTTTATGACTTAAAACTCTGAAAATTAAGAAAATTACAACTTTAAATATTAAATATTTGATCCCAATCTTTAGAGTATTAATTCAGTTTAAGAACTACCTAATGTAAGTTATATGATAACTCCATCAATCATGTAAGATGATTCAGGAATGATATATATTAGTTACACAAGTGATGGATATGTATTTGTATAATAAATTACATAATTTGGGAATCCAATTAATTAGCCTTAAGCTATTAGTGATAATGGAACATTTACAATAAAAACAGCTTACCTCAAAAATGGAATGTTTGTATTTTTATGGGAAAATAAGAATATATAAACTTTTAAAGCTATGTTTAGTCTTAATTATTAATTAATTTCTAAAGATTTATCATCAAGAAGTGAAGTTAAGGGTATTGGAATTGCATAAGTTTAAGAATAAACACCAGATTTAAAATTATTTAATGATGGATTTATCGTTGTTTGGAAAACTACAGATTCATAATATTAATCAATTGGAATATAATTCTAAATATTTGATTCTTTAGGTGTCTAATAAAATGAGATTATCGATGTATCGATTTCAGGAAAGTATCCATAGAATCCAAATATTCAAATAATTAATGATGATTAATTTGCTATTACATATATATCCAAAGGTGTAGATGTTGATGGATCTAATTTGGGAGATGGCATTCAAATTAAATACTATAATAAATAAGGAGAAGAATACTTTATTATAACTCCTTAATTATGTGGTAAGGAATGTAATATATGTTAATCTCCATTGAATTGTTATAGATGTTCATATGGTTATTATCTATCTTAGGATAATTAATGTATTATTGATTGTGGACTCTATTGTAATTAATGTGAAGTACCTTTGGTCTGTTAATCTTGTGTGAATGGATATTCATTAAATTCGAATAATTCTTGTACTTAAGTGGAATGTTCTGAAGGATATCAAAGAAATCCAAAGACTAAATTATGTGATCCTGAATGTCCAAATGAATGTATATGCACACTTCCAAATACTTGTAATGCTTGTATAGCTGGATATTATTTGAAGAATAGTTAATGCTATTTGAAATCAAACAATTTAGGTGAGAATCCCATATCCAATCCTTCTATATTCTATGCATTGATAGTAGTATCTATTCTCTTATTTATATCTTGGATCTGTTGTTATAAATGCATTATTTAACATAGATAAAAAGATAAAGTTCATTTTGTTTCAAGTGAAAGTAATTTAGCATAAGAAAATAATGAGAGACAAATATCATCAGCTGCAGAACGTGAATAGAGACTTGAAGATGATTAAATTAAATAAAATACGATGGGGGATAATCTTATGATAAAATAATAGAGTTCAAATAATAATGTTTTTTAGATCCCAATAAAGAATGAAAGAGGTGATGATCGATAAATAAAATTTAAGTAAATTTAAAGTGAAGAGATTATTATTAAGAAGTCATATCAATGAATCTTCAATAAAGAGGAAGAATGAAATGATGAATATAAAAAATAAATATATAAAACATAATTAACAATCAAAATTATAAAATAAATATTTTTTTACACTTTTTTTGTTAGTTTCCTTCCAAAAGCTTTGCTAAATAATTATTCTTATTTTGGTAATTATTATTAGTTGAAACTGAAAATATTAAATAATATCTCTTCTTCGTTTCCATCCTTTTGAAATTATTATCTCCTTATAGCTTATTTTTTACTGTTAAGGTATTTCTTCTAGAATAAAATGACCAGATATATCAAATGCTATTTTAGCATCTTTAAATCATAGTGCTAAATCTATCAAATATATCAAATAAGAAGAGCATTTATTTAAAGCCTAACAATTTATTCTAAAGAATTAAAATCCTGACGAAGGAACTTTATTAATATATTTTCTTATTATGATTTTTACGTCTATTTAAAATCAAAATAATTGTAAATTTTATAAATTAATTATAGAAATAAATAAAAATTATTGAATTTGATTATATTGATTTATATGATGTATTTATTTGTAATATCTAGCTAATTGCTTTATATTCAAGTAGAATCAATCAGTTTTTGATATTTTAAAGAAACAACTTAAAATGATTGAAACGTATTTTTAAGATATCCCAAAATTTCAAATTGTAAGATAAACTTTTGAAAATTCTTAATGGGAACCTGTCAATATTAATGCTAAATGAGAAAATAGATACGATCTAATTTATTGATAATCCTAAAATAAATACTGGATGTTAGGCAGTACAACAGAATTAATTTATTAAAAACGATTACATTTAACTTAGTGCAGAATATTAAGCATTGATTCCAATCGGCCTAGGAAGATTATTAAACCTCAATAGAGGAATAGGAATTAGTGGTGAGATAGCTAATTTAATAAAATACTCTTAAATAAAACTGTAATTATCAATAATATGATCATAACAAATAAAGTTTATTTGAATATATAGAAGCACCTGAATGATTAAAGCAAAAACTGAATTTGATAATTATAACTAATAGAGCTATATAAGCGTAGTCAATTGAAAATATGTAATTTTTTTTTAATTGTAAGATTATTATGAAGCTTGGAAAAATTTAATTAACATTAAGCAACTATTCAAACTATTTGGTCATTGCTGCATGGGTTCTTCAAAATTGTTTCTATAATTTATTTGAATTATGAAGCTGATATGCTTATATCTGCATTCATAGCCTTAACTACAATCAATCCAATAATATAGATGTTATCATTTGCGGTATTTTAATATCATTTTTTTTAAGATTTTTAACCTTTAAAATAAATGTCTTTCATACTCTGTTATTTGCAATATTGAACTTGTTAAAAACTTGAGATTTTGTCTTGATTTATTTATTTTTAGCCTTAAAGCCATTTTTCGAAGAGGTAATCAGAACTTTTAGTGCTGAAGGATACTTAAAGTTCAAGAGCTATGCTTCAAAATTTTAAGGTAGTTTAGCTACTTCAGTATTTGAAACATTTTAAACGAATCCTAATGATATTTAATCAATAAAACATTAGCCATTTTCTGAGGCAGAAGAAATTTTGAAGAAGTTTTGAATAAAATTTCTTAGTTACTTTTATAAATTTTCGAATTCTAAAAAAATGAGAATATTCATATGTATGAGGTTTTTTATATGCATTTGTGATAGCTTTAGGGTTTGGGTTTGGGTTTGGGTTTGGGTTTGGGTTTGGGTTTGGGTTTGGGGTTGGGTTTGGGTTTGGGTTNATTATATAATTATATATGAATAATCATTTCTAATTTATTCTCTTAAAAGATTGTTTTATGTTGAATAAATAATAAAGTATTAAGAATGTAAAATTGAGAAAAAAAGTAATAATTACAAATTTAGTATTTACAAATTAAAAATTTGAAAAATTTATAATTAATATAGGACATGATTACAATTTTAGTATTATCTTAATAGAATATTAAGTAATGATGAAGATATATTGAGCAGTAAAAGTTAACTTGACCATTTAAAGAGGAAAAAATAATAGTGAAAAAAATATTGTTATATTTGATATATATAAATTATGTTAAAATATAAAATCATTTTCATTTTTTATTGCAGTCTAATTGGTTTTCTAAAATACAGCTACCTTTGGATTTCAATAAAGGTCTCAAATCAGTGCCTTGATGATTTATGAATTCTCCTTTGAGAACAAGTGCTCCTTATGCTTAGAATATTGTGGATTATGATATCAAGAGGGTAGTGATGTAATTGGAGACTAAAAATATTAAAAAAATTAATTTTACCTTCTTATAATGGACAATTTTATTAGAGTGGAATCTTAAATTATGCAAGAATATCTTTGTAGTTTTTATCAGAGGATTTAATTTCATAACCTGTCTTTACATCCCATAGGCGGATAGAGTTATCTTCACTACCAAAAGCTACTGTATTTCCATCAGGAGAGAAACAGACTGACATAACCCAATTACTATGAGCATCTAATTTGGCTTTTTATTATACTGTCTTTACATTCCATAGACGGATAGACTTATCTTAACTACCAGAAGCTAATGTATTTCCATCAGGAGAGAAACAGACTGACCAAACTGAATTACTACGACCATCTAATTTGGCTTTTTATTATCCTGTTTTGACATCCCATAGACGGATAGACTCATCATAACTACCAGAAGCTAATGTATTTCCATCAGGAGAGAAACAGACTGAAATAACTAAATTACTATGGCCATCTAATTTGGCTTTTTATTATCCTGTCTTTACATTCCATAGACGGATAGACTTATCATCACTACCAGAAGCTAATGTATTTCCATCTGGAGAGAAACAGACTTATCTAACTAAATTACTATGACCATCTAATTTGGCTTTTTATTATCCTATTTTGACATCCCATAGAC